TCACACAAGGGGTGGGGCGGGGCCGGCGTCCGACACGGAGCGCCCGTGCCGCTTGGGTAGTTCTACCCTGTCTCCCTGGGTGAGATCGGGGCGTCTCGGGTCGATGCCAAAAACACCACCAGCATTTCTTGAACTGTGTGACATGCTTCTCGGCTATTTTTGTAAAATAATGCCAATATCCAAGCCTCGCCGCTGGGGCTCGTCAAAGGAAATATCACCCAAGATGTATTTGGCGGATGTCGTCGCACGCAATGATGTCCTACTAATGCGTACAGCGAAAGGGGAAAATTCTTTCCTGCTTCCTTAGATGACCCTCCCTTCAAAGCCCCCAGGCCTATCTCCTGACGGTGGATGCAGCTCAGTATGGTTGTTGAAAAGCAGTTTGAGACCATACGCAGCATACGCTAAACAGTTGCGATGTTAAGCTTGAATTACGTACAGCTTTATATAATAACAAAAAGTGTCGCTAATCAAATCCACTAAAAGACTCCTCACTACCTCTGTTTGGCGATTAGATGCGTAAATCAATATTTTGCCTAACACCCGGGAGCTGCTGTATATCGTAAGCGTTGGTCATGTCAGCTGTTCTAAGTGCCTGAGTGCATAGGGGTGCCAGTAGGTTTTTCCGAAATGCATCCTTTATGAGCCAGTATGGCACAAAAGATGGCATCTTCAGATACTTCTCCATTTCCACTAAACATGCTAAAACGGCCTCATCGGGAGTTCTTATCACCTCGTCCACTAAACCACACGCAAGAGCTTCCTCGGCAGTAAGCAGAGATCCATCTATAAGCAGTGCCTCTGCTTTTCTGAACCCGACAACATGGTCTAGTGATCCAGCCATGTAAGGTGAGATTCTCATACCATAGCGACACGTGGGTATTCCAATTTTGAAGGGCTTGCCTTCAGTAAGATCAGCATTTACCATTATCCGATAATCAGCAGCAAGCGCCAACATGCAACCACCAGATAGGGCGTGGCCATTGATAGCCACCATCATAGGAATAGGAAGAGAGTGCAGAGTTACAAAAAGCGTCTGCAGCTTCTCATAGTAGAGGTTAAATTCGTCCTGGGAGGAAGACTTGGACATTGCGTTGATGTCGAAATCTCCACAAAAGTTCCCTAGAGTGTTAGAGGTGAGAATGATACCTTGATGTATGCCCTTTTCCGGATCACAAACCTCACTGATAGTAGCTAAAAGACGCGACATCAGATATGAACTGAGTGCGTTAGTTTTTGGTAAGCTCATTTCTAATAGACACACACCAGCAAGGGGGCATTCTTTTACAACGATATTGCCTCCATTAACTTCTTGCTCTGTTGCGTTACTGCAAAGAGACGATTGCATAAGGCGTCCACACATCATGACCCTTGAGGACACCGCTAAGTGTAAGCGTCGCATGATATGCTCACTGAAAAATAAAAGGTTAACAGAAAGAGGAGGGAAGAACGATAAATCGAATAAAAGAATAAAACATTGATCCAGTAACAAAGGCAAAAGGAAAGTGTGACTGGGAAGAAATCAATGCCTATATTGTTGTTGTGTTTTGTATTCAATCCTTTTCAAAAGGACATCGATCTATGTGCAGCATAAGGCCTGCGGCGTTTAGCGAAACGGTGATGATTTCCGATCAGTATCGCCGCTTATAACCCCTTTCTTCACCCCTCACATATAGTAATCAGTGAATGCAATGTCCATTACGACAACCCGTGGCTTCATAGGCTACTGCACTCCACCAGTTGCTCATCTGGAAGGAAGTTTAAATGCACTGACACAATACCATGTACGATGACTATGACTTTGGACCACCTGAAAAATTCGCATGGAGTGATTACAAGCAGGAATAAACAAAATTTAAATACAGAAACAGGACTATCATTTCGGTCAAAAATCGTGTCATTGGTTACCCGTAGATACAAGTTAACACTTTTCAGTGGAGATCCAATCACTCAACATGCTTGCAGGCGTCGACTTGATCCCTCACAGAAGCCATTGATGGCAAATGTCCTTTGTATGGTAGTAATAGACACACATGCACACGTGCATACACTAAAATAAGGAATGTTGACTTGCTTTAATTAGCTGATGAAGGTTTTATGTCTTCAATACAAATACTTTTCCCAAAAGATACGAAGGGGAAAGTATGGAGAATGAGTATCTTGAATTGCAAGAAGGTGTGATGATGTCACAAAATAAACAGCAACATTATCGTCACTACCATTTCCACAGACAATTGAGTTTAATCTTCAATAATATTGGAATTCAAGATTCTATATCACATCGTTTAAAAATAGATACACCTTCTTTTGTTTAAAACATTTTACATGAGTGCAAGTGAATGCACACACACAAGCAAATAGTACCAATTAGTCAGGGTACTCAATATTCCACTTGTGTGAAAAGAGCAACCCCTCGCAGCACCCAGTGATCCTCCTTGTCCATGGGATCAATTGGAAGGTTGATGGTGAGGATAAAGTTAGTGGAGTGGCCTGTCGTGGACAGCACACCTTTGCGATCCGTCGTTTTGTAGCATGGGCATCGATAAACATGTTTACTTTCAATGTCCTCGGAACGGGAAGGCACTAACTTTAAAATGGGGAACTCTAGAAATAGTTCCTTTGGCTTGCTTTCAGCCAGGACACCATTCTCCCAGCCTGCACCTTCTAGAAACAGACCGTAGATGTAGCAGCCATCCTGCGGTGCTACGTCAAAATGACTTTCCGTCATGACTGTGAAGTTCCACACAAGCTTATCTATCTCGATATGATACTTGCGTGCATAGTTCTGCATCACACCCGTTAGAAACGACTGCGTAAAGAAGAATCCGCTAAGCCAAAACATCACTGGGGGGCCTTCCTCAACCCATCGCCGAAGGAACCCCAGACGTGCAATGAAGTCATTTACATATGACCCGAGCGCTTTAAGAGTTGGGTAAGATCGCTTCCTCCACATCTCCGGCACTTTATTATCATATATGTCCCTAAACACTTGCTCCAGCTTCGCGCTCATCACAACATGACCACTAATAGCATCTTGAATCTCTACTAAGGAATGCTGAACAATATCCAGCAAACGATTGTAGCGTATCGCCTCTTGAAGTAACACTGTGTTCATGGACTGAGTGTATTGAAATGGATGCTTCTCTTGAATTTCATCGAGGTCAAATAACTTGGGGAGCCGATGCAGGATGTCACCAGCAATTTGCTTAACAGTAACCTTTGGGTCCAAAAATGACACGGATGAAGTCGAGGCAGTGCTGCCAACATCTACGGGCTGTGTGGCTAAGGTTGCATCGAGAAGAAATCGTGCCTCACGCTCATCTTTTGTGATGTCGGCATTTTCATGCAACCCAAAGATAGATGGATGCTGCTGGAGAGGAAGCGATTGGATATAACCGACATAGCTGGCATATTCACCAAGTGGCGGAGCGTAGTAATCATTCACATCGCTGCAAAAGTTGTAATCGTTATCTAGAATAAGCGGAGTTATATATAGTTGCAGCGTAGCCATTAGGCAACGCCGATCCAAATCATCTGTCACACGTCCACCGTAGTTACATTCGCCGATGAGATAAAGAAGTGCGTCATAGGGCACAGATTCGTTTTCATTGATAAACATGTGTAGCTGGCGAATACTAATGCGTCGATCTGTGTCGTTGAACTCGTAGGGACGGTTCCAACCTAGCGGGCCGTACTGGCGTCGCCCCTGAATGACCGCATGAAAAAAGCACAAACCGAAAAGCAGCTTCTGCCACTCCTCTGGCTTTTTGGAGGAAGTAAAAAACTTTTCATCCACAATCGGGTCAGTTAGGTAAGATTGCAAGAGGTTGCTCTTCAAGCCCCTCGGTGGCTCCTGAACTAGCTTCACCCCGTTCTGCAGAATCGCTATGGGGAACGTTTCGCTGGGCAGCGATGTGAGCCAGAGGCGGTAGTTTTGATTCAGATTCTGCTTAACACTCAAATCACTATAGTTCTCGATTATGTTTGACAGTTGGGGCATAAAGTCCTGGTGGAGATGACAATTCTGAAGCAGCACCCAGTGGCCTTGCTGGATGCTGGACTCAATAAGGGCACGTGCTGGTGCCTCCTGACCTTGACCAAGTGAAAGTTTTTGGAGGCATTTTCCACTCATGCCCCTCAATTCTGCTACACGATCCAATTCCGCATTGGGGTCAGCACCTGGGGATAGCACAAGAATAATAGGAACGGATGGATCGTGCGCCAGCTCGTCAACTATCGTTTCAAGCGCATAAAGGGGAGGCTGAACAAAGTCATCACCCAGCGTCTCGCGAACGTAATTCGTAACAGCGGGGACAATTTTGTCAGTACGGAAGCATCGCACCAGGACCATTTGCTCGATAGTGCTGAGCTGGTCGAGTGGCTGTGGGAGAGTGATATCAAGCGGATTCGAAGAATCATAATAGTAATTGAAAAACGCTTCGTTTGCTTTAACAATCTCCACAATACTTTCCTCAGTGAGCCGTAACTGACTATCAGCCCGGCACAGCATTGCCCAACTCTGTTGAGGCAACCATGGAAACGGGTTCTGGAATGCCAACTCCTGCTCAAACCCACCCATCAACAGCCACCGCAGGAGAATTGGATCAACCTCATATATCTTCAACGCCATGATAAAGGAGAATAGAAGCTGGTCCTTTGCAAAGAGAGATCGACAGATGCGCTCATACAGAGCTTTCTTGAAAGTTGCATTGATATACCCGGTGCGTTCTGCAACTTCGGGGGAGCGTTCACTGTTAATCAGGGCCTCCTGAAAAATCGATATGTAAAATTGCACAGAGTTCTGATACATGGGATCAATGTTGGCTAACTCACTCACACAAAAGAAGAGAATTGCGCCGAGGTGTGCTACAGGAACAAAAAGATTGCGGGTGCGATCACTGATCCGCTCCATCGCCTCAATTTCTTCTTGTCGCTTAGCAATACGATCGCTCTGCTCCTTGGAATAGTCCAACTCCTCAATGGCCTCTTCGCTTTCCAGGATATTGCCATCCGAGGATAAAATGGACAGAATACGATCTTCAGTGCTCTTGAGTCCGGCCCTATTGGCCGCTGCTTCGAAGGTGAGTGCGTGTTTCTTTTCCTCCACGTCACGTCTTTCAGACATCATGACGCGCTGCAGGAGTTGGTCTTCAAGACCTTTCTCAGTAATCATAAAATTGATGAGTGTAACCTTAGTACTGACCTCGGGCAGGTAGTGAGGACGCGGTAGTTTTGTTGTCATGTAGAAACGGAATGAGTCATTCCACTCAACTGCTTCACCCAGGTGTATGACCACCATTGTACCTTCCTTCATTAGTCTTTTAAGCAAGAGGTTATCCAGCACGGGGTCTATGGTTTCTTCAACATTTTCCAGAAGCACAGGTCGACCTTCAGTTATTGCGTTTCGAATGGTCTGGATATAATTGTTTCCCGACGGCTGGACCACCACAAGTTGATGTTCTCGCTCAAGATTACGAATCCAGTTATTTGCCTGCTGCTGTGGATCCACCAGGAGGGGCCATCGGCTAGAGTTCTTCATGATAACCGCATTGCTCACTGAGAAGCTGTCCACTGGAAGCTGCTGCAGCTTCCATTCCTGAATTTCAATAGGGTTACCACAGAACTTTTCCAATGAAAAATCATCGGAGACTGGAATTCCTTGATCCTTGCATAACTGCACCCAGGAAGAAACCGCCTGACACCTATACTTGTCGAGGAAGGGACCCATGTAGGCTAAGACTCCAGCTGTCACGAGAACATTTCCCACTACAAAAGTGAGGGCCTCCTCAGCACGCTGAGCCTCGCCTTGGAAGCGAGCCTTTTCACCGCCAAGTCCTTCAATGAGCTTTTTGGCTCGATTAAGTTTTGTGTCAGTGTCGTTGATTTTAGCCTCCAAATTTTGCTTATCTGTGTTGACTTGCTCTAGTTGAGCTGTGAGAGCCTCCAGTTTCTCATTAATAATGCGGAGCTCTTCCTTTTTCTTCCTCAAACCATCCATAGCGATGTTATACTCCTCCTCAGCGGCAGCGGCTTGTGCAAGAAGCGGTTTAATAATCTTGTTTTGCTGATAATACTCAACAACTGCCTTAATGTATGTAGCGACACCTACCAGCGCTACAGACGTCTTTCGGATATTTTCCATCTTGAACATATCGTTAGCCATTTTCTTTTTAACTTCCTCAATCTGGCTGTTGGGAGCGTTGTCGACAATGACTGGGTAGGAATTCAGCAGGATATTGTTAAACTCACCGGTAAGCAGCGTCGTCTTGGCGTGTTCCCAATATGGCACCGTAGTTACCCCCTTGAGAGGATCGCGCACAGGTTTAGGCTTATATTGGCCACCAAGCAGTGTACAAAGCACTTCAATTACAAACTTAACACCCTGGGGAGGGGTTTTCAGAGCCTTAACCTCCTGCAGTGCTTTTTGGTCTAAATCTAACACAGCCCGCAAGGCCTGCTCAACAAGTGGATGGGCTTCATCTACCTTCGCCTGTGAAGTATCCTTCATTTTCTTTGCGGCTACTGCTTGTTCATTGGCTGCTGCCTCATCGATCGCAACAATCGCACGCTGTTCTTCCGAAATTTTGCCTTCATGTTCTACTTGTTGAATGAGTTCATTTGTTTGTTTCTGCTTTTCATCCAGCTCCGGCTTTAGGAGAGCTAGTTCATTTTGCATAACTTCCACTTGATCTTCTGTTTTCTTCAACTGGTATAAGCCGTTGGTATATCTTTGTTTCTTCTCGGTAAGCTCATCACGCTTTGATTTTAGAAGTCGACCGAAGGTGGAAAGTAAATCCAAATACGAACTAGGGGTAACATAGGTGTGCTGACGGGCCTCTGCCAAATAAGTCTTGCTCATATCACGCACATGCATTTGATACAACACAAGCATATCTCTGATCGTGATGCGCTCCTTCTCAGTTAAGTCAATACTCTGCAAGAATCGCTCTGCCACAGAGCGAAGCCCCTCTTCTGGCCAATCACGGAACCAGTCAATGGTAGTGCAGTTGACTAACGAAGGGAACTTACGTAGCCGATCTCGTAGTACGTTTCCAAGAGGAGAAAAACATAGAACGATGTGGAGGTGCTTTTGACAACGCTCTACAAAAAGATTCTGAAGGGCTTCAGTAGTGTCTGGGCGGCCTAAACTCTTTCCTAAGTCCCGCAAGGAAGCCACCGCGTTCTCATATGTATCCTTGTCCTGCTTGTTGTTCCATAGCCCAGGAACCTCACCTGTGTTAAGTAAACTGCAGATGTCTTCTAGAAACGTCTCAGAGGTAATCTGAGAATCAGATAGAACAAACACAGTGGAATACCCCTTCTGACCAGCCTTTAAAAGCAGCTGTCGAATATCGTCTAAAAAGTCACTGTAGCTGTATTCCTTAGCCGCACTAATAGTGGCATAATCACACTCCTGAATGTAAGCCGCCAGCCGGGTACAGCTGCGCCGCCCGCTGCCGCCTACACCAATCAGCAGGAGATTCCCACCAGGCTGCTTCAGGACACGACAAATACGCGTCACATGCTCAAGGACGTAGTTAAACACAACGAGGTTTAGGCCTCCAGCACGGGACTGCGAGTTGAACGCATTAACCTTCTGTTCTAATGTACGACGGGCCTCCTCCAAACTCGATATCTTTTCGTATCTACCCTCTTCGTTCATGATAGTGGAAAAAATTAGGGGCTCCTCCGAGGAGGTTGATACGGTAAGCTTGAAATGTTTGTTGCATATCCTAGTCATTTCCTTATCGAACCAGAGGTTGTCTTCATTTTCTGTAAAGCGATCAGCAAAAGCGCGTGACACCTCGTGGACCCATAACTCTGCTAATTTTACTTCATTTGTAACAAGTGGGGCAAATACCATGTCAATACCTTGAAAAACTTTCCGCACATCTCGCAAGTTGAATGTATAATGCGACTTTTCTGGTGATGGTTTTAGCTTATCACGCAACGTCTCGTAAAGTTCCACTGTTGCTCCTACCAAGGCACCAGACTGACTGCGAAGAGATGAAGAAAAGCCACGCGAGAGAATCCATTCAGCCAAGCAACTAAAGATCTTTTTTAAAGTTAGATTGTAAAATGCGGGGATGCTGAACGTGTTAAAATGTCGAGTGAAGCGCGGCGTGATGGGGTTGCGGCCACCACCTGCGGGGCCCATGGCACAAAGCAAGAGCAAATCCACCAGATGCCGTAACTCGATACTGTCTTTGCTATGGTTGTACCATGCGCCATGGTCCAGGTATTGCCGAAGCAATTCGATGGGCGGCTGCGCACCGTACTCCTCGAGCTTTGGTAGGTTAACATCATCAATAAAAACGAGCATCTTCTTGTTGATGGGTGGACCATAGTAGCCTTTTCGACGTTTTTCGCAGCTGTTATCGATAAGCCGCTGCAAATAACTGGATGAAGTCTGGGCAGATAGCTGAATCATATTGAGGGAATACGAGTCACCCGGGAGACTCTTTAACAAGGATTTCATCATAATTGTCTTTCCAGTGCCTGTATCACCCACTAGAAGAGCGGGATGGAGGCTTGAAATCATACGCTGCATCAGAAACGTGTACTTTGCAATTTCACTGGTCGGTACGATGATGTCTTGGTACTCAGTTTCCTTTGAGATGACCAGCTCAGGAACGATCGTCAGCCAATCGACAAACTTCACTTCGTCACCATCTTCGAGCTTCATATCGTAGAAGGAAATGTTCCTTTCGAACAAAGTGATTGAAAACTTGTACTGGGACGACTTTTCCTCTATCAACCCATGGAGCAGGTCGCTGAACCTTTGACGATCCTCGTTCAAAAGGCACCCACCAACTGACCACACCAATGAGAAGAGAAACCACCCTTCAACACGCATGAGCATAAGTCGCGGCTCCTTGGACTTTTCATCCATCTGAGTCACATCAAACGACTGCAAAAAGGAATCAAACAGTTTGATAAAGCTGGAAACAGCGGTGTTTCCAGATTGAGGGATGATTGTTGTGGTGTGCTTGTGCACAAAATCTAGAGTGTCTTGCATAAATGCATCCGTGAGATGTCGGATACAACTTACCAGTGCTTCATTCGACGCTATGTACTCAGGTACTGTATTCATGAAGGAATCCATCAGACAACTCCATCCCAACGACTGAGGCTCAACATATACCATTCCGCAGCGTGAGACCGTAGCCGGTGACGCGTGAGCCAGGTCCTGAACTTCAAACACAAGATTCATCATTTTGGACATGGGAACAATGTCGCCGTTCTGTAAGCAAAGCTTTTTGTTATCATCTAGTACTGTGTTCATATTCTCAATCCAGACTGCATCAACAGGGCCATCCAGCACCAGCCACTTACGGAGCAACGATACATCCTGTGCAAGCTGTCGGAAACGATTGGAAAGTACGCCGTCGGTCCACTCACCCGACTGCTCAACCTTGCCATATAACTGTGCCATAGTAATTGACTTGGGGTTTATCGTAACCATGCGTGTGCGTAACTCCTTGCCTGATGCTTCCATCTCTGTGAGACCCTCTGAAAGGCACTCAAGGACCTGAGTCTTACCACCATAAGAGTATCCCACAATCATCATACCATGCCGCACACAAATCATCTCATAAGTTTGTCGAATTTTCTCCTCAAAGTAGCTCGTGAGTTGTATGTTCTTGCGTCGGCACGTAGTCTGAAGGGCCTTATGCATATCCATGTAGTCGGGATCAGGAAGCTTCACATCAGGAAACAAGTCAGACACGATCCCCTTAAACAATTCCACATCTTGAGAAAGAAACTTCGGAAGGTTGACATCTTGAATAGAGCGTAACGTGAGAATCATCTCATCCTCGTCGGGGAAAGAACGCTTTAGACGCCCCGCTGCCGTGAGAACAGCCTTCACCGCACGCATACCGTAGTCATAATGGTCCTGTGAGGAAAGCTGCTCCGAACAAAGGCGGTAAGTAGCCACAATCTTTTCGGAAAGCACCTTACCATGTAGAAAACCGTATGAATAGAGCTGAATTTCACCGATCATTGCGTAGTTGGGTACCATCATCGCGACCGGACGGAAGAGAGCCTTCAAGTTATCTGGCAGCTCAGCGCGTCCTGCATAACCAGGGTTCATAGTCATAAAAATAGCACAACCGGGATCAAGACGGATCTGCGCCCCGTCAAAAATGAACTCAGTCTGCTTTTGAACGATTGCATCTTGGATTGTGGCAACCTGCTGCGCAATAACTGAAAGCACCTGAATTTCAATCCGATTAAACTCGTCAAAACAACCCCAAGCACCGGCTTGGGTTAGTCCCTTGAAAAGTTTGACCATATCCTTGGCAGAGATCTGATCCGAACAGTTGTAGACGACGCAGTATTTTCCCAGGGCCTTCGCCAGATCTTTAGTAGTCTCAGTTTTCCCTGTGCCGGCAGGACCTTCAGGAGCTCCACCATAATTAAGATGCAGCGCACCTAGCAGTGTCCGGTAGCAGCGATCGGTTAGTGGCGTGATAACAAGCCGCCCTGTGTTGCCAAGGTATTCATAACCATAGCGAAAGGAGGCATTGATTTGCTGGACCGTGAGATGATCATCGATCCAATAGTAGTGCAGTTGTGCGATCCAATCAAAACTGTTCAGATTATCAACACCCTTCTCGCAGAGCATACCGATGATGTCTTTGGCGTGTACTTCAATCACAACTAGAGCCTCCAGGGTACATCGTTCCACAGGTCGAATACTTTTATCGCGTACTAATATGATCAAATCGTCTAGCTGGCTGGTGCATTTTTCGTAAAAAGATGATAATCCGATGGTCCCTTCTTCTTGCAACGCACGTGTCGCTTCCATTGTCCAAAAGAGCGAACAAATTGCAATCACCACTTGCCCTGGCCACGCTCGCACGAAATCCACACGCTTTTGCATTGTGTAATCGCCGATGGCCTGACGCAACTGCTCGCGAATAGAAGCCTTCATCGAGTTTTCCACCATCTGCAGCCACAACTCAACCTGATTTCCGTGGTCTCCTGGGTTCACTTTCTGAACCAGTGGCACTTTTTCTCCTTCTGATGATTCCATCCCAACAATGTCCTGGTTGTCGGAAAATTGGATCCGCTTGATACCTTCAAAGCATTTACATAAGTACGGTTGCACGAGAAAAGGATCCCTGCTATCTGACAAAATTTGAAGCAATTCTTCGTTAGAAATGAAGTAAAACCGTGGAAATGCCATTCGCTTGGTTTCCAAGAATTGTTGAAGCTTACGCATCACTCCCTCCAGCGTATTATTAGCCTCTGAAAAGGTTTTTAAGAGGGTTTCGTCTTGACAACGGGTGAGGACTTGGGGCACGGTGCGAGTGTGTTCCATGATTTCCTTCCAAATGTCGTCGATTTCCATGAAGAGCTGCTTTTCATTGGGCAAGCTGCGAGAGATATCAGCGGATGAGAAGATGGGCTCCAAATAAGACCATATATTTTGGCATCGGAACCACTCATCCATTGTGCACTGGATATTGTCGAACTGCTTTGCCCACTGTGACACACGGGCCTGCAGGGCAGGGGCCTGACGGACGATAGGTTTGCCGAGCATAGACTGTGTTTTGAGTATGTGTTCATCTAGTGTAAGCTGCATAGCGTCGTTTGCCTTGAGTTTATATGTGCTTTGGTATGGTTCCATTTCAAAAAGTATCTTCTTCCACTCGCTTTCCATTGACATAAGATCTGTTTCTATCTCATGAGTCTTGCGCGCCATGGTCGCAATATTTTCAATTTGTGGCAGGTACTCGAGTAGTCCTAACTTGAGGAAGTCTCCCAGGGGACGCTGATCGTTCATGTCAGTACCACCAGGTCCAAATCCCTGCTTTTCCTTCGCAATACCACACTGTTGATAAATAGCTTTCCAGTGCGTCGCTTGTAAGTTGCTATGCAATGCATAAAGCAGCGGTATATTGGGTTTGAAGCGTTCAATATTCACCTTGATATGTTTGAGGGCTTCCTTCGGTTCCACTTCCTTCATTTTTTTGGATATAACAGCAATTGTCTTGCTCCAGTCGGAAACCTTTTGATCCACGTCAACTGGATTTAGAGCGGAGAGCCGCGTTTGAAGCCAGCGCTCACTCTCTGCGTTAAAGAGAGTGGCTACTTTCCAGAGGAGAGAACAGGGTTCAAATTGAGCTTTGGCATCCTTCAGTTGTGTGTATTGTGACGTGGCCAGACCAAAGAGCTCCTCATGACTGTTGTACAGTATCACCTGATCTTGGTACGTCTGGATCAGTGTCTCGATCTCCTTTGAACGTTCGTAAAACTCCTCTGCACGGGCGTAATCTCCGAAGTGTGCGAAACTGTCCACTGCCTCACTTAGTTGCATAATGTCATATGCAAGTCGTTCACAGTTATCACGTAGATTCTGTATAAAAATGGCACGATATTCTTTGCATTGAAAAGTGCGCTCCTCCACGAGATCTTGGAGCTTTTTGGGCCACTCAGCTGCCACCCAGTACGTATTGAAGCTATCTTCAGGGACCAAGTAACAGAAGTGCAGCAGCAACTCGTTTCCTTTCGTAATCCATTCAAAATCTTTTCCGATATCCTCACCACGTTTAGCGACACCATCCAAGTAGACTCGTAGCTCCTGTAGTTCTTCCGGTGTGGTGGGATAGACAGATATTTTTGCGTACATCTCCTCGTAGCGTCGAATAACATCAGTACAGCACTCCATAAGACGCTTGGAGAGTAGGTCCATAAGACTGACCAAAATACTATTGGCCTTACGTGTCAATACTGTTTTTATTTCCTGACAACTCACTGCAAAGAGCTCATACTTTACATTATTGGAAGTATGCTTTGTGATACGCCCCAGGTCACGCGTAAGGCGCTCGAAAACAAGCTCGAATTCATCCAAGGAAAGGTTAAATGCAATCGCATCATCCATTACGTCCTTTGAATTAGCTTTTAAGATATAATCAAATTCACTATACATTTGCTGAAGCTGAAGTGGTGCTTCCAAATTTTCCTCCAGCACTTGGCGAAGCAACTTTCTAGCTGCACAAACAGTCGGTTCCTTGTCCTTTCCCATTACCAGGGGTTTCAAATACGCCGACTGCAGTGGAAGCAGAGGCAGCAGCTGATCTCCTATAGCATCAATGAAACCACAGTACTCAAAGCAGTTCTCAAATACTTGCATGACACCATTTACCACTTCCTCAAGAAGAGGCTGAAACACAACTGCGCCATCATGCTCCACTAGCTTGACGGCAAACAATGGCCGAAGATCATTTACCATTGTGGTTAACTTCATCACACGCTTCGTACATGGAATATAACTTTTATCTGAAATGGCACACCATGCGAAGGGCAGGTTTCGTGTTTCCTCGCTTTTCTTCCCATGAGCTGTCCCAGTGGCACCGGCAGCGGTGGCGACAAATTTCTTTTTAGTATTCTTAGCTACCTCTGGAGCATGCACCTGGCCCTCTTCTCCCTTTCGCTTAGCAGCGAGTTCAGCATAGCGTACCTTCCACTTCTCGTTTTCTGCGCTGCTTTCAAAGAAACAGTTCATGGTCGAGTCGTTCTCAGTATACTCAACACGGTAGGTCTCAATGAATCCCGCAAAGCTTTCCAGTGACTCCATGAGCAGACCACGAAGTTGGGTTGCCATTATCTTGTTCACCAAGGAGATAAACCGACAGATACGACTGGACTCGTACTCCTCGAGGTTGTCAGTGTAAAAGTTGAAGTGAGGATCAAGATTGCTCTGAATGATGGATAGCACCGCCGAGACCCACTCCCCACGGAGTTTTTCCGAAATCGCAGCTCCCTCTTGTGCTTGGTGTTGCATAAAATGCTGAAGTTGGATAGGAGTTTTATCAAACCTATCTAAGGAAGCCAAGCACATGGTACGCTTTTCATAATCTTTCCAAAGATTGTGAATGGAGTATAATGTGTCACGCAGGAGGGGATGGACCTGGAATAAGTTTTCCGAAAGTCTAGCGCGTGCTGCCTCGAAACTGTAATGTGGAACATCGATAGTACCCTTTAGATTACGGAACGACGGTTCTGGAATAGCTTTCAGCGGTGGAAGATCCGCTATTTTTAACCGCTCCTGCCAGGACATGCTGCGTAGATTGTAGAGGTATAGTACCCTTTTCAGAGCAGTGTAGTATGTCATCTCCACCTCGTCTGCAGAATGATTAATGATGTGGACAAATTGAACAGGAAACATTTGTGCTACTTTAGCAATAATGCGGTCCATTTGGTCCTGATCAAAGGGTGTGACGGCTGTATTGCTGATGGCTTCGAGGTAAAGCCGTTGGTAGAGTGCGTTCTTTACTTCCTGCCTACGGGTGCGAGCATCTTCCACTCGTTGCTGCCACGCGTCTACATCTTCGCCATCAAAAATGATGTTTAATCTGCGGGTCCACTTCGTTTTCCCTTCCTGCCACTGCACTAAAAAACATTTGGTGTCTTCGTTATACTTTAACACGTAGCACGCCTCCCATGTCGTGGATTTTGTCATGCTGGAATAGTAGCGTGAGAGAGCTGGGGTGCCTGCCTCCCCGCCGATCTTCACCCACTTCTGTGGCGTTTTGGTATCATTAAAATCGTTATCAAATTGATCTAGCAAGAAGTAATTTTCTATTCTCTTGATCAAATCACCATCTGATAGAATAAAAGTATCGTCATGCGGCTGCTCTATCATGGTTCTGTTTTCCAAAGATGCGAACCACTTACACAATTCACTATCCTGGTAAGCGGTTCGGACGTTAGACAGTGGATGAAACGCCACCCCTACCCGCTCAATGAAGCACGGACCTAGGGAAGAAAGAGTAGAGCTTATGATAGGCTTGCTGGAAATTCTCTCTGTGTTTTCGTGCTGCAGAATTCGCCTAACTTCACCGTAATCCTTTTCCCTTCCCTTCTCTTTCCTTAGAAGAAGTTTCTGCAGTGAGTTGGGTACTTTTATAGCTCTCTTACAAGAAACGACTCTGTGGCAAAGCTCGATGCGCGACTTACTTGCGGCGCTATTCGGTTTATGTGGGATGAGTAAGCGACGGAAATTGTTCTCCGCAGCCCCGACAGGCTCAATAGTCGTTGGATTGTATTGCTTCCGTTTTAAGGCTTGGTACAACGGTGCCTTATCAGCCTCTTGATGTGTGTGATTTACAAAGTATCTCGTGGCTTCCTGCTCATTTTTGTCGAATTCATTTCTAGAGAACTCTCCAGGTATCACGCGTTTAGAGGATGCGGGCTGTCCGAAGCTCATCTAGTCAAATATATTTTTGTATCCTTCTGATCGTTAGGAATACCACTTTGGGCTACTTTTCAGGAAAACGATGCTCAAACTTTGAAAAATACTGAGAATTATACACACCTAAAAACATAAACGAGAAATATGATCCAATATAACCCGCACACCTGTAGTAGTTGGGATGTACCGGTATCCTTAAAAAGACCACAAAAAAGGTATAATGAAAGGCATTGAGAGTTGTATAAATAGCTTGAAGGGCCCTTTCCCCAAATGATGAAATTATCATCTACACATCTACATGATTAACTTTAATCAATACAATCAAACCAATAATAACCTTAAGTCGAATGATTCTAGGCACAATGCAGTTATGAATTTCAAATATACCAATAACTTACTTAATATCTCGATGAATGTAATATCTAAAATCCTGATTATTTTTTTGCCTACTCCAAGCGTCTTCCCTTCTTGAGCGGCCTATGATCAAAGTCGAGAGCATTAATTGCTTCCTCGTTGTCATCCACCTCACGCCTACGTTTTTCAGCTAACCTTGACACCTTACGCCGCGCTCCGTTGGACTTAATCATGCGCAAGTACTTGCGTAACTCACGCTTATCCTCACGTGCTTGCTCCCTCATTTGGGCTGTGACTACTACAGGGGATTTCTTGAGCTTGCGGCGTTGTGCACGCGACATGATTACTTTGGGTTTTTCATTCTCATCAACTAAAGGATGTGTTAGTTTTTCCTCATTCTTAGAGTTCTGTTTTCCTTTCTTTGAAGCAACTCTCACTTCGGATGCACGTTCAAAATTTTCTGACATTTAATGTTTATCTAAGAGTATGAGAATAAACTTCAAAAAAAATGGAAACTACATGTAAAGAACATGTAAAAGGAGGAGGACAGAATACATGAACAGAAATGAAGCCTCTACATATAAAAGAAAAAGAAAGCTATATAGTGTTGCGTGCCCAAACTATTTTCATCACTTTTAGTCAAAGTATCAACCCCTCTGGAAGTGGGTAGCCTTCACGCCAAAGCTCAACAAATTCACTCTTATTGACATCCCATATAGAAGACTCAGGATACGCCGCCGACTTAGTGCGGGTCAGCACTCCCTGCATCTTTTGCACTAATTCCTCAAGATATCTCTCGGCTACTCCAGGTGATCCATTGATTTCTAGTAGCCACACTCTAAAGTTAACATCAACTATAAAATCATATCCTAGAAGTTGAAAGCAGCGAAATTGCTCATTTTCAGACACTTCAAGCTGCGTTTTCACTGCCAAAAGTGAGCGAACAATAATATTGGTCATTTGAGGTAGTATGCACCCTAGTAGTGATTCAACATTCATTTCTTTCTTAGCATATAATTCTATTTTGTCAAAACTTATCTCATTGCTCACTTCGTACTCCCCGTCATCCAAATGACCATCCTGAAGACAATGATTCGTAAGATGGGAAGACACGTTGGTGAGGTCTGACAAATTGTAAGCACTACTCGCAGTGCGGCAACATCCTTTAGAAAAGGCAAAAATGGTATAATTGGGGCTTATCAACAGAACCCAGACCCGTATATCGAATTTGCGATTCTGTGAAACCAGTAAAGGTCGGTCCACATATAGCTGTGCAACATACCGACGCTTGCTAGTGGGCTTCAATGTCTCCACGAACTTCACCACTTCTGTACTGCGAATCAAGAGGATATCCTGACCTTTGCCACCGCTACTAGGTTTAATAATCCATAGAGCGGATGGGTCACGGATTGCACTATCGGCGAATAGTGCGCGCTCATCACATACTTTTTCTGGGTCTCCACCCAACACAAATGATCTTGGCAGCCATTCAGTGTGTGTTGAGTCAGCCTGGCGAAGGATCTCTGTCATGGAAGCTTTCAGAGTAATTTTATGAGAGCCCTGAAAATAGTTGATCCAGCGAGTTCCGTGGAAAAATGAATGTGCCGGAAGCGATTCACAGCGAAGAAGGTGGTACGGAATGGCGAAGCGATCACCTAAAACGAAGTCACAACTTGTAAGCTGTGACTTCTTCACACACTTCCAGCCCATTCTCCTTAGTTGTCTAGACATCTCATCGTATACTGAAAATTTGCTATCGCCTATGAAAAACGTTCCCACATAAACATTTTGACCTATACCTTCCTCATAACACATGAACAGAACTGCTAAATATTAAACACTCGCATTTATAAACACCTTCAGACAAGAATCAACGAAGAAAAACTACTAGAACAGTATTCATGACGTAGAAATTTTATGTTGTAACTATCTAGGGACCCCCTGACATGATAAATGTCATACATAGTGTCGACGGAAAGAAATCCCAAGTCTAAATTCATCACCATCTGTGGATTGATTTTGATCATTGGCTAGAGTTTTCCCTTAATATCTATATTAACTTAATCCCATGACACAATATAGGGGGGGAAGAGACAAAAGCCTCATCCTCTGCACAGCACCGCCACGGAAGATTCTATTATGCGTTGAAGATCCGTACCACACCGTCCATACAACTCACCGCCATAACAGAGCTTCTCGGCCAGCACACTCCACTTACCTTGCTATGGTCAGTACTCAATGTGTCAAGAACACACTCCGCGATCGGAGCGCTCTCTAGAAGTTTTGCTGTGTAGTACAGCTTCAGATCACACATTCCAACCGCCAGGTAAATACCACTGCTTTCCTCGAATGCTACTGATGCCGGTGAGAGTATTGAGTTACCTGAAGTATCATTAGGAGTCATGATTTCAGCCACAGGTTCATCAATCTTACGTAAGTCCCATAGTAACACACGACCATCGCTTAGACCTGTTGCAAGTGTGACGCAGTCTGGGTGTAAGTCTATGCTATTCGGGTAGCACCTTAATTCAGAGGCATGGGCAGAGGAGTCTGTGCGGAGGGAGAGAACCGTATCCGGGGCAGCTAGCTTCACGTTCCACAACATGAGTTCACCATTTGTTGTGCCAATCGCAGCCAAGGAGGCATAGGGGTGAAGCTCGGCGCATGTGATACCACTATCTCTTGCCCCCGTTGCCACCACAGCCTGTTCGCCAACCTCGATATTAGAAATATATAGAGATCCATCTGCGCTGCCTACCAGTGCGTACGTCTCACCAATAAGCCGACGACTAAGGGCCGATGCCCCATTCGCATAGCGCAGCGTCCCCTCACAGGTTAATTGACCAGGCTCTGATCCCCAAATCTTCACCGTGTGATCCTCGGAGGCCGAGATAATGCGAGCTCCCTCATGGGCCGTGGTGATAGTGTGCACGTGCTTGTGATGGCCCCCGCCAGTTGCTAATACACACTTCTTTGTCATGTCATATTGCAAAATTTCCAAGTTTGTAGTCCCCGCAGAGTACAACAGATCGTTCGCGATGGACAAACAAAGGGCACTTCCTGTGTTGTTCGGAATGACCTTGACTTGAGAAACCTCAACAAAAGAATCCGACAGCTGACTAGGTAAATCTATTAGACTCTGCTTTCGCTGCTTGCGTTTTTTACGCTGCATTGCCTCTTGACTATCGATTAGTGACAGTACTGGAGAAGATACGACCACAGCTTCTTCCTCATTTTTCTTGCTCTCACCATTCCCATTTGAATGACGCTGCCTTTCCTGACGCAGTTCATCGCATTCCATCGTAAGAGTAGCGATAACTCGACAAGCAGCCTCGTATTGCTGCAGTGCATGCGCCAGCTCCTGTTCCATCTGTGCTAATTTTAGACGGAAAGAGTACTGTTCAAGCATGACTGCGTCCCATTCAATACGCATACGCTCTAGTAGCTCTAAAACAGAGCATGCGCCGAGAATCGGCGGTGTGCCTCCTCCGCCCCCTGCAGTTCCCCCACGCACAGGCAAAAGATCCTCGCGAGTGAGGGGCTCGCCTGTGACAGGACATCGACTGTACTCATCAATGTATTTCTCAATCAAGCTACGCTCAAATAGGCATCCACCCCGCTTAGTAATAACGGGATTCTGCGGGACTCGATTAGATATCGCACACAGCATTATTTATATTAGTGGTAAAAAGGAACAATCAGCAATAATGCACTTTATGCGATATTCAGCTAATATCCCTTTTTACTTTACTTTTACCCTAATAGAGTTTAAATTTACTTTTGTATTTCCAAATTCAAGAAGATGGTTGGAGCACATTAGGATAAAACTCTATAAGGCATGATGTAGATTGTATATGAAATTTTAACTAAGTTTTTATCGGGCAATATGTAGATCATGTGATGCATCCTCAAGATTGCAAGCGAGTTATTGTCTCCGGTAATAGCTCAAAATCAACTGGATTTCACTCATACATAGCGAAATAGTATTAAATTTATTGAGCAAGCTGTAAAGGTTTTGACTGTTTAAAGATAGTAAAATTCTAGGAATATAACGCTTCATTCTTCACAAACCAACTGACAACGTTGTATTCTAAAAAATAACTAGAATTTGTCATTTCAGGTCTTTTAATTAGCAAGTGTTCAGGTAGCCACAACCACAGGGAAATTGAGAAGGGTTTTGCTCGTCAAAGTTTATGCATTCTCTTTTATAAGTGTCCAATGACAATTTACGAGTTTCGATTCCGATACTTAACTACCCCGAGTGTGAGACGGCCAGCAAAATTAGGCATCCTAATTTCCCAGATAAACGTATGCACATGGAATATACAGATGCATATTTACCCACCTCAGGGATGATTTGCCGATATGAGAGTATTTACGCGTCCACATGTAGAATGTGACATGACGAACCATCCTAAAGAAGCGTCCGCATAATCATTCCCCACACGTCAGTGCAAGTTGTCACATTTCAGTGTCCGGCATAAATATATCTTCGTCAATATTATCATAAATAAAATCCTCTTTGGTAAGGTAAAATCGCACTCTTTAGGAAGTTTCCAGAAACTTTCATCACTAATTCGTACTTCCTTTAGCAACATGAAATAAGCCATGTGTCCCGAAGCGCTTCCTTAGCAGATGGACGTTTAGATGGGTTTGAATTTGTAAGCCTCAGAATGAAATGTTTGGCTTGCAGACTCATGTTCCTACAAGAAGGATGCTGGAAAGGTATCATATTCTTTATTACTTCAGCAAACACTTTCGTCGGTGTGGGACCATCGAATGGCAACAGTCCCGTAAGCATCACAAATGCTACAACCCCCACTGACCAGATGTCACATTTCTCGTTGTATAGTGGCTGATTGTATGTGACACGATGTTCCTGTAGACCAATGAGGGCGATCTCAGGGGCGCAGTACTGAGGTGAACCCACACATTGACTATTTGGTATCGTACGTGTGGCTAATCCATAATCTCCAATGGCAGATATCTCATCCGATAATTTTTGTGACCTTCCATTTGATCGTAAAAATATGTTTTCAAGCTTAATATCACGATGCATAACACCCACACCATGCAGGACTGCCAAGCCCTGCAGTATATGCTGCAACATCCGAGCTGCGCACACCTCTCGGATAGAGCCAATCTCAATCTGATGTTGATATAGCGTCCCACCTGGAATATACTCCATCACAATCATAACTGCATCTGTTTCATCAAACACATCAAGCACATGCACTAAATTAGGATGCACAGGAAGGCTCAAGCCAATGCGTGCCTCCTCTAGACTCAAGTCTATGCGTCGTTCGTTCAATCGGGTCTTGTCATACACCTTGACTACAGAGGTCTCATTAGATTCTTTATTTACACATCGGAAAATTTTTCCACCGGTGCCATACCCCAATGGATTATGATCTTTTACGTATTTGTCGATAAACTTCATTAGCACCTCTTGAATCACGATACCTTAGGATGGAAAATCGTTGCTTCGTTTCCAGTAAGAAGGAAAATAGGAAAAACTAGCACTAATTGAACGTAGTAAACATTTGAAACTCGTATTAACGCTAAAATGTGTGGCACACATTATATTTAGTTTAGTCATGGTATGTCATGGGTTCTATTAGTTTTGAGGCTTAGACATACCATGTTGGAGCCACACCAGAATTATGCGTAATCATGCAGGTTTCTGGCTAACAGCATATAAAACAAGCAAATTTGCCGAGCATGGTGAAACCTCTTTTGAACGTCGGATGACGATATCCTGAAAAATAAATGTCGCTCCAATGCCCTGAAATACTTGCTACGTATTCTCTAGTCTTTGCTTCACAAACTGTTATGTTGACAGTGCGCTAATACTGCTTCTCGCACTACATAACACTTCAGTGAAATTCTTTCAATTGTTAAAAAAGAACATTACCCTTCGAAAAAGCAGCTATGGGTTTGTTCTTGGCTTGTAATTCCTTTGCCCAGTTGTAAAGCGCTCCCCTCCAACGGAATTATCTCACGGCACCGTACATCACAACTTAACTCTCATGCTGTATTCAATTCTCATCAAACCCAGTATCTTAAACTTAAGAATAAGTATTTTGTCTGGAACATGAAAGCATTTTGGGGTTGCTTCACACTACCAAGCTCATTTACTAATTAGAGAATAACGTATACATGCCTCGGAAACGCTATCATAGTTTCTTTGAATTAAATTTTATGCCAACAAGAATAGCATCGTTGACTAGAATCACTAGACTGGATTAGTATCGTATCCATTTACTATACTACAGAAGCCATCGAGAATAAAATTTATCCAGTAAATAAATAATTGACATGCAATGATGTTCATCCCTTTCTTTGCTCGAATAAGGGGCATGTATTTGTTTGCATGGCAAATCATGGTAACTTATGGTTCGTCCAAGACACCACTCATTAGATTCTGGTGGGCATATAAACATTGTTTCATCCACTTCCAGATTTCCGCTAGGCTCATGGAAAGTAATCCCTTGATAAGGCTTGACTAATAAGCAATTAGATTGTAAAATGCTCAGTTGTAGGCTTCTATTTCATGCAAGATATCTAGATAATTCTCCTAAAGCTATTTCTTCGCCATGCCATATCTCAAGGGTTTCCGGCATCATTGTTAGAGAGATATCCCACCATCCACTATAATTGTTTGTCCTGTGATGTAAGGTGACAAAATGGTGCTGACCACAACATCCGACACTTCACTAGCCGTTGCCAGTCTTCCTAACGGGGAGGCTCTGCGCCAGGCCTCACACTGCGCCTCCGTCAGCGTGCGACTCATTCCTTCACCTTCCAGTAGCCCTGGAGCAACCACGTTAAACCGAATGTTCTTGGAACCGTATTCCTTTCCCAGTGATTTGGCAGCCCCAAGGAGTGCGGCTTTGGTGGCACTGTACAACACTTGACCTTCATTTCCAGTAACGCCAACAACAGATCCCACGAAAAGAACGCTGCAATCCTGCATTTTGAGTAAGCCCCCGTAGCGTAGCGCAGCTCGTGTCACGTTGAGGCTACCTATTAGATTGGTTTTGATGACGAGGTCATAATCTCTGTCAGTGTTGAGAAGAAAAAGTTTGTTTAAAGTAATACCGGCGCAGTTTACAACCACTGATACGTCTCCAAGTTGTTCTTGTATAGACTTAAAAAGATTGTTGCAATCATTGCTCTGAGTAATATCAGCCCGGAACGCATTGCAATTCACTGGCAGTGGTGTGGCGAATGGATTTCGCGACACACAGGCAAGTTTCATGTGATGCCTCAAAGCAAGACGATTAACTATTTCTCTTCCAAGAGAACATGATGCACCAGTAATAACGCCTACCTTGCCGCTTACATCCCATGACATCTTGTTACTTTTTCTACCATTTTCGGGGAATTCAGAGATTTTTAAAAAGGGAGAACACAAATCGTTAAACCCAAACGGCACATCAAAAGGTAACAACAAAAGGTCAAAATTAGTAATAAAGGCAATGTACTACTTTTTGCTGAGACTGCTTCTTGAGAAAATATATCACCCTATGATTGCATCCATCATTAATCAATATGCATTTTAATTACAACTAGTGGCTATATCGTGGTCCGAAAATAAAGGACAACGAATATGCTCTAAAAAAGTGAAAATGATATCTTAAGGATTATTTGTCTTCATACGATTCTGAAGATGTGGATAATGCCCTGTCATTGCGTCTAAGAAAAAGTCCTTTGCAGAGAAAATCGACAGATGCTCCTGTGGGTGTCATACCCTATAACAGAACTGCAGCAGCATGTGATGTGTGACCTATAACTGGTGGTAGCAGCGATAGCGATCCATCCTTCGAGAAGAGTCTATCAAAGTAGACGATGTTAGCCTTAGCCCTTTAATCAAGACCATACTGTAAATATCATGACTTCTTACCATTTTGTCTGAAAACGCCATAAATAGTACCTATGCTTGGACTGGAGAATCACAATTTTTCACTCTTCCGCTGTTATCAAGCGAGTTTACGCAATCGTTTTGTAGAGGAATACCTTCTATTATTGAAACATGCGGGTTACAAAATTCATTCCTCTTCGTAGATAATGGGCTGAATAACTACCCTGAGAATACGTCTGATGCCGCACCCTTAACAGCTATTAAGGTATCTTTGTCTACCTCTAAACTAGGATCACTATCTACGGATTTAAAAAAACTACAAAATTCTAATGGTGTGACCTGTGGGAACCATTGATGTGTTCTTAGATAATCCTTGCTTATATGGAACGATAGCAAAGCGCTGAATAACCGTTGTTTATCATCATCATTCAATGGGATGAACTTGAAAACAAACGGTAATACCTGAGCCACCCAGGGATCCATTCCTTCATTTAGACATCTTAAGCGGAAATATGCGTTTTACAAGCTAATGCTTTTGTATCACTACCAGCGCCCCTGCAGTTGGTGCTGTGAAAAAATAGTCTTCATTCCAGTGGTAAAGTACTATCCCTAACGATAACCTCTAGTACATTCATCATTTCTTCGCTCAGACTTTGTACACGAGATTGCACTTCAAAAACAACACGAGGGAAAATTTCGGCCTTTATACAATGCTTATTGTGAACAGGAAAAAGAATCAGTGGCAGTGTAGGTGAGTGTGTGTAAGCAAATTCAGGCTCAGTAAAGAATACAGCGGTAGTAGCAATACATGTGTTACCACAGCAGGATGTTGTTATGTGTATGTAATTGCAGCAATTGTGGAATCATTAATTCGATTCAACATGCTGTAACTAGAAATATCGGCTGTGAGGTGTAGCTTCCATCCATATCGCAGTATTCAGTACAATGATCAGCCATAAAATCATCAGATCTGAGTCAAACGAAACGTAGATGTTGTTAATAAGAATTTTGCTAATTTCTTTCGCCTTTCTTAACATTACGATTATCGAAAGAAAAAATGAGGCGCTTTCGACGACATCTGCAACGATTCTCCGTATATTTTGAAATTCTACCTTGGTTTTGGATTCAGTACCTTTCTAGAAGTCGACGTGGGAAGGGAATGATTCTTGGTTCAATGTCTTCCCAAATTTCATTGCTCATGACCTCGTATGTTGCCTGGCAATTCTACACAGACTATTAGTGTACCATTAAAATCAATGAACTTAGTTTGTTCTATAATCTTATCGGGGTTAAGTTCACATAATCACAAAGGGAAACTATTTAATTACAAGAAAATTTTTAAAAAGCGATAAAGCCGTTCTGCACCAAAGAAACAAATTCCAGAGCAAATCATCACCATCAGAATACCAAAGACTTTCAGTAGTGGTATTTAACGTGGTGCTCTTGTAAATTCTATTAGTTTAGCTTTATCACTGTTTCGATTATACGCACATATAATTTTAAGCAGGTAGGAAATAATTTTTCATTATTAGCCTTCAAGTAAAGCGCAAAGTATTCCTAAATTTACTGCAATGCACGGCAATCAGCCATGGATATTAAACAATATAAGTCATATAGTATAATTTCGAGGAAACAGTAATAATATAATGAGAAAAAATGATTAGCAGAAAAGGAATTAATAGAAGCTTAGAACAAACACCCAATTGTGTAAAAATGATCGGAAAAAAAGTCTGTTAGTGGGAAAAAGGGGAATTATATTTAAATACTTGGAAACGAACGGTGAAGATTCACAGCAGACTGAGATAAAGATACCCCTGCTTGAGCGTCCGATATAATACCAAAAGTATCAGCTAGCTCACGTGCTGAGCATCCGTCACCCAGAACCCCGTCCACTATGCGCTCTACATATTCTTTCCTTTCACGCCAAAGAAGACGAGCGTTTTGGTAGCGCCTCACAATGCGCCGCATGCTATCATCGGCGTAGTCACCCTTACAAGAGGAGACATCACCCAACTGAGCGTTCTCCCTTGCCTCTAAAAGTTGTTTCTCCATGGCATCTACTTCAGCCAATGCGAGGGAAAGCTTTTCTTTACGCTCAGACACGGCTAGACTTTGTTTCAATTGCGTCAGAAGTTGTTCCTTTTCTTGGATTAAGCGCGACACACTTAAGATGTCCTCGATCAGTTGATTCTTTTCCTCAATGCATTCAGTGTTATGTTCAGTTTCAGTGATGGTTTCAGTCACTTCATTTTTTGTATCCATCAACCCAGAGATGCGTATGTTATATGCGTCCATATTCAGGAAAAAAAGCCTAACCTTCTTGAGGTCCTTCGTCCGAAGCTTCCCCTGTTCTGAGAGATTCTCCAGTGTCTTTTGGATGAGAGTTTTTGCTGCACAACTTCCAAGCGCGTCTGTGAGGGATTGTACAGTGGCGGGTTTATTTTCTTTTTCAAACCAATTCAAGATCATTTCTGCGGCCTCATGTAAATCTGTCACCTTGTTCAGTACTGGTTTCCTGGTGTTCATGGCCTTAATTCAAACAATTGCTAGAATGAATATATTCATGAAGAAAACAAAACTAAGGAACAGCTAGGAAAAATGAGGAAGACGCAGGTTTGCATTTATGTAGATGCATATATTTGTACTGTAAAGTCCTTAAATAGTGTCTGTTTTGCTTTTTGTCATAGCCGTAACAAGCCGATTAGAGGATACCGCACATGAAGCAGTGCACCATCACTTGAGTTTTGCTGGTACGGAAGTATATTTCCCTATATCATTTTCAAGCAACATAATCTTTTTTAAGTGTTTTATGGGATAGTTATGAGCTACGGAAAGAATGGTTTCCCGAGTTGTCTAAAATTTTCTGGATTCAAAACACGAAAACTCGCCACCACTTCTTGGTATCCATCCAAAATAACTCGCGCAGGACCACTAAGAGCAAATTTTGCTGCCATGGAATTAGACTTAATATGCTCTTTTTTACTTGAGTTAACAATTACAACATTGTTTCGATCCAAATTCCAATTAAGCAACAGTCGCTGGGGTGAATATCCACACTGCTCCGCGAGCATCATAATTGTCTTTTCATTCGTTAGGGGAGTAAATTCTGGGGGAGTAGTCTGCGTTGGCATGCCGAGTGGGCAGTACGCAGCTGTAAGCAGACCATTCTTCTGGTGGCAGGTAATCAATTTATCGTTAACCAGCGCAGGATGGAGCTCTATTTGATTGAGAACAGGTGCGTTAAGTGAGCCCTGCGCCATTACTTCCTTCAGATGCATCGCATTACAATTTGACAACCCAATAGAATGTACGATGCCCTTATCTACCAATTCACTCATTGCTTTCCATGTATCTGAAAGACTCACATTTTCGACTACAGCTGGAGACCCATCTAAATTTTTGGGATATTTATCATCCTCTGTCTCAAACTTGGAGGAGTGTCTCCAGCATACCGGCCAGTGTATAAGGTACATATCCAGATAGTCTAGCTGCAGGTCTCTCAATGTTTCACGGCAGGCTGATTCCACACTATCAGGATGTTGATCCGTGGGCCACAACTTGGACGTTATAAACATATCTTCTCGTTTAACAAGCCTATTTTTGAAGCATTTCTGTAACGCAACCCCGATTTCCTTTTGATTCATGTAGACTTTAGCACAATCAATATGGCGAAACCCACAGCCGATGGCGTAACCAATCACAGTTTCAGCCTCACTCTGAACCATTCGATACGTGCCAAGTCCCAACTGTGGGATCGTTCTGCCGTTTCGCATGTTTAGGCGATTGGAGACGCCTAATACGGGGCCATCAAGCGGCCGATGCATAAGGAAGGGCAACGACATTTTCAGAGATGATTATTATATGTCCTGAGTATTATTAAAATTAAACACAGAAAATGAAGGGAAAAAATGACATATAGACTAAATACATCGAAATACAATAATGCAATGCGACGATGTTATTTGCAATACTTATGAAAAATATTTATCAACAATTGACCATAAAGCAGTGCTGCTTAAGGAGATACTTACTTATATTTTAAAAACTTACAATATCACTGCTTAGTTTATACAGCTTTTCGTGCATGCCAGAGTTTGCAATCAAATCCAACACGACGAAAGAATGAAGCATGCATACATCTTGCTCACCTCTTTCTGGCACCCTACACTGTACCTTTTCCCCTGCTATTACTGAGAATGCTTAACATATTGATAATAATAATTACGGGATTAAATATATTGTATTTAAAAACTTAATAGTAATAACAATAATAATAATAATAATAAAAATAATAATAATAATAATAATAGTGATAATAATAATACGCGGACGATCCTTGAAGTTTGGAGTTATGCAGATTTAAAAGGAATATACATTTATCTAATATGGCAAAAAAATTCTTACTGAAAGTGTTTCTCATCTGTGTAAAATGCATATCCTTCTAAATTATTTAACTTTCTCAACTCTGTCTGTCATAGGTTCATGTGCCTTACTGCTGCGCGCATGTGGTAGTGTGTCCACGAGGTCTGTTATCATCACCGTCATCATCGTAAGCGTTACGGCGGCTTTCCTTTTCAAGATCAATCTTCGTCTCTTGCAAGATGCACATTTCTGAGTCATGGTCTGATTTTGGTTGATGTGGGTAGCCAAGAGTACTGCGCAGATTTGGAATTAAGCTCTGTTCCATTTTCTTAGGGAAGACAACGTTGAACTTTATTACGAGGTCACCTTTTTCAACCCCACCAGTGTTAGGTACCGGCATACCCTCACGGTGAACACTGTACATGTTCGCAGGATCTACCACCATACCTTCTGGCGATTGAATCTTTAATTTACGATTATCCAAGTGTGTAATATTGAAGGAAAAGCCAGTAAGGGCTTCAGCAAGTGAAATGGAGCGCTCAATGAAAAGGTGATTACCCTTGCGAATGAACGTAGGGTGGGGTTTCTGCTCAAAAATGATTATAATGTCTCCAGAGAGCCTCACATCGGGAATCTGATCACCTTCACCACGGAATGTGACGCTATCCCCGCGATGCATACCTTTATCCACAACAACTTCAAAAATCTTCTTATCCTTGATGGTTTGCTGACCCCTGCACACCTCACATTTATCTTCCTCCTTCAGGCTGGTTCCTTTGCCTTGACATGCTGGGCAGGTTACCTGCATCTGTTGGATAAAACCAGGTCCGATTTGCCGAGTTATCATACGTACACCGCGCCCATTACACTCTCGGCATTTAATGCTTGCGTTAGGGATCTTAGAGCCAGTGCCAGAACACTTAGTGCACAGACGGTCGCGCGTAATAGCAAGCTTAACTGTTTTGCCGGTGTAAAAGGCATCCAGCGACACAGGTAATTCATGGATAATGTCCTTTGGCTTCGGCTCGCCGCGTGATCGGGTACCACCGCCAAAGAAACTGGCGAAGATGTCGCTAGGGTCGATGCCACTTTCCATCCCCTCACCCTTGTCACCAAACTGGTCATATAATTTCCGCTTCTCTGGATCTGACAAACACTCATAGGCTACAGATACTTCTTTGAATTTTTCCTGCGCCCCAGGCTCCTTATTTTTGTCTGGGTGGTACTTCAACGCGAGCTTACGGTAAGCACGCTTGATTTCATCTTCGGTTGCCGTGGGAGACACTCCAAGGGCGTCGTAGTACTTTGTTTCTGCGACCATTTTATCCCTTTAAAATTTAGGTTTGTTTTATTGTGTATCCTAGCTCTTTTCCAATCTTTTCTAGCGAAGAAACACCGCAATAGATAATTTAAGAAATCAAAAAGTAGTAGTGCACCCACATGAAACGTTAGAAATACGTATTAGAAATACCCATAGGGTCAAAAAAGAAGTAGATTCTGGAAAAGGGCTAATGCAATAGTTGATTAAAGGGAAAGGACAATAACAATATAGGTTTAATATAGTAAATAATCAAAATGCCAACAAGTCTTATGCAACTAGATAAGATTTGGCTAATAATGGAAAAGTATGGCAGAAACTATACATTGTATTTTTTTATTATAATGATTATAACTCTTAGAAAGGCTTTAACTTGCGTTGAATTAGTATGACTTCCTTTTCAGGAACACCAAAATTCTTAAGTAGGCACAAAACATCATCGACCAGCTTCTTCTCCTCAGTATTCAAAAACAAAGCGATGTCTTCTATGCGATTGACACGACACAACCCCTTGAGGTACTGTAGAACTGTAGATCCAGGAAAGCGTCTTATTGAGCGCAAAAGTCCGATAAAGATTTCAGGTGTCATGTTGCTTCCAAAAAGGGAGGAAAATAACGCCGGATTTATAGAACTTACAAAATGATCCCTAAGTTCTTCATCAGATTCAATCTCTGAAAATATTTTCTCGAACTCAATAAATGATTTGGGGCTTTTAAGCGATTCCTTTGTTAATCTTGGGCGCGGATGCACAGTACGAGGCTGTTTATCTTGCTTTGCGGCAGAAGATATGTTAATTTTAGCTTCGTTATCCTTAGCTTGGGGTGGTGGTAGGCCGAGTTTTTCGTCTACATGGGTTGTCACATCGGACACGTTGTTAAGTGAATTTTTGACTGCCCCGGGTGATTTGTGAGCGTAATTGATTTCATCTTCTGCCTCTAGAACCTCAACTCGTGTGCTTTGACGACGTTTTGTCTCCATCTCTTTTTCCAATTTCAAAGTAGCCTCTAACCGATTACGTTCATCATTCCGAATAATACGTTCTAGCTCTTCCATATTTTCCTTGACTTGCTCTTTCCGTTGCTTCTCTTCCTCCGAAGGCTCGATAAACTCCGATGGCTCCGCATCACTATCGTCGACTTCCTCAATGGCAATACGTTTTCTCGTTGCTGTAGGGGCTGCAGTCTTTTCACGCTCAGACTGCAACATTTTCGTCACTACATTGAGCTCCTCAAGCGCGGAAGTGTCATTTGGTACAAGCGCTAATACGGATTCCAAATCGGAACGAGCTCCCTTGAAGTCATGTAGATTTTTACGAGCTACTGCACGTCGAAAATAACCTTTGACATAACTTCGGTTCATTTGTATGCAAACTGTTGCATCCTTTTCTGCCTTCTCCCATTGCTTCTCCCTAATCCAACACATGGCTCGATTTGCATAAAGAATGTGCGCTATGTCGCCCTTCGGATCCAACTCTATTCCTACGGTATATGAGTCTATGGCATCCTTGTTTTTACCGATACGAAAATATTCATTGCCCTTTTCCTTCTGAATGTGAATTGGGTCTTGCTCAGGGGATAGCTGCTTACCTCCTTTGCGCGCCAAATCAGCAAGCGCCTGTTTTATAGAGGGAACGGTACCACGGATAGGGACCTCGGCTTCGACCGAGAAAGTAGTCGCTTTACGGCACTTTTTAGATTCCTCAAGCTTCTCCATTTCATTCACCCATTGATCCAAGTCCTTTAATTCGTCCCTTAAATCATCTGATTGCTGACGAATCGCCGTTACTGCAGTTACATTCATTAGGGAAAGAGATGCCTTATATTTTGTAGAATTTTTCAATGCTACTGGCGCTCAACTTAGCACGAGAAAAAAAAAGGCACAGGAAGAATAAAAAAGTCATATTGATCAATCTAATAAACACTATACGTATCCTGAAAAGACGCAAAAATTCAGCAAATGATCAAATATGCTCTATATGGGTAGATAAAAAAGCAAATATTTAGACGATTCTATGAATTACGAAGGTTCAAATGTAATAATATTTTGCAACTATTGTACCGATGTTATAGCATGCGGATAAAATGCGGCTACATGTGATTCCACCCAGATCACTCTTCAAATCATGCATAATAATGTACAATATAAAAGATGAGAAACGTCGGAACGAACATAGTCAACGGGATTCGAATGTAATCCCTTTTGATATTATCTTCATCAGGAGACAGGTATGCTAAGAGTGCGCAGACAAGGTAAAAGAATGCATGGACACATCCCAAAGTGCTCATCCAGTCACCGTCCAGAAACGTTAAGACTAAAGCAACAATCCAAATATATAATAATATTTTGGATGCGGTCTCAGGTTTGATATTTGAAATATGCGCAGTTGTATCCGCAGCCATAAAAGTTGAAGCTAGAGTTGCAACAAGTACAAAAAGTTCGTAGAGCATTATGAAATCAAGAACTTAAAAACACAAAGAAAAAAAAACAGAGAAGCTTTAGATCAATTCGTGAGAAACTGAATGAAAAATCGATGCCAATAATGCGTAGCATTAGCTGTTCTTGTTTTTACATAAAGTGACAAATTATCTTAACAGACAGTGATAAAATATTTCATTACTATGCAATAAAGAATGAGAATCGACTCAATCGCCCTCATAATTTGGGATACAGGTCTATCATTGTCGAATGTAGCCAATAATTATATAAAAATAGCATTTCTCAACGGTAAAATGTTACTTTTCAAGACATTTAAATGCCTTTGCCTCATCTGCCTTGGTCCATTTTTGGTCACGGTTGAAAGCATCCTTTATCACATTCATCAAGCAGACAAATGCTTTGCGACGCTGAATATTATCCTCATCCTTTGAGGCGTGTTCTGCTCTTATGCGGCATGCATACGAATGCATATAGTGTAAGGTTTCGCCCTGGAGACGGGTTTGCAGCGCAATAACTAGGGTAAGGGTAACAAGCCAGAATAAAAAAATCACCTTTCGACACTTCCTCTTATATTCTATGTCTATTTCTCGGAAAAGATATGGGGCAAGCTGGGGATCTCGTCGAGCATAAATATCTAAGTGAATCATGTATGAGGATCCTTTAGTTTTGTGTTCGAGGATGCTGTAACGTCGTGCTAAATTAAATGCACCTTTATCTCGTAAAACTAATGAGGTTACTAATCTATTCATTTCCTTACCCGATGTCTTACATCCCCAGTGAAAAGGCTAAGAGTAAAAAGGGAAAACAGGTAATCCAAAGGCAAGACACTACTTTCTATGTAACTTCTGCTCTTAAGCTGATGCTTTTTTAGTTAAAAAAAATATGTCGCGAATTGTAATTTAAAACAGAAAATTATTAATCGTATGCAATTAGAATTAAATAGGCTTTACTTAATCTAGAAATGCTTCTCACATTTCTACCATCAACATTTATCTTTATTCTCGGGATCGCTTAACCACATCCTTGCCTCTTAATTTTTTTAACTTTTCTAGTATATTTTTTCGAGTAACCTCAGCTTTCGGGATTGTAGCGGATTCATAGCGTGCTTTTGCTGCACGAAGCCTTGGGTAAATCGGAGTACCCATTCGCTTTTCAAGTAAACTGACTGCAGATGAGAACCTTGTGACAGCAGCCAAAAGCCTCCAATTAGCTGTTTTGGTGGAGTTTAATCGATTATCAATATCCTCAATGTATTTAAAAATTATTCCGAGGAGGGTAATGCATGATTCTTCACTAAATCCGCGCTCCAAAATATTTGAAATAACTATAGTGTACGAATCTTTCTTTGAGAGCTCGTAAATATCTGGCCATCGTTGTAGCAGCTCACCTATTTCAGAAACTATTTGTGGTGACAAATGCCGAGTTAATAGTTCGATGAACTCAACATGAGGCCTTGAAGTAGAACTGCCTAAGGAATCCTTGAAAACATTAAACAGAAACAATGGACCAATCATTGAAGAGCTTTCGTCGTTTGTAGTGCTGCTTCTGCTCTCATCGATAATTAGTTCACAACAGCGCAACGCTGCTAATTTTGTCTCCTTTTCCCTAGCGGCTCGACAAATGGCTAACTTCGCTTTCGCATCATCTACAACAAAATTTGCAAACTCATGATCAATTGAAAATAGACGGCCAGCTGCTACCAGAGTTAATGTCGATCCGAACAAATGTTTTAAATCACATGATTTTAGATTCTTCAGTATGCCCTTGCGGTGATCTCCCTTGCAGTCTCCACGATACACAAGTGCATCTAACAATTCACTAAGAGATGTTGACAAATTGTATTCAATGGGCTTGATGAATAACAAATGTGCACTGTAAATCCCCGCAGCTTCCTTTGCAATCACGTCAACTGTCTTAGTTGTGCCATACTTAACAAGTGAAGTAAGGATTGACGTTCCCGGGACACTGTTGAGCATGACTTGAATAAAGGGAAGTATAGCTGTCAGTAAATTTCTTTGGGGAGAGCGAATTGTTGCTGTAGAAAGCACATGTTTAACATTCTTAGCAGACACTGCAGAAGTTAAACATTTTTCCTTCGTACTCTCAATAGTATAAATCCATTTTGAGGGATCCAACGATAACTCATTAGACATTCTCCACTTGATATGTCGTTTGATTCACTGGGGGATATGGGAAAAAAATGGAATACATATAAAGGAAATCTTGTAATAGCAGTTGAATAAGCAGTATAATGAGCTTTTTACAGAAATGCTTTAGAGTAATACAATAAAGTAAATCAAATTTTTCCACCGTAACTGCATGTGATGCGGGAAAATATATCTGGAGTACAACTATAAAGGATTTAAAAAAATATACTTGTCATCTCTAATGTAGCCCATAGCAATTGCACCAGCAGAACTACAACAATAAAAGATACATCATATTAGCATTACCAAGAATAAAAGTATTTTATAACTGTACTTATATCAAAGTGCGAGTCTTCAAGGTAACACTTTTCGTCTCATACCATTAAACGTTGAATCAATGGCATATCTAATCACTGTCTTCATAATTCGCTATGCTTTGAGAGAATTAGCATTCGAGTATTACATGCATCTAGTTATACATCTAAGTCATGATAAAAATAAAATCATTTTAATGATTTTTAGGTTGCATACAATAGTGTAGAACATTGTGTATGCACTTTCATTTTTCAAAAAAGTGTTAGAAAATAACAAACATTTCGATCAAAAAGTGTCATCTTTATTTCATTGTGTGATAGACAGGATAAGCTCTCATAAAATGCAATGGTCAACTGATGTATTTTGATTAAAATAAACTGAATCCAATGAACAAGTAACAGAGTAAGCGCAGAAGCCAATAACTCTTCTCACCTAGTGGAAATATTAACACAGATTATTGAGCAGTAATATATGAATATAATAATAAAAAAAATAAAACAATGACAAAAAATGATACACATTGAAACAGACCTAAGGGTGGAAATATAAGAGCATTAATTTCCCACTGTTGACTCAGATTTCACGATGTTGTTTGATATACAGCTTATACCTTTCTCAGTATGCTTTCAATAAGGAGAGGATGCAATTACTATGCAATAAAAATAAGCAACCTTTTTCCGAACTATTACAGACGAATAGGAATGATTCCTATAAACGGACTTTAAATCATTGATATAAGTCTGCATAAATATTCCCACAGACATCTCAAGTTTTGCACAATGTTACAAGACTAACTGCTTCTATTATCATATTTTTGTAGCATCAGGCTTTGAAAAATACTTAAACAACCATTGACAAGGTGTTAGATATATTAGGCTTAATATGTTTGAGGAAGGCAAGAAATTAAAACTGAGATCAGGTATTTTGAAATCGCATCGATTAAAAAGGGCTGTTCAATACTCCAACTTCTATATAATGTCCCTCCTTGCAATCTGTTGCGGAATCTACATTACTCAGGGTGTAATTCCAGTAGTAGGGGAAAAAGACAGCACATTATTCCTATTTAAAACGAATTCTAAATCTTCCACTCATTTGTGTATAGATTTAGATCATTAAGTTTTTCTAAACCATAATCCTGGTTGTAGAGCTCATTTTGAGTCAAATCAACACTGCATAAAACGAGTGAACATCGTCCCCTACGATCTCATCGTTGTAGACTTCTAACCAATGAGGACACCAATATAGGAGATTGGAGCTATCAAACATACAACCGACAGACCTTGATGATGCAACCCTAAGAAAATCAAGTTCACTTCATCCAGTAGCAGGACACTAACCTGAAAGATCTGAATTCCGATAACTATATCACAAGTTGAAGACATCACATTTCAACTGCACCCCATAACGATCCATAAACCCTTAGATAAAATTCAATCAAAACACCCGGTAAACTGCCCCAAGGGCCTAATAGCTTTCATAAGGTGATGGGGGCCCATTTTTTTTTTCGAGCCATATGCCAATTTTAACCATATTAAATAAATAGTAGCGGCGCCCGATTAAAACAAAAATACTCATAGGGGCGATATAAACTAAAAAAAAACTTTAATCACACCCACCCATTTAGAATAAATTGCGGTCATTTCAAATCCCCCGCCGGGCGAAAAACTGAACCCAAAAAACTGGAAGACAAAGCCACGTTCCTTGATAATTTCTTAATTCAAAATATCATCAAGTTTTATCATAACATAAAAAAAATTAAATGAGAGATAAAGTAAGTTAATCTCAAACCATCTGGTGATTTAGCCGCTGCTCCCCCCGCCTGGGGGGGCGAGACGCCGCACAAGGGCACTTAGACACATGTCTATTCAATCAAAACTTGACAGAAAATTGCCAATAGCGCATAAAATAAAGCATCACAATAAAAAATATATATCAATTAATAATAAAATGTATTAATTATATAGTATCCATCTACTAGGCTATTGAAAAAAAAAATTCCACAAATATGATTCATTTTATACGCTCGCACGGGGATATTTACAAAAAGAAAAGGATATTGACTATAATAATAATATAAACAATTTAAAGTGGATATACTAAATATACAAAAGGACAATTAAATTAAAAATCCCTAACCTATGCGGTGTCCATTTCCAGAGCCAATGGAGTATTCATAACAATAATAAAAAAAACTAATCCAACACCAGGCGCAATGAAAAAAACATACGCAATGGCTAATTTATGCAAATACCCCCATTAATCTAAGATATATAATTATTTTATCTATAATTCAGGTAAAAATACCCATAGTATTCTTTAATTGCAACTAGCTATTCTGAAATTAAGAAAATTATTACTTTAGTGCGATAAAAACTCCAAATAATAATAAAGTAATATAAATGATAGATTATTAATATGTATTAAGTGCCATTGCCTTAGGCAGGAAATTTTACTAAAATTAACATAATAATGTGTTTGGGTGTGGGGGGTTTATTCTACGATAGTTAGGGCGGGTGGGCCGCACCAGCAAATCCTATCCACTATAAAAACACCTTTGGGCGGGAAATGGCGCGAAAGTAAGTTGGGCATATGGTATCTTTAATCATACGCTAATAATTTATTTTACCGTAAAACAAGAGCTATATATTCTTTTTACGTAATAAAACATAAATAATAATGGAATATCTATATGATTTATTAATTTATCCCTGTGGCCTCGTGGAATTTCCCAATCGATTTTTGTTGTTTGCGTTGAACTTTATCATTAATTATATTCAAAATTGTATTTTAAAGAATAAATTTATAATTTAAAATCATTATGTCTGAGCTATACTCTGTTAGACTTTTTAAATATTTAAACCCTTCGTGGCTATTATTTTTACTATCACCCACATGGCCTATAATTTTATTCCAAAAATTCGAGTTACCACAGTTTCCATTTTTATATTTAATCAGAAATTAATTACCCCACATCTAAATAGATAAAATAGAAGGTTGTGGATAACTAAAATCCAATCGATACGCCTTATCGTAATAATTTCTGAAGTAATGTTGCTATAAAACAATTTTGTTTCTCTAATATCATTACTAAATGCAATTTTAATTTAGTTTCATATTTTTTATTAGAATATCTATTTATCAGGCATTTCATTTTTTAAAATTGATATTTAATTAGATGCATATGTTTATGGTCGGGGGCCAAAAGGGTAACATTTATTCTACTATGATATATAATTTAATGATATTGATGCGCTATTTGTCTCTAAGTTATTGATAAACATTTTTTCTAAGTTTTAAATTTATCGAAATAGATTAAATTTACTTTATTGCCTTGGTGTAAAGGGTTATCAGGTTTTTAAGTTTTGCTGTCTAAGATTGCGGATATGGTTTGAATCTCTTTCATTTTTGTTGCTTAATATAGCTTATTTTAACATTTTTATAAGTAGTTCTTTTTTTCAGTGGTGTTTTTCAAAGTTTCCCCGTTTTGGTTTTCTGGTGTTGGGGAATTTTTTTCCCCACGCGGGGGCCGGCTGATTTTTTACCGCCCCCCCCCCCCCCCTTAGGGCCTCGCACCCCTTGTGGCCTAGCCGTTTGGGTGGATTTTCGACCAGTCTCCTTCTGGCTTTTCTTCTTTTGAGTCTGTCTTCTCTCTGTTTTATTTCCGTCATCTATATACTTATTTCATTAGAAATCCAATTATAAGGAAGTATGCGACACGGGGGCGTGGGTAGGTTGTTGATAGCATTTTGTCTTTGCTGCCTTCGAGGAAGGAAAGTCTATTCCTTGTTTTCTGAGAGTGAAGTTAAGTCATTGGAGTGTCTTATCGAAAATATTGCGGATTCCGGCGATTTCCATTTGTCTCGTGTATTGCTTCTTTCGCTTGAATTAACTGCATGTAAAAAGCAGAGCCTTGATCAGATTGTGCACTTATGTTGTGTTATTTTTCTTCTGGAGATGTTTGGTTCCACAGAGGAGCTACTACTTTGGGCGGAGCAATATAAGATCAGATGTCATAGTTTTAGTTTCCATTTGATAGGTTTTCCCATGAATTGTTGTACTTCAATTCAGGATCGCCTTTTTCATCTAGACACTTCCATGGAAGCAAACGATCCGTTGAGCTCAGATATCACTTTTAACAGAGGGTCGAAAGCTGATGGAATAATTTTTGGCTTAAATGAAGTGCCAAATTACCAGCGGTCAGTGCTAGATAAGCAAACACTTTCAATTCGTCCGTCATTCCAACTTGAGTTCCAGGTGCTTGCCAATAATACATCATGCTGGATGCGTAAATATTACGGGAAAACAATGAAGGCTGTGATTTTTCCTTCTATTCATCAGTGTAATAATACGTCGAATTTCATAATCCTTCTCATAAAGATAAAGGTCAAAGTGATTTTTGTTCAAAAAACTATCAGTGATGATATTAAGGAGCATCTCCTAAACGAGAAAATTTATTGGTTTGAGCGACTTGGCAAGATTCAGACATCTGAGCTTAGAAAAAACATGTCTGAATCCTTTTTTCACACCGTAGATGAGTTTTTATTTGTGTCGAAGAATTCTCTTTCACCTCCAGCTTTAGTTCAGATAAAATTAAAAAGGGATGCATTTGGTGTTTTTGTTCTAGTGAGGAGGAGATGTATGCAAAATAGGCTGGCTTCCACTTTAGAAAATAATGGATGTATTCTTGAAGGGAATGGAATAGAGTGCCGTGATGTCTTTTCATTTCCACCCTTCTCTTCATTAAGGGCCATTGGCCCTGGAAAGAGTTCATTTGTTCATATCGATACGTTTTTTGACACATTAAAGCTGCTTGTTGGTAATCTTTTGCTTGAGTCATCTTGTTCCCTTAAGACAACATATTCCGGGAAAGGTACTACTCGGCAGAGCATTTTAAAGCTTTTATGGTCTACTAGACTTTTTGAAAGTTTAAATTATAGTATTCGTCTATTACAAACTTCTTAAATCTTTATATCCAATGTGCGTATAGTTTATGCATTTTAGTAATTGCCAGCAAAATCCATACTGGGACGAGAATGATAGCTGTTTTTAAAGTTACTGTTTAGTTCCTAACTGTGTATAGGTGAGTAGCAACTTAATGTTTTCCTGTTTTTTTTTAAATTAGCAAAAAAAAAAGCTTTATTCCACCGAATAATCTAGTTGACAAGCAATGAGAGCTTCTGAAGACGGATGGGGTGATATGGTAATGCCCGGTGTTTACATGATTTCAAGAACCTCCCAAAATATTAGGAATTACTTGAAACCTTCATCAAGCCATGATCGAGTAATAGATTTTGAGCAGTTACATAAGGATGTCGAAAAACTTCAACTTGATATTGAACAGTTGGTAAATAGTAATAAAGAAATTCTGACTTACATAAATACCATAGGCGGTGATAAAGATGTCCTATCTTGTATAGAGGGTGAACCGAGCTATACGTGCCCTGAAGATGATGTTGATATTTTTATCGATGCTTTGAAGGAAAACGATCTGGTTATAAGAAAAAAACAACGCGAATTAGACCATCTAAGGAAGATTATGAATGGATTGCGTTGTGGATGTGCTCACCATGCCTTGTTTGAGGATCAAAGAGCTCAACACACTGAAAGTGTAACACCAATTGATCATATCATTTTGTAAGCATTATGATAGATAAGCTTATAGTTACAATTAGAATCTGGAACTGTTGCGTAAATTGAACGCCCAAAGTCGGTCATATATGTATATATACATATATATTGAATTTCATCTCTTCTCTGTGGTTTAGTATTTTGAGTTTTGATTTTTTCATCTTCAAGTGCATCAATTCAAATGCCCGCTAAAAAGAATGAAAAACAAGCTGATCACAAGACAATACTTTTGGGTCGGCCTGGTAGCAACCTAAAGGTTGGTATTGTTGGCCTTCCCAATGTAGGTAAGTCAACATTTTTTAACGTGCTTTCGAAGAAGTCCGTGCCGGCTGAGAATCGTCCATTTTGTACAATTGATCCCAACACAGCAGACATCAATATACCAGATGAGAGGTTTGATAAGCTTGTCCGAATTGAAAAGCCAGCATCCATCGTTCCCGCTCAAGTTCATATATGTGATATTGCAGGACTTGTGCGAGGAGCCAGTGGAGGCGAGGGTCTTGGAAATAACTTTCTCTCTCATATTAGCTCGTGTGATGGAATTATTCATATGGTGCGTGTTTTCGATGACGTAGAAATTACTCATGTGGAGGGTGATTTAGATCCCATTCGGGATTTAGAGATTATCTTTTCAGAACTGGTTCTGAAGGATTTGCAAATCGTAAATGGTTTGATTGATAAGTTGACTCCAATTGTTAACAGGGGGCTTGACAAATCAAAAAAAGGGGACCTCGAAACTCTACATAAGGTCAAGCTTTTTCTAGAGGAGGGTAAACAAGTTCGATGTTGTCAGTGGAATGGGAAGGAAATTGATTTTTTGAATACAATTCAACTTTTAACAGCTAAACCAGCCATGTTCTTGATTAATATGTCTGAAAACGATTTTGTTCGCCAGCGCAACAAGTGGCTGAAGAAGCTAAAAGATTGGATTGATGAGCGAACAGCTGAACCCATGATACCATTTTCTGCTGAGCTTGAAGCTCAGTTTCTTACCATGACACCAGAAGAGGTTACAAGGTATTGTGAGGAAAAGAAAACCAAATCTCAGTTGCCAAAGATCATTAAAACTGCTTATAGCATTATTAACTTAATTCATTATTTCACAGCAGGTCCCGATGAAGTGAAGTGTTGGACAATTCAACGTGGTACTAAAGCTCCACAGGCAGCTGGTAAGATTCATTCTGATATGGAGAAGGGATTTATTTGTGCTGAGGTTATTGAATGGGAGGACTTTAATCGACTTGAAAATGAAGCTGCCTGCAGAGAAGAAGGAAAACAACATCAGCAGGGTCGCAATTACGAAGTTCAAGATGGTGATATCATATTTTTCAAGTTTAATGCAGGAAAAGCAGGAAAGAAGTAACTTTATCGCGAAATTAACATATTAATTAACAGTATTAACTATTCAATAATACATATATCATTGAAATCGCTTTTCGAGAAACCAATGTTATGTGGATAAGGTGTTAGCGACTGCGAGGACTTTTTTTAAAGTACGGAAGTTGCGTTTAATATCCAAACATTTGTGTGTTCTTTCGCTTTAAAGTCTTTGAAGGTTAAATGCTTGCACTCGCTCTAATCAGATTTCCCTCTTTAATTCCTCTTTAACAGGTAGTGCACAAATGAACAACCTAGGCGCAATGTGCCTTAGAACTAGTACCCAATCCATCCTTTTAGCTCCTATTAGAGACAAGTACTCCATTTTAATGGAGGATGATAAGTTGCGCGCAGGTGCAAGTAGCATGCAGGGTTGGAGAAGTACAATGGAGGATGCACACGCAATGTATCTCTCACTATTGGGAATGCCTGATAAGATGAATGATGAGGATGGTGCTATTGCTGCTGTTTTTGATGGACATTGTGGCAGCAAATTTGCTCAGTCATGTGCGTCACATATTCGTGAGTGGGTCACCACAGCCGCCGCATTTCGCAGTGGAGATTTCGAGAAAGCATTAAGGGACGCATTTGTGCTTGGGGACGAGTTATTGCATAGGGCTATGCCCAATGAGTTGAGTGGGTGTACGGGAAATTGTGTATTAATTATTCAGAACCATCTTTACTGTGCTAACGCAGGTGATTCACGATCCGTTTTGTGTCGTGATGGCGTCGCCATTCCACTGAGTGACGACCATAAGCCAACAAACCCATTAGAGAAAGAGCGCATTGAAAGGGCAGGTGGCTATGTACACAACGGTCGGGTGAATGGTGTCCTTTCACTAAGCCGTGCCTTTGGTGATTTTGCATTCAAAAAAAGTAACTTAAAAGCTGAAGAACAAATAATTACTGTTGCTCCAGATGTACTGCATATCGAACTTACACCACTCGATGAGTTTGTTATTATAGCCTGTGACGGTGTCTGGGATACTATATCCAATCAGGAAGCAGTCGAGTTTGTACGCAATGAAGTAGCTGATCATGGGGATGTATCGCTAGCTTGCGAACGCATGATGAATACTTGCCTAGCAATGACACCTGAAAACTATGGAACCGATAATATGACTGTGTTAATACTTCAGTTTAAGAGTTCTTTCCTGAAAAAGGTGGAGAGCAAGTTCGTTTAGGTTCGAATAATAGTGAAATACTACTTTCCCTCTTTTCAACTTCAATGACCCTGAGGATGCATTGGGTAAAATGAAGCATGACAGATATGCATAGTGAATATATATATATATACACTAGCATTAAACATATAGAAAACTGCTGGAGTGTCTGTGCGCACGCAGTGTGTTGTATTAACTGAATAATAGCATCTGTGTCTTTTGTTGCTACTGGCGTCTAATTTTGGAATTGCTCTATGCCTTCATCCTTTTTAATGATTTGAATTCGTTTTATTTAACACTGATTTACTTAACATTACACTACACAATATGGGTTTAGTTTCCTTATCCGAATTTATTTGTTGAATTATATTTTAATACTTTTACCATTAGTTTAATGAATACAGTCATGCCTGTGTACCAACGGTTAAATTTATATTATTCTAGACAAGCTTCAGTCTTTTCGTTTTGCACTGATATAGAATGATGACAGATAATGCCAATCAATGGCGTGTTGTTGGAAGATTTCGACAAAGACAACTTCTTGAAAGTAATTCTATGGTTTCATTGATGGATCTTACTAGCTCAACCCCTCAGGACACGCCCATACTTCTTTATGATATGAAGCTTGAAGACGGAGATGAATTTAAGGTCCCAAGATATGTTGCCACGAAGATCAATACTCCGAAACCAAGTCAAAGTATGAATGTAATATCTCTAGCACCCCCAAAGGATTTATTTTCTGAAGGTATGACCATTCCTAATTTTAACTCCCATATCCCTTCATTGCCTTCTCCAAGAATCAACAGATATTCAAAAAATGATTCTCAGCTACTTATATCTACTTTAATTCCTTTCCCTTCGAATTTTGCCCTTTTGATACCGTTATTACTTTTTTTTGCTGATGTTACGCTCTTTGTGGTGAGCTTGGTAGCACAAAATGTGCCCCCGGTCAACATAGCTAAACTTTGCTCCATTATCATTATCTCCGGTGTTGTAGCACTGATTCTCATGATAAACAAGGGTGTGTACTCAACTGCATTTGCATTGCATGTATTTCTATGGCCCAATATATTTTTGATGTATTATCATTTGCATACATTGTCTTTTTTCTTGTTTCATGCCGTTTTCGTTATTATTGTTGTGGGTTTTATTCTGAGGTTACGCCGAAGCTTATACAATACTTGTTGGGTGTTACAATGAGCACCTCAACAATAAGCCGCTTCCGCGCAAAATAATTTTATGCTGCTGGGCTTGCTGAAACTGATCCTAATCCCTTTGATTAGTCTGTCTTATGATCTTTTCATCGCTAATCCGTATTGCGTGTTATTGTTATCGATAATATTTGATAGCTTAACGTATTTGGAAACTTTATCCTTCTTTCCATGCATTTATTTAGCAAGCAATCAACTAAATTCAATTCGTTCACATGGCACCGAAAAAAAAAGAGGAAGAGCGCGAATTTTGTGCCGGATCATTTACATTTCAAGATGGCAGCGTATATGAAGGCCACTATATCAAAAAGGATACATCTACTGATCTGACGCAACAAGTTTCTGGAAGTCGTCTCTCTGCAACAGCTGCGTCAAAATTGAACACTAGTACACATAGTCTAGAGCGAGGAACTTCCGCTCCGACAGTGATTCCGCAGGGTCTTGGGATATTTCGTGATTGTAGTGGGGCCATCTACGATGGTCAGTGGTTAGATGGTAAGATGTACGGGACTGGTACCTTAACCTTTCCGAGCGGTTGCTATTATAAAGGAGAATTTTTGGCCAACCATTACAACGGGGTGGGAAAGTATGCATGGCCAGATGGCTCATATTATAAAGGGGAGTGGAGACAGGGTATGATGCATGGGAGTGGTATGTACATGGATGCTTCAGGGAGATGCTGGCATGGAGTTTTTACTGATGGTGTATGTACTTCTGCAGTTGCCGAGCAGGTTTTTTAGAGGGGAGGCACGTTTGAAGCGAAATGCACAAACACACCCAAACATTGGGTACATTAATTGATAAACTTCACAATGTTATGGCATTATTCTTGTTACTTTTTTTATATGTAAACCATGATCTGCGATTGTTTTTTCTAATAATATAAAAGGGTGGCTCAAAGCCTACCAATTCTAATTTGAGAGTACCTTTGTGCACTAGAGCAAAAATTTTAATTTTCTAACCTTTTTATTAGCTTTTCTTTTAATTTATTTTCGTTCAGTTCCAAGAAAACAATGGCTGAGGTGGACTTGAACCTGGAGGAACTCGAGGGTCTGCTTGTGAATGGAAGTACTCTTCCTCCTGACACGAGGATCGATGTTCGTGGTCTCCCTACTGAATCAGCAGAAAGTGCGTTTCCAGATCCTGAAGAAGTGGCAACAAAACGAAAGTCGAAAAAAAATAAGAAACACAGATATGAAGAGCAGAGTAACGTGTTGAACACGGATGATTATGAATGGAAAAAATCTAAGTACGTTTTGGATGCAGCAGAAAGCACTGACAACGATGCAGACGAATTTGTTGAAGAAAACGATGAGGTGGAGGAAGGCTTGGACGATGGACCTTTTTACGAAGCACCTAAGCGTTTCATTTTCCATGAAGGAGATGAAGCTAAGTCCGCAGATGAACTTGGGCGCGAGTTTGAAGAACGTTATCAAAGGCTAAAAAAGCAAAAGTCTATAGAGAACTTACAAGGAGTTATTCCTCGAGAAAAAATGTCCTCGCTTCGCTTTGCTTCCTATTTGCTTCCACAAAATTCTGACCCTAAGGTATTTGCGGTAAAGTGTCGTCCACGTATGGCTCGCATCTTGGTCACACGTATTGTGAATAAGTGCTACGCCTATCGTGTTGGTAGAAATTACGAAAATAAAAAGGTCGATCTTGGTATTATATCTGTGTTCTGCATAGATCACGTAAAAGAATATATTTACATTGAAGCGTATCGTAAGATATTTGTGGAGAGTGCGCTAAATGGATTGGAGGGTATATTTCGATACAACATTGCAGTTGTCGAACCGACGCAGCTGCTGCAGATGATGGAAAGGAGAAGCTTAAATGAAAAGATTCGAGTTGGCTCTTTTGTACGCCTTAGACAGCGTTTCTATCGTATGGATTTAGCCCAGGTCACATCGGTGCATCAGGATGGTGTGCATATCGATTGTAAGGTAGTCCCCCGAGAGGATTTCGACGGTAAACCGTTTAGTAAAGTATCCGCACCCTTGCCTCCGCAGTTCTTCGTTGCGAGTCGTGCAATGGGTGTCGAGGATCGCGGCGATCACTATCGTTGGGGAGATCTCCGATTTGATAAGGATGGTTATTTGATTAAGACACTTTCATCCCGTATGGTGATAGCTGAGCCGCAGATGGAAAAACCCACTGCAGAAGAGTTAGCCCATTTCTTCAATAACAATCGGGAGCGTGTACGCGAGGCACTTTCACACACTGATGTTAGTCTAACGGTTCACCAGATTGGTGATTCGGTGCGGGTGGCTTCGGGACAGCTACGCAATACCATCGGGACGATCGTCGATATTTTCACAAATGACAACACCGCACTACTTTCATGTGTAGCTCCCAGTCAAAAAGAGCCCATTAAGGTTCGGGTAGAGTTGGCATCATGTGTCAAGCACTTTGCCGAGGGGTCCCATGTGGTAGTGAAGGCGGGTGATTATGCTGGGGAAAGCGGAACTGTAGTAAAGTCCTGGGATGATGTAGTCCTCCTGTTCATTGACCGCCTTTCTTCAGTCACGGAGATCAAGGTTTCCGCCAATGACTGCCATCAAAGCAAGCTGACTCAGATGTTGAAACACAGTTTCGGTGGATGGAAGTTATTTGACTTGGTTAGCATAGCTGAGGCGAACACAGTTGCATGCATTGTAGGTTTGACACGAAACGATGTAGTGGTCATAACTGAACGGAACGAGGTACAAAATTTGACGTATGCGCAAATTAAGGCCATTACTATACGAGGGGTGTGCCAGACGACTGATTTCATGCTGAATGTATTGGTTCCAGGCTCCGAAGTTACCATCCAGCGATCAGCATTTACGCCATTTAACTTAGGTGGAGAAACTGCTCGTATTAAGCAGGTGTATAACCGAACGGTTTTTGTTTGTTGTCAGAGTATACGCGAAAATGCTGGAGTGGTGGCCCTTTCCGCATCCTGCGTACTACTTATTGGCGGGCGCACAACCACCAAGCAGGCAGCCCCACCTAAACAACTACCTATGCCTAACCGTCGCGCACATAACGCTAAGAAAGTAGATATATCCATCCCCTCAAATCCCATTTCAGCAGACTGGCAGATCAATTCTGAGTGGTGTGAGTAGTCTTTTAGTATCACACTAACCATACACTTCAGTAAATTTCATACCTTTTAGATGATTATCTTTTTTTTAGTGGTGACAAATTGTCTTGCCATGGGTGGGCGGCAATCCTTCGATTTCTTGATCAGTCTTTTACGTTGTATTGGGAGGGCATACGTTAACAACCAAAAAGGGGAAACATTTAGAAGGATTGCTGTTGCTTAAATTTCACCGGACACTTACTTTAAGGACATGCCAATGCAGCGTATAACACATACACCTATACCGTATGTATCTGTTCAATTGTTTTTTCACATCAAAGTCTTGAGATTATGTTCCAATTGACTAATTGCATGCAGCGCCCATATCTTTGTTTATCTATCATCTTTTACACAATAGCTAGTCATATTTTTATTGAGCATAACATGAAGCGCATTCATGATAGATTGTTTTGCTTGGAGGCCCTCATACGCCTATGTGGCTCCCGTACAGCTTTACTACACTCAAGGCTTTTTTTTTCTCAGCGTTTTGTTATGAGCCCTTCACGGCTGTTTCGTTTTCATTCTGAGCATCTAAATCCCGCCAAGAATGTGTATTCTATGGAGCACGCTTTTGAAGAACCCACATTCAGATTCATTTGCGGAGGGGTGGACATAGATTTCAAAACAAAAGTAATCGATGCGCTGTTGAAGATAATTCCAAAGCAACGGTCTAACTTTGCACATAATGCATTACCCAATTCCAAGCGTAGTGCGCATCAAACACTACAGCTATTTCGGGAGTTGTGTAGCAGGAATTTAGTTTCTTACGCGCAAGTGCGCTCTACACCTCTGCGGCTACTATCTTTTTATGAGATCGTTGCTATGGTGGATCCAGCCCTTGCACTAGTTGTAGCGGACCACTTCACATTTTTCGGTCTTGTTGCCACACATGCAGACACGGAATTGCAAAGGATTCTTTTGGAAGGGGCAGATTCCGGCCGGGTGGTAGGCTGCATTGCTCAACGCGAGTTGCGTGCCGAAGGAGCACCTTTTAATACTGAAGCGCGTTACGATGCTCATGAAAAATGCTTTTTTATACGAGGCACTGGTAAATTTGCTGTTGTGGCCGCAGAGTTTGCAGACTGGGCAATTGTGTCTGCAACGTTGACTCTGCATAAAAGTGACAATCAGGGGACATACTTATTTTTAGTTCCGCTGCGCGAAGGCGGTCGCCTAAGGAAATGTGTTTCCGTTTCACCAATCACATCTGAAAACGACACCTTGAGCAGCTGCGGGGTTTCTTTAATTCACTTTGAGGAGGTGCGTGTCGAACCCAATTATTTACTTCATCCGTTTACTGTAACGAAGGATGGTAGGGTAAGTTATGTAGAAGGAAAACAGACTGATATCAGCGTATTAGATGTGCTACAAACGCGAACAAGACTTGCAACTGGGGCTATTTATGTCGGACTTATGAAAAAGTTACTCAGTGATATGGTGTATTTTGTGTCACAAAAAGAGGTGGTTGGTCCAGATTTTCGAAGAAATTATCCATACTTCGGCATTCAGCATGTGCAGAGTGCATTAGTTAGTTTAGTGGCCAAGGCGTACGTGTATCTGATAGGATGGCAGCGGATGCTTTCAAGTTTCACTGATATGTCGTCTAAGCTTCCTCGGTATGAGGATCACATGAAGTTGACCGGCACAGTTCATTTTCTTCAGGAAATGCTTACAAATTTGAATACATTTGCGCTTGAGTTTGTGGGTATACACGCTATTCTGTCCAGCTCTGTGATTGATAGTGCGTCTGCTGTGGTGCAGCTACGCAAGGAGGGACTGGACAATTCAACCCTCATTCGTGAAGTTGCCTTCAAATGTGTTACAAAGAATATAGGTACCACGCACTGGGGCTGGTGGCTCACAAGTTTCCTTCAATCCCTTCCTTCACTTGATCGCCTTGTGAAGAATCCATTTTATTCTCCTCGAAATGCGGAGCTAGGTCGACATTACATCTTCTTTAGTCATAAGCACTACGCTACTAAGCATCGTTTGCGGTGGTCACGTGAACTAGAACGGCGCAGAGGTGGCAGCGAGCATCAATGGTATGATTGGGTCATGTTTCAGCATCGAGAAGTTGTACATTGCGGAGAAGCTTTTATGGAAATGCATTTCATGGATTGGATAATGAATGAAACTCAAAACTGCACCGACCCACGTGGTCGAAAGCTTCTTCGCGACGTAGGATGGATCTACGCCCTCACACGACAAATGGATCGCCTTGACTTTATTTTATCGAAACAAATGCTGAGCGAAGCCAAGGCCGTTGTGCTGGTTTCTCATTTAGACAACCTCGTTACGGTATTGGCACCTCAATGTGTGAACATGGTCGATGCGATGGGACTTCCAGACCCATTTCGCGCACCGTATGGGTTGAGTGAAATGGAATCATACTGGACCATTCCAGGTACTAATGCTCACATTCAGCGTGGCGATAAGGTTGCTTTGCGTCAGCCGAAATATGAGGAAGGTGGCAGTACGAAAGCAGAACAGGAAACAGCCAGAGAAGAAGAGGCGGAGTTTGATTTGTTTCATGGCTTAGCAGATCATCCTTCCTACTCTAAAAAACGTAACTGATCCTTTATTTTCTATAAATATATACTTGAGTTGCGAGTAGCGAGTATTCTTTGTAGAATTGGAAAGGATACGAAATGATAAGTAGCTTTTTTCCCTGGGAATGGAAATATGCATAGATTTGACGTGTAGGGCACGTTTAATCTGGAGGTTTCTATTCGATTTGATATCCCAAAATAGACCTTGTGTGTATTTCTTAACGTAAAAATTTACAAAGCCTTTATGCTCTACAAACTTTTTGTTTGGAGTGATTAGAAAAATGCCGACACCATAGGTACACACCTGGTGCAGGAGGTTTGCTCAGTGGTTTTATTTCTATATTACTTCTGTTATCCATCTGTAATGGCGCAATCTAACACCAACCAACAGAAATTCTATCCTATCACTTTTTAGGAAGAGGAAAAACATAACCTTCCAACATTAAAATTACTTTAAGACAAAGAAAAATGCAGTGTGAGAATGATCTCACCGCACCTGTCGCACCAGAGGTTAAGATACCAATTTTAAATGCAAATAGAAAGTTACACCTCACTGGCGCGATGACAAACAGCATTTTTAGTCGAATCACTCCGGAAAATATGTCTTTACCACTTCAACGTGAGCTGAAAGTGTTTGAATGTAGTGATGGGGCGGAACCGCGCAAACGCCTTGATGTCATCATGAAGAATGCATGTCCTGCGTCTTCTGACACACTTCACTGCACTCCGTTGAGTTTATCACTTCGTCATCACTCCCGATATTGTCACGGTGAAAAAGCTCTCTCTTCAAATGTACCACCACCCGAATTTCGCATTCCTAAGCGTTCTCCAAGCCCTGAACCGGCTCCTCCGACTCCATCGAGTAGGGAATCCCTTGCTCAGGAGATTAAAGTGCCATCGATGCCATGCGCTCATCCGACAGCAGCACCTACTGAGTTGAAAAGATCTGGTGAGAGTATAGCGACTGGCTTGCTGCCTGAGCGCCTCGATGATGAGACCTTCGTTACAAGGCTGGTGGGGGAGGTGCATCAAGGTTGCACTGGGGCTGTTTTGAGTGGTCACAATTCACATGAAGGGGGAGTGCAAGCAGCTGTTGGAGAGAGAGGAGCAGCCATATTATGTGATCGAAACTCTCACGCAGAAATTTCCTCACGCAGTGGCTCACCGTCTCCACACGTTTTAGCAGTTGAGTCACACGATTCCTGCTCGGCCTGCGCGCGGGGAACCAGTTACTCCCCGCGGGCTGAACTTTCTTCTTGTCACCACTACCCGCCCAGTTTCCCTTCGACAAAATCCCAGTCTTTTGATGTTCACACATTGAAGGGTGAAAACCGTTTGCGTGTGGTGAGCTCCGTTTCGCCGGTAAGTGGTGTCGTTTCGCACAATTCAGCTCAAGGCCATTCAGAGGCTCAGCTTGTGGAGTCCGTCGAAGGTAGGGGAAGTCATCCAACATGGGAGCCACACCCCATCAAGGAGCCACGCCCAGCGTGGAATCAGCGGATTCCCCCCTCTAAATTGCGTCCAGTGGTGAGCGCAGTTGGCAACAAACCACCACCAAGGCGGTCTCTTTCTTTGTCACGCGCACACGCTGCGCGCGGTGAGGAGATCGTGGCACGGACAGACAGCCTCCGCTCGCAAAGTCGCAGTAATGTGGGTCCCGACGAGAGGCTGAAGACTGCGTCCGGGAGAGCTTTGGCCGAAGGATCACCTTCCCTGCGGTATCATCCGCAGCCGAAGCGTGCAAACCAAAGCAAATCAAGGCCAGCGTCGGTCACACCAAGAGCGATGAATGACGTAGCATCACCGCCAGTGCGTATCCTTTTTCGTTCTCAAAGCGCCCGCGAGCGATCTACCGTTGATGTGACATCGCCTCGCACCGTCTCGGGGCGTTCCTCTACGAGCCTCAACGGGAATAACATTGCTTTGGATTCAATTCTAAAGCAGCTGCAACTCGCACAGCAGTCGGCACAGATCGCTGTGGAAAGAGCCACTCGGGCAGAGGCATGCTGTGCAGAACTGGAGAGGCAGCTACGGGAATCTGAGATGCAACGAAGGCGCGACCGAGAGGACTTCGCTTTAAATTTTTCCAGGCTAAGTGGTAAAGTAAACTTTGCGGTGCAATGGATTCACAGTTACGAGAGGTATCCCGTTGGTCTCGAGGATAGACTGAAAAAAGAAACATCAGAGCCAATTCATGGTGAAGATGGAGTGCGATTTGGTGATAAAGAGTATCAGGACTCAACGCCTGGTGTTCAGGGGACCACACCTACACCGGAACGCAGTATTACCAGTGTAGCGCGTTTGCCACTTTCTTCACCTATGGTTTTCGAAATGCGTTCATAAATGAGCAACATTTTTTTTTGTAAGATCATCAACAATAGGAGGTGTGCATCATTGATAAAAGACAAATATTTTCGTTTTGAGCCTATTTAGATAAGGTTATAGATTCATTTTCGTTTCATTTTGTACCGTTGGATTATGAGCACTATACCGTTGTTTCTTTGAGACAAAAGGGTATTTCAAGAAATAAAGATGTTTTCGAATTGTTTTAATTGATTTTTCATCTATTCACCGCTTTAGACATAGAGTGTGTAGAGCGCTAGCTGCCATAATGGTGTAACGCTCTCTGACTGCTTTTTTGGAGTTTGAATAATTCCTTAGCTTCACAAGTACCTGAATTTCACCGGTGCCTCTACCCTTTCACAGGGTTTATCAGGGCTTCATTTATATATTTTTATCTATATATATTAATTTAAGCGGGTACAACACAATAATAGCTCCAGGGAAAGAAGATAAATGTCTCGATATTTATGCAATGATTATGAAAGCTGCAGGGAATTAAATGAATGCAAAAAGCTAGGATGCAAGGGTTTCCCTTCGAGTGGAGTTATTTGTTTTAATCTTGACAAACACATATATCTTTCGAAGTATGCGATAGCTTCAAAAACTGCTTACAGCAAATTCTAAATCCCTTTCTCGCACTTACACTTTTTCCATTTGTTCGTCCCACAAGCTTTTTTTTGTTGTTCATTAACTTTCCCTGCTTTACGAATGGAAGAAAGAGGCAGGAAAACACACAGATCTACTGGAATTCATCTGTGCTAGCACTCATCAATATCTATTTGACTGTTTGGACGAATAGATATGGGATCGAGATATAGATGCACTATAATATATGTTTTAGATAGATATACAGTCAATAATGGGGTAAAAAATGAAGCTATATTTCTGAATATGTCTAGAATGCACTCGGGATAGTGGGACCAAACCGTAATGTTTTATCACTGTTGTGTACTTGTTGTTTCTTTCCATTTTACTTCTTTATGATTCCTATAGAATGCCGTTTTATATATGCCGATTCAGGAGCAACAACATGGCTTTAGCCGTCAGGAAGTAATCTCCGCAATTGAGGAGGTAGATACAAAGCCGAGTCAGCTTCAACTGATCCTGAAAAACTCACCGGAGCTTATTCGAGAATATGGGGATGAGCTACTGACTATTGTTATCCGACGCTGTGATGTTACTACGCCGGCAGGAGGTGACTGTAAGTTGCTCGCGTTGAACATTTGTTGGAAAGTTCTATTGGCTATTCTCACAGATTCGCACGTTTCACAGCCCATCTATGAGTTGGGTGCATTGTTTATGTTGGACCAACTGCGTCACGGTGTTTTATCACACGATTGGACCGATTCAAAGCTGATAAAGCTAGCAACATTTTTTGCGTCTCACATCACCTTTATAGTAAAGGCACATCCCCGATATTTCCTTTGCGCTAAAGAGCATGCGCTTGTGCGACGTGTCGTGGGTCTCTTTATTTTGGTGTCCTTTACAATTGCAAGCAGCAATTTAGATGACGGCATCCTGAAGCCTCTATACGATAATGTTTTGTTACGATTGAAGACTATATTAGAGTATTTGGGTTCGGCATCCATTAGCACAGCGGAAGGGATCAACCAGCACATGGTGAACGGGGTGTCAATGAAGGAAGCGAACGCTGCTGTATCGTCTGATGACAACTGCTACGTTAATTTACTGTATGAATGTATGTCTGAGGAAGCTATGACAGAGGTAATGGAGGCTGCCAGCGGCGACGGCTGTTTTGTGTCTATGGTTATTGCAGCTGCTTCTCTGGCATGCTTTCTCAGCGCAGCTTGTGGTCTGATCCAAAAACTAAGATTCATTCACACGACTATGTCTCGTCGCTGTACTCAGCTCTTGTTGAGGGCACTTGTCCAGTGGATGCCGTCGATATCATTTGAATTACAAGGATCATTGCATACGGTATGTGATCCTAAGGTCGGCTACGATGGTGGCTGCCCATTACAGGCATCACTGGCATTAATACCTATGGATTTTGAGCCAGAAGAAGCGCGTTTAGTGAATCGCATCAAGGAACTAGCTAACCATCTGCCTCTTTCTGCGCTGTGGCAGACGAATTACCCCCTTACTGAGAACACTGACAACTCGTTTGATGTTAATCAGGAAAAGACTGAATCATTGCGCGAACAGTGGGTGCATAGGGTGGTAGATGTTTTATATATCGCACTACGCAACACTGACCAGAAAAAGGATGATGTTGAGGAAGAGGGTAACACATTTTTTGTACTTTCTTGCGTTCTCATGGGACTCGCTACACCACATTTCCAAAACACGATACTCATAATGGAAGTGTACTTGGGTCTATTTCTTCAAATGGGCCGTGTGGAGCAATGCCAGTGTATAGGTACGAACCTGGATGAACCTGGAACAAGCCTAGAAGATGAGAGCTGCGCGAAGCATCTTTGGGTGCTTATTCAGATTGGATTACTAGTTCTTAATGGGTACTCACCGACGATCTACCGCGAGGGTGAGCACATCAACGAGGTCCAAAGATGCTCGTCCATATACAAGGGTCGGCTACAGGCCTCGCTGCTGGCACTCATAGGGACAGGAAGTGCTGTGCTTACTGGGTTACCACCATCCGCGCTGGCAGTTCACATGATACCGCATTTGAGATCCTCGCTACTTCAGGTTTTGCCTGTTTTTCTCAGTTTAGCTGATTATTGCTTCTTTAATTTCACTGACATGTGCGGTCTCCAGAACAATGCCGAGGATATGTTTGAAATTTCGAGCGCGATTAAAGACGTCAACGACGCGTTCGAGAATCTTTTCACAAACACATCAAGCAGCGACGAACTTGAAAGGGGAGTTCCAGTGTTTTTGAAGGAAGGGTGCTCCATCGCTCTGCCTTTAGCACTCTGCCGGCTTCGCTTCGCCTTCTTTGCTGTAGAACCTTTTGGTACGCCTACTGACGAGAGACTTGGGCAGTACCACACCGCACTTTCGTCATTTCAGAGCAGGTTTGCGGCGTTGACCAGTGCAGTTCAGCTTTCTGCCACTACGAAAGACGCACAGGCTGGTGATACAAGTAACACAGATCCAATAGCATGCTTTCTATTAGTGTCGTCACTTCTTCGTGAAGCGGCCTATTTCCCACTGGACGTATCACGTGATAAAGTACTCATTGCGTGTATTCGTCGGTGGGTCGACTTGAGCCTGCAGCTTGCCTCTTGCACGTTAGCACGATTGCATCCTGCTTTTTCGGAGCTACTTCAGTACCATGCGGCTAGAAGCCTTCTTTTCTTTGCGGAATGCAACACGTATGTACCGATAGAGCAGCTCAACCTTTCAGAAACAGCAGCTACATTCTTAATGCGTATTTTGCAGTCTCTGGAAGATAAGGGTGAGGAAGAGCGCTTTACTTTCAATATTAGTGATGGCGAGGTGGGGGGGCACTTGCTGGAGACATATACTCGATGGTTTTTACGAGGTCGAGAATGGCAAAGGGTGTGTAGTTTGCATAGCCGCGCACAGGCACTTAAATCTACAGATTTCAGCTCAACAGATAACCCCGTAGTTTCGACTATTTTAGAGAGCATGCGTCAGTGCCAAGCATCATTGTGTAAGTTACTACTCCAACAGCGCGAGCCCAACAGTGGCTGCTGCGTCGTTACCGAAGATGGTTCCTGTGAGGATCGCGTGGATGAGGAGGACGCATCGCTCCATCTCATTCAGAAGCGAATGCATCCAGATGACAGTAAAAAACTCATTGGGAACACAGTTAAGCCTTTTCCCAGTCGGTTTAGAGCCAGGGAGGCCCTCGAGCTATCGTCGCGTCTGCGGGAATTATTGCGTGTAGGTCACATCGTTGAATCTGTCTTATCTCAAGCAGCCCACCGAGAGGACGATGAATTGGTTACAGATAGCAGTACACCATCTCCAGTTGTTTCGACAAATGCCACCTCACCTTTTTTGTCACTCTCCGTGGAAGTTCTTTCGCCTAGCCATGTTTCCACGCAGGACTCTTCAGGGAGTATTGCCGAGATACACGGTTGAGCATGAATCCAATGGCCGATAGTTGGAGGTACACGAGGTTTATAAACCTTGCACTAAACCTGACAGCGCACAAGGTCAACTTCGACGTGTTCACATTCATACACCCATTACATCTCTCGTGACGAGTGGCTTTAGTGTCTTCTGGTAAGGACTGGGTGAAGGGAAAATTAATATACGTCACAGAAACTTATCATCCGACGTATTCATTAAATTCTAAAGATGGTGATTCAGAATTAAACTACTTGCACATTTTTTAAGAATCAGTATTCATCTTGTATTTTGTTTGAATACCTTCTCGACATATGTTTTTTAGCGAAATACAAATTTCCCAATTAATTTCCCTTCTTTTTTCGTTACTGTTAACATGACGCATAGGTGAGCGGTACCTCTCTCAGCTTACTTACTGCACTATGTATTCCGTTCCATACCGCCTGTTTTCTCTTTTTTAATTTGACTTTTTCCATGTTAGTGACGAAGAATACCCCAAGGACGTATTTATATGCAGCCCAGGAGTGTAGATCCAAGACATACTCGAGGCTTCAAACGGCCTTTCAATGCTGACAGCAGTGAAGGTGATAGATCCCCGTTTAGCCGTTTCCATAGTCTGAGAGGCGGTGGTAGTAGTGCTGGACGATTCCCGCCTTCAGCTAAGCGCGGTCGGTCGGATGCATACAGACCGCAGGTAGCAGAAGAGACTGCGCCTCATCACACGTCTTTTCCTGAAGCTCAGAATAATAAGTACCAAGGAAGAAATACGCGCCCCGTTCGTAGCGACACTCAAAAAAAAGGTCGAGATGTGGTGGTGATTCTGGAAAAGGCGGGCTTACTGCTCGGAAACATGGGCCTCGTGGACGCCTACGAACGTGCGGCGACAACAGAAATCACAAATGCATCATTGCGGGAGGTTCGCCCAGATATTGTGCATCAATGTCTTCTTGCTCTTTGTGACTCAAAGCTGGCTCAGGAACACCGCCTTCGAATTTATATTAGCATGTTTAGCTGTAATAGGAAGGTAATTGAAGTTTCCCCAGTTCTGCGTCCACCACGAACGTATGCACGCTTTCGAGGTCTAATGTCTGCGCTTCTGCGTGATGGTCGGGTAACTTCTTCAAATGGCGAGGTGCTTATGCGTGTGATGCCTGGCTCCATCGCACCCATTATCCCTTATGGAGCTGATGTCATTGGGCTCTGCAATGGACTTACAGCACCCGTTGTGACCGCGTCGCGGTTGGCAGGGGAGGCTATGGCGAACCCTGTTGATGATGCTCTACAGGGTGGTGTCAAAAATGTTGCATCTTTTTATTGTATCCCTTGCACAGATGACTGTAGTTTGGACGGAATTGATTATGTAACACGAACCGTGTGCCTCTCGGCGTATCCCACCACAGCACACGTGATGTGCGCACGCATATGTGAAGGATTTATGCGATTGTGGTCTCGTTCGAAGGAAGGAGGAGCAAATGCAGTGTGACGTATAGTTGAAGGAATAAGGAGGGAACGAAAGCAAGGTGCTTCTTTTTCTTTCCACAGGCCAATAGTGGTTGTGGCCTCATGGTGAAGATAATTCGCTTAACTAAATGATAATAATTGTAGTACACTCAATTCATGCACATGGGTAGTATTTCCCTTCTGTTGACTTCTTTTTGATCAGCTAAACTCATTCCCTAGCTAACTTTTGCTTCATATTCACTTGAGTCTCTTCACTGATTTTCTCTTTTGAAGCTGAAATTCTTCTTATCATATTTGTTTCAACGTTTTCAGCAAATAAATGTACTTTAAGCGCGCTGAAAAACAAGGGTATCCTTCTACGTCCGACAACAAATAGAAGAAAGCAGTAGCAACAAAAGCATTCGCAAAATATGCCCTCGCTACCAGCAGAATTTCGCTGCTTTCAGCATATTAATTTTATTTTCGCACGCAATTTACCTTTAAAAATACCATTTTATATGGGGACACGTGTACCTAAGGATTGCGTAAAAGGAGAACCTCTTGATGACCATGGGGATGCGCAAATAGGTTGTCAAGGTACCTCGCCAGAGCTGATGCGTGAAATCCAATGTGTCGGTAAAAAGCCTGCTGCTTCTGTTAATAACGCAGAAGATAGCGGAGCAGAGGCGTCGTCCTCGAAAGGTACACCAAGTCGTCTTTTTCAACCGGATGATCTGCCTAGTTATGATACTCATAGGTGCGTGTCCTCGTATTATGTTTTACGTGAGTTAACAACTGAGGAGATCGATAGTACTGGTGTGATAAGTCAATTTAATGGACGTGTGTGCTATCAGAGTGAGGTGTGTGTCAATACACAGCACCCCATATGGCAGTTGATTCCCACCAACGTACTACTGAACTATGCTACACACACTAGGTTTATCCTTGAGATTTACTATTGTTGTCAGGATGATGACATTTCGATTTACACTCAGACGAGTAAGGATTGTATTTGCTATAGCGACTGTGTCGGTGAATTCTCTTCTTCTGTTGCATCATCTTGTTTGCATCCGAACTTTGAGAGGGTCAGATGTGTGTATCGAGTGCTGTTGGACACCACCCGGTTGCGTTACGTCGCGAATTCCATAGCTGAAGCGGACCAGCATGTGTTAGACGAATCTAACAAAAACACATTAGATTCGACCGTACTTTTGGTGAAATGCTTTGACGGAGTTTTTATTCTTTCACCCGAGATAGATGCGTCTCCATCCATGGCACCCAAGGGTGCCGAGAAGGCTGAGGCTCCGTGGTGTCGTGTAGATATTGATTCCGGTAGCTTACCGAGTACCTCATCACCCAATAGGACATTTGCTACCCATAGTGATTTTTATTCGTGTGGACGGATACCATCTAGTATACCACGTGGTGGTATGTCCGTTGGCGATCTAAAGTCTTTATCAATAGCTACTCTTGCATGGCGAAACATGCACCGGATAGTTTTAGAAAGGCGACAGGAGTTGTTGGACGGTATCGACTCTGCAGAGGTATCGCGCCGGGCGCAGGCTGCTCATTATGCTATGGATGCCACTCTGAAGGCATACCGTTCGCATTTCAGTGAACAACTCACCATGGCTATGCTTGGAGTTGAACAGCTTCGGAGCCAAGTAGAGGAAAGACAACGTGTTCTTGATCGTCACGAGCGTGCATTTTCTCTTCTGAAAGAAAGGGATGCATGTCTGGAGGAAGTACAATTTCAGCAAATCACATCCGATAAGCGTGAGGAACTTCAGCGCACGGAGCTCCGCTTTAAATTAGCGCAATCCCGGCGGCGTTATGCCTTAGAGTTGGCATCACTATATCCTGTTAAGTTAGGCGTGCAGTGTGCAAATTCCTCAGAAAATACCAAGCGATCAAGTGACACAATTAATGGCGTCTCTTTACCATTATTTACGCAACAAAATACCGATAGCTTGAGTAGTTCTAGCAATCTATTTTCCCAGCCTTCAGCTCAGGAGATGTATAATGATTCTATTGCTTTGGGTTACGCAGCACATGTTATACAAACACTCGCAGTGATTTATGGTAGCGTGTTACCCTTTCCACTTCTTGTGGCGGGGTCACGGAGCCGCGTTTTGCTCCGACCTAATCTTTCACCCGAGCTAGCGGCCGCCAGCTGCACAGGCTCTGGTGATGCCAAGCTACCTTTGTTCTGCCAAAGTGCTGTGAGCCGACCCCTGATGCAGGCGGCTGTGACGCTACTGGCATATGATATCCTTACACTTGCACAAGCAATGGGGAAGGATGTGGCGAAGGTTTGCAGCTTTGGACTGCGGCTGGGGGCGGCGCTGCAGTACATTCTTTCCGATAAATCGAATTAAAGATATTATAGCACGTTGTAGTTGCTCAATAGTAGAGGTGACATTTCAGATTTAGCTCAGAAAATTATAAGTAAAGTTATTCAGGTAACCTCTAAAAATGATGTAATTGCTTTGCACGGTTCCAGATTTTTCGGTCCGCAACAAGATCATTTGTATCCTGTGCTTCATTCATCTATAATCCATGAACCGACACCGTGTGATTAGGTTTATAAATTTAAGGTGTGTTTCCAATTAAGCACATTAAAAGGTAAATGAATACGTTTAGAGACCAATCTCATTGTTCGCCGCTGGTCGATGCGAAACAGTGTAGTTTTGAGGGGCAAAAAAGCGATTGTGAGCATCAATCTGTCACCATATCAGACATGTCTACATTGGACATTTTAAAACCATTGTTTAGCGAAAGAGTAGAGCAGCTCCAACGTGCATTGAATCTATTGCAAAAGGATCTACTGTGGCCATTCTTTGAGCCTGTGGAACGAATTAAAGTCGTGGACAGCCGTGCGGTCAGTTCACGTGACGTAGTGAACACGTTTGTGAAGCAAGCTTTCAGTGATGTATAGGATATTATACCTGCTTTTATCGCAATTAGCTTCCATTTGATTACAGGACATACACTAGGTCTTTCGTTTTGGTGTGTGTGTATGTCTTATATCATTTATTTTTACAAATCCTTGTACCATAGTTTGCGTTTCATATTGAGAAAGAAAACTTCCTCGCTGGATGATTTAAATTAAATCCTTGCAAATGCCATTAAATGCATCTTCACAGTACATTTCACAGTCTGTGAGGTTTGCATTAAACGTACAAAGAACCGGAAAAATTCCTCACAATCAAATTGATTCTACAATTATGGCTATGAGCAAAGGTTTGTGCGTAAGTGATTAGGGCCTACATGGGGCTATATTGGTTAGATGGATGAGGCTGTAGATCTGTGAAAGGTTGAGGGTATATTTTTCTAAAGTGTTTGTCAACTTTTGGAGTCTGCTACGCAGTATATCATTCTTAGAAAAAAAATGATTAATAGCGCAGTGAATATTTTAAAAGCCATGTGACTGCGAATAGTGCTTTCTTGCATATAAAATTATAACCCAGAGGAGCTGGCTGAAGAAATTTTGATCGTCCATTCTGTCTCATCTGTTTCAGTTGCTACGTTCGAAGGAAACTTAAACTCGGGTGAACTATCAAATAACAAGCAGGAACAATAATAGAGGGCTATAGTGTCCATCTACAGTGCGCGTTTCCTCTGTTTTATTTCTCGAATTTAGAATGAATGCTGTTACTGACGAAATGGCATTGCTTTCTAAGAATTATCAGGCCCATAAAACTGCCTTCCTGTGCACCCATATTTGTGCGCCAACTGTCTTACTCATTTTCGGCTAGTAACGCAAAAGATCAGGAAGCAAAACGTCTTGGAAAACTTCGCAGCGGGAAATCAAAGAATTTTAATAGTGAAATCTGTACATGTAGTGATTTACCTCTGTCGTCGTGGGTTTTCCGTGTGCGTATGCTTTCCAAGGCCTTTCGTGAAGATGAATTTCAGATAGCACTCCTTTTGCTTCCTCGCGAAGACTGGTCTGAGCCCTCTCAAAACGAAATAATGATCAACAGGATGTTTAAGTGGATCGATACTAGGGACGCTCTCCATCAGTTGGCGCGTATCCCTCGTCTTTTTTTGACCCCTCCTTCAACAGAGCCGCCCTGTTCGAAGAAACAATCTAAGACAATGCCCGCATTTAGATCATTCCCTACGATAAAGGCGAAAACAGTAAGTGTGTCCGACGACGACAGCTCACTTGTGAGCTACAACGATTCTGAGACTTCAACATTGCCCGAAACTTCGTCCGGTGCTAGTTTTTCTTCGCAACATGATCCAATGATGGATGACGGAGAGTGTATTTTAGCTCTTCAGAAAGAGTTTCTACTGCACACACTAATGTATATGGAGAGACTAAAGTGTGTATATCGTCTAGACCGAGCTTTGGCGAGCACCATCTCATCCTGCTCCTCAAAGGCTACTTCGGAGACTTTCGACATGAGTGAAGTAGGCGTATGTAGTCTTCCTTGCAGTAGCAGTGAGCGTGGTGAAGTTCAGTGGCCATACAGACGCGAGGAGGCTCGTGTTATAATTGAGTTGATCGCATGGTACAAACAACGAGAAAATATGAGTCTGCTCGCGTTACTATACGGTCAAGTGCATTCACATAAATTATCGAAACGGAAAAGCTTTGTTCGATGGTTATCCATGGAGTTGGAAGCTGCATTACATGCTTTGCCATCTGTTGCTTCCTCAGGTGACGTCAGGAGCACTTGCCTATTGTGGCTTGTCAACCGTATTGTGAACCTCGATAGCTACGACAGCGAAAAATCGAATTCGAGCTGGATCACACGCGAGGAGGGTCCTCAGAAGTGGTTAAATATGTGTACAGACTGTGTTTGTGCTGCGAGCTCAACAGATCTATTAACTACTGATGTCATCATGGTTCGAAATAGGAACCAATACATGTCACCTTGTGCGTTGAAGAAAGATGTGCATGCAACGAATACGCTTCGTGTGCCTCCATTCACTGACTTTGCCTCTCTCTTTGATTCACTTCCTGACAGCACATGCGAGTTGTCGATGACCATTGGTACTGAGCCCCCTACGAAGCCTCTTATCAATAACAAGGAGGATTTATTTTGGAATGAAGCCACGCTAGCCTTCAAGCATGATCCAAGCGTTCATGCTGTATTCGAGTTGCTGCGTGGGCGATTAATCGCTTCTGACCTCCCTATATGTCCTTGTTTGCGCATATACTGGCGATGTGTTCTCACAGAGATGCTAAGGAGTGGATGGGAAGCGGTAGCAGTGCTGGCCGACACAAACTCTCAATATAGCTGGGTGGGAAGCCATCGTAATGACCCTAAAATATCTAAGCATTCACTTAAACTAAGGAAGGACGCTGAATACTACGCTGTAGGTGTGTTTCTTTCTTTCCGTCGCATACTGAGCGCTTTCAGTAAGCATCAGTTGTTGAAACCTCTCATTGAATTGCATGAGCTAGTAGCTGGGTACCGCTGTCACACAGTTGATCGAGAAAGCAAGACCACATTTACGGCTATAGCGAGCAAATGCAGTGATTTCACTTCTCATGTCCCTAGTACTAGTAATGCTCTCATAAGGAGTGATAAACTGAGGTGTTTCATGGATCATGCTGCTGCGGTCAGACAGGACATTCTCTCTGGGAAGATAGCCTCGCCGTTATTGTGGCGTGAGCTGGTGTTGTTTGACGCATTTACGCTAATCAATCTTGGCCACACTAGCGAAAAGGCAAGCGATCTGTGGGATGCTGTGCGAGAAGTTGAGGATGAGGATGGTGTCGGGGCATCGGGGTTAGGCGTTGTGAGCACGTATAACCACATCGATGTGGAGGCAATGAAGCCAAGACCCTTACAGCTGAGTGTACAAAAGCTACGTCAGCACCTCGTGTACATTCAGGAGGAGTGCCTTCAGCACCTCACTGTACTTGAGGCGAGCTCCAGCAGTGTGAATACATCCGTGATTTCATCTAAGATACATCCACAGCGAGCGACTTGCGTACGCGGAATAGACTTCATCGTATCTAAGATAACACCAAGAACTCGGACTGGACTGATAAGCCGCTTGAGGGAAGGCCTACGACTCAGTACAAAGGTATTATTAGCTCTTGGTGACACAGCGTCTATCTGCGCTCTTTATCAAAAGCACGGTTCTTCTATTGGTGGAAGCTGGGAGACAGGTAAGGCATTGGTACAAGAAGGAGTCTACGACACTGCACTTGATGCCTTTCAGCATCTTTTACGCGATACTCATGCACAGTACCCATTTGGACTGCCTCGGTTTATTCAGGATATGATTCTTGAGGCGATTACTGGCGCCGGCCATGGGATCGTTTCTGTACTAGACAATGGACAGCTGAGGGAAACAGAGACGATCAACAGATTAATGCAGCGCTACGAGCAACTTCGTAGTTGGTCGGTAGGTCACCTCCTTCCAACACCTTTGTGCCTTCACGCACTTCTCAGGGGTGTTTTAAGAGGCACATCTTCTACTGTTACGGAAACGTTGCCACTGCGTGCTCATGTAGTGAGTCGTTTTCTTATGGAGTACACATCCCGATACGGCGCACGGGACGGTTTTTTGTCCAAAAGCATTGATATGTGGATTGAATGTGTTTTGGGGGCTCGGCAAACCACAGGGGCTGACTCAGAACTATCGGAAGTGATGGAGCAAGAATTCTTACGCGCACTTGTAGAACTTCTCAGTAGATTTCCACATCTCCCCATTACCCGTATCAGCTTAACCTGGTTTCTGCGAGCAGGCTACAGAAAAGGGGTCCACGTAGTTTTATGCAGCTTGGTTGCATCAAAGGCTTCGTGTTCGATGGATATATCGGACGCATTGCAGTCATGTGAACTTCAGAGTTTAGTTATGTCGTCCTCATCTGACCAAATTTACCTTTCTGATAATTACATACAAGCAACTCTTAACTCTCTTTCGCGAAGGGCTCTCGAGGAGCTGGTTGAATTCCTAGATTCAGATGACACCACATCCGCCAAGGCAGATTTCTTTCAGTTAAAATGCATGGGAACAAACAATTTTGAGGAGGCGCGCTTCGATCGCATGAAGGACATGTGCAAAAAAACAGCACAATATTGTGCTGTGCTTCAGTTGCAGCAGCGGCCATGGCAGTGCTTTCTGTGTCGCACATGGAACAGCCGTCATAGCACGGAGTGCAAGCTCTGTCAGTCACTAGACACAGCTGTGGTACAGTGTGCGCGGTGTGACGGCTTTGCTTCCACCCGTGACACTGCATGCTTGGTGTGCGGAGTCGATTTCACACTGGACGGTGACACAATGGCCCGTAAGGAGATTTTGGATGGTGAAGGTATCGGTGCTCCTCTTTCCAAAGTAGGCGATGGGCGGTCTGCTGATGTCGTTTTATACTCTTCCTCCTTCAAAGCCGTTTTTCCACTACGTGTCTGGACTTGCAACGACTGCGGTCGTGCAAACGACGCGAGACACATATTTTATTGTGCCTTCTGCAACAGTCAAAATGTGGCGCTTCAGAAGGCATTGATGGGGACATCCTACACGTGCCCTACCTGCGGGTACGTTAACCCGCAGGGGATGTTGCGCCCGTGGTGCAGCACTTGCGGAACTCTTTCCCCTGTAATACCATCTGACCAGAAAAAAGAGCTGTGGTACTGCTCAGCGTGTCATCATCTTAACCCATGGCTATTTGTGCACTGCGAACGTTGCACAGAAGGTCGTCCGCTGCCGGCGTCGGTGCCGGGTAGTGTGGTTCATTCTTCTTTTCCACCGTTTGCTGACAACAGCACGAGTCTTACATTGTGGCCCTCCCCTTTTGTCACGGTGCTTTGGGATACGATGCAGTGCCATGCATGCCGTGTAGTCAATCCGTTGGTTGCTAGATTTTGCCGCGGATGCGGTTGCGAACTGGCACTTCCTTCCAAGGTACGCGCAGCTATTAACTCTGGTTTGGTAGGGTGGATATGTGGGGTATTTGTTCCCCGCCCAAATCATGAGTCGTGTGGCAAAGATGAGTGTCAAATTCCTGTAGAGAGGACAGCTAGAGCACCTACTGTGTCTAACTCTGTAACATGCAACTATTGTGGTTGCATTCAGGCAAATTCCGTCGGTACTGCTTTCCTTGATCGGGTTCTATGTAGACGTTGCCATGCTTGCTTGCCTGGATTCACCGTCAAGATATGGGTGTGCCTTCAATCGAAGTGCTTCCATGTTAATGTAGATTTGGATGCTAGCACTGGAGCCGCTTTCAAAGGGGTTACCGAGGAGAGAATGAGCAATGAAGATATAAGATCAACGACTGAGGAAGCTACGTTTTATACGTGTTCTGCATGTCATACTTCGCACCACATAGCTGATATATTCCATCTTTACTTTCAGAGGTCAGAAGCTGTGCCGCACCCACAACTATCACCATTATCCACGTCACCTCTTGTTCTGAGGGGTGCGAGCGATACTTCGAACCCTCTCGGTTATCGCGGTGAGCTCAGTAGCATGAGGACTGCAAAGGCCCTGCTATTTCTACCACCAGTTTCAGGACCCACTCAATGTTGTATTAGCTGTGGAACGTACCTAGAATACACTAATCTTGCGTGTGTGTGTCCTCAATGCGGGCTGTGCCAGACCGACTTCGTCCACGAAAATAATCAGACAAAAAGGGGGCGATACAATGAGGCTTTATTGTCACATACCTCACCTACGAAAACTATTCTCTCTGGATGGTTGATTTTGTTTAAGTTGTCTGAAGCTATCAGCGCGATCCGGTGTTATCAAGAACGTGGTGAAGAAACAGAGCTCGGGGTCTCGGACGGGCAGAAGTCAGATCAACTCAACAAGGCGTTTCCCCCAAGATCTGACCCCACGTGGATTCTGGACTTTATGAAGTCTGCAGTAAGCGCACTACGATCAATGCAAGAGGATCTATTGCCCTGGCGCGGTTGTGACCTACAGAACTGCATGCTTTGTGGTATAGAACCGCGTGTGGTAGTGTTAAATGATGAAATGGATAGCCTTCACTCTGCGATTCTCCTTGTGCGGTGTATTATTGAGGATCTTTGTTTGGTCGCAAAATCTTTTAGTGAGAATAGGGGCATTGAGGCTTCTGTGCTCTCGGAGTGTTTGGAGTCGGATGTGGTGTGGGAGAAGCAGCGTCCGTGGCTGCTTGTCGCTGGCGATTTGGTGGATATCGTTAACACCACTACCGACTTTGATGAAATTGGTTTCCCACTACTTGCAAATTTATGTCAGTTAATACGTCCACATGAGGTGGAACATATTCAGTCAGAAACCAGATGGTCATATCTACATGCGATGAAGCTAACCCGTGAAGCGATGGTTCATGAGGTGGTCTGCGTGTGGTGTTTCGGCCGGCACAATAAGGATGAACTGTGTTGCTTCTAGTAATCATGCGCGATATAATTTGCATTCAAAGATATGTATGTGTGTGATATTATATGCGGCTTGGGGAGCACTGGATAGTGTATAAGGAGAATATCGAAACATGATATATCGAAGTGAATACTTGCATGTCTGAAACTTTACTGTTGATCTCTGATAATCGAATCGCTAGCTTGTTTTATCTGATTTATTCCCTTTTCGTGTCACGGCTCTGATTTTATCTTTCACCATTCCTGATCTTCCGCTTTCTTTGATTTTGTGTTTTCCTGAACGACTTGCTACTCAAATGCGAAGCTTTGCGCGTGTGTACGTAATCCTAAGGGAAAAGTACGACACGCTGCGCCTGATTTTGGTTTGTAGCGGGTTAGTTGAGAAGGAAAAATAAGGTATAAAGTGGGAGGAATTGAGTTGCATACAGATCTGCTGCTTTGTCTACTTTCAACTTTCTTCATCAAGCCTTTTGCTTGTTCTTTGGTGTGCGATATTGAATGTTCCGACGCAGTGGCCATTTTTTCCTCAAGGCTAGACCGAAAAACGTCAATGTTGAACCAGGTTCCAACCGCTACTTAGAATCTGGAGTCCTTGCCAGGGCGAAGGATATCTTCGCTGTGCCCGATTTTCCAAATAAATCTGTCTTGCACAACTGGCGCTTCTTTATCAAAGCAGGGAAGGCTGCCACGGGACCACCAGTAGGTCAAGAGTTTTCGAAACTTGGGCTTAAGGCTATGGACTTCGCGAAGGCTTTCAATGACCGCACGAAGCCCTATTTCAAAGACGACATTGACCTTATTGTTCGTATTCAGGTCTACTTTGATAAATCTTACCAGTATCGCATCGAGCCGCCCCCGACTGCGTGGTTTTTATTGAGAGCTATTCGCAAAAAGCGTGGTGAGACTGGTCCCGTAACGCTTCGAGGACACTACTGTGCACTTATCACACTTGAAATGTGTTACGAAATCGCAAAGATAAAGCAAATAAGCTGGGGAAAAATTGAGTATCCGCCGATTGAGGTACGTGTGCGGCGCATCGTTGGGCAGGCTCGACGTATGGGTATTTGTATTATAGGTGTCGACACCGTATATAGTTCTCCGATCAAAGGATTATCGGAGAAGCAGTATAATACAGAGTGTGAAAAGTATCGTGCTATTCACATGGATCAGTACATGAAGTTCAAAGAGAAAGAACTGGCCGAGGCGCCCTTGATTGAGCGCTTACATCGTCCAAATATGTCAGCCTTAACAGACAAGCAGATCGAGGAAGGCCTTGACGACGCAAATTTGTTTAATGCCTTATGGCTTGCTTCTCATTCAAACAGTGCGTATATGGAGAACATATCACATCGCGAAACGGCCAGAAGGTATTTGAATGCTCACGGATGGTTCAACGATATGACGGCGGAAGAAATGCAGGGAGTTTTCATGAATCACGGTCTACCTCCCAAGGAGCGCCAGCGGCAGCTAGAACAGCAGAGTGATGTAGACGGTGGACAGTTGTATTGGTCAAGAGATGGTGTACAACGATAGTGTGGTTCCGATACGTGAAAGCAGCTGAACCTTAATGGTTCAATGGGTTTGACGTTTTTTATGATTTGTTGTTATGATAGTAAGTGAATTCTCAATATTTTTGGTTACTTTCATGTGTGGAATCATTTTTTGTTTGAAGGGAGAAATGCCACATGGTCTCGAGAAGAAACAACGCTACAACGAAAATTCCTATCACTTTGATGTAATCTAATATGTCCGGTGTATGATAGATTTGACATGTGTTCAAATCCTTACTTTCGTTTGCATTTTCAAAATTACACTTTCCCCCTATGCTGTTTATGAAATAGTTTAATAAACTCTACGTGTGTGCATATATAAACACATATATTACTCTTTTGTGTGTATTTGTTCTAATAATTAGTGACCTATTGTCGGATTTCCCCCATAGTGGAAGTATTGAATTAAAATGCTTAGTTCAGGCAAGAGTGGGGTTGTGAATGAGGCTTCTAACCTCAAGGCCAACCAGAACCTCACCTCCGCGATTGAGTACATGGCAAGCAAGGAGTATCAACAGTCTCGGGATTTGGGTGATGTTATCCCAACACACCGCCCTGCTGCCACTCAGGAGGTACTAAATAACAAAAGCACTCTCCCAGTTTACGATCTCAAAGCTGAGAAGAAAGAGGAGCGCATTGAGCGTGGGAACGATCTCGAGGATGACGACGAGGACATGGAGTTGCAACAACTGCGCCGCACACGGATGCAGCAGATGATGCATTTACGCGATCAGGAAGCAGTATGGCGCAGCAAGCAACACGGGCAGTATCGCGAGATTGACCAGGACGCCTTTTTCAACGTTGTTGTGCGCGAAAAAGGTGGTAGCGATCAGTGTTGCATTCATTTCTACCACAAGGATTTTGAGACATGTAAAGTGATGGATCGACGTTTGTCTGAGCTTGCACAGGCAACGCTTTCAATACGCTTTGTGAAGATCGACGCGGAGAGGGCTCCATTTTTAGTTGATCGACTGCGAATCACAACGCTGCCCTGTTTACTGATGTTCAAAAACGACCTTTGCGTAGATCGCATTTTGGGCTTCAGTGGGTGCACGTCAGAGGATGGCACACTGGATGTGGACTTGTTGCACGAACGGATCAACCAGGCCATGTCAATCACGAACACTGCAGGTGATAATATGTAATACAAGTCCACGACATTAAATTAGGTAAAAAAAGCGCAGCTATTCATACAGATACGAAGTGAATGCATCAGATACTATTACTTTTGATTATTCCTTTTTTTCATCTCTAAATGGTATGATGCGTGGTTTATATGAGCGCTTTAATGTTTTCTCTGTTTCAGGAGGACAGTGATGAAAAACTGATGAATCCATACACTGATTTTATATTAATTAATTTGGTAATGCATTTTCACGGTTTCACTTTTCTCTCTCCTCCTCATCGCATTTAGCACTTAAAACAAGAATCTGGCCTGTCTTTTTCTCATTGCACATATCAATAATTTGAATCAGCTAGTTTTTGCAGTGAGTAGAAAATATCGAAATCTAGATAATACAATCAACGTAGGGTCGTTACTTTCAATTTACTTTCATACATGTATCGACGAGGAGCAGTCTTTCTTTCGCCAGCGGGATGGCTTCCTTTCGGCCGTGGCACTAGCGGGGAAAGTGCCCGAATGAAGGGAACACGCTCTACTAGTGAAGAAAATGTTCTTTTTAAGCGCAGTATGTATCGTCGTCCTTCTTCTGGCAAGTATGCGGGAAAATCAAGTTATGCTGAGGCTGCTGCAGGTGTCGCTGCGTCTAATACACAGCCTAACTCAGGGATTCACCTGTATGCAAATAAAGAAAATGCCTGGAATACATACACTAATGACCGGTTTTACGGTGCCAAGCGCCTGAAGGAGTATTGGAGGCGTATGATGGCTGATCGTGGTGTCCGGTATTACTTTTTCACCGTCATTATCATTATGCTTGGTGGCTCGGCGAAGCTCTGGCATATACAGCACATGCAAACAATTGAGGGTGGGTTACTCGGACCGAAGAAAAAAGCATATCGTAGCCGGCTGACCATTGTGTTGGACGTGGACGAGACTATTTTGTCCTACGGTGATAAGGCTTTTCGGATGAAGGCGGGGCTCATACCTCGGCCTTACCTGGCGGAGCTCCTAGACTACCTAACCACAATAGACGCAGAGGTGGTTCTGTGGTCAGCGTGTAGCGATCGCTACATGAGACAGGTCCTTGGTGTCATTGATCCTTCTGGCATTAGAATTTCTCACTACATCACTCGCAGTAACGACTGGTTCACGAAGGATAATTATTATGAGAAAAACATTTTGTGGCTCAAGCGCCCTCTTGAGGATACACTCATTATTGAAAATCGACCGCTAAGTGTGAGGAATTGCAACGCGAACGCTATACTTGTAGATGACTTCATCCGTGGTGAGTACATGGATACTGGACGAGACCATCCTGAGGACGACCATGCACTGCGTACCATTAAAGTAATTATAGAGGACCTGGAGCAGACTGGAATGTCTGTGCCAGAGTATTTGCAGAATCAAAAGGTTAGAAATAAGGAGATTAAGGAAATTCCATGTCACCTTTGCATAAGACAGTTGCCAGATGAGATCGCCCGTGGTGTTTTCTATTTTGTAGGGAATAAGTATAAGATGTAGAGCATAACTTAGCTGAATAGTTTCAAGAGCTGCCTTGATATTTATTTTCCTTGACTTTCAAATTTCCTCTGTTTAATTCCCATTCACTTAGTGCTAAGAGATGGAGAAAAATTTTCAGGAAAGGAGACACTATTTCTTTTTTGGCTTGCTTTCTTCTGCGCCTTTATTGGGTGAATTGTCTCTGGTGTGCTCATAAGGGGGTTTGTTTACTGCATTTTTTGATCACCATATTCACCCTTTTATTAATCTCTTAAAGGAGAGTGGTGCCGTGCCTAACAAAGGATAAATAAACCAAATCTCCTTGAGTGCAGGTTTCTGTGAGGATACACGTGGAAGGTGATGTATCGTCTGCGGTTCTTCATGGAATATTTGATCTCAGTGAGTCTGCTTTATTCTGCGTTTTTAAATGTGGCTAATATCTCAGTTAGTGTTATCTTTTATCCTCTTAACTTTAAAAGATTTTTTTATAAAGTGGTGAGGAACGTTCTGTAAATATCTTGTTGTAATATATTCAAGCCGCTCATATCCACCCATTTCGAGGGATATTTATTGAGCTCCCACTCATCACGTAATCTTACGCAGGTAAACATATATCAAGTGGACCAAAAGGTGCACATCTTAGTATGGAAAAGGAAGGTTGGATGCTAGTCAAGCGGCATGCCTTTGGCGCCCGCAGTGACCCTCATAATGCATTGTGTTGGGTTGACGAAGGAACCCTGATGTATCCTGTGGGAAAGACGGTCGCGCTCCACCAACTCTCTACAAATAACCAGCGTTTTTTAGATTCATCGTATTGTAATGTGCTCGGTATTACATCTATCGCGATCAGCGAAAACAAGAAGTTTGTTGCTATCGCTGAAGGAGGTGAAAATCCGCAAGTGCAAGTGATCGACACGATGACGCGTAAGCGGCGCAAGTTGCTTAGCATTTCTCCTAGTGAGCTTGGGAGTGACCGGTTCATCGCGATGGCGTTCAGTACGGATGGTAGGCACCTTGTGACGCAGGGTGGAGGACCTAGCTGGAACTTGTACTACTGGAACTGGGAGCGCTCGAAACCTCTGGCAATGATTTCACTCAGTTCCATGGCGGATTTCACGAAGCTGACCCAGAAGCACAAAGGGAGAGGCGGCCCAGGTTTGACTGGAGATTCTAAATCAGGCGCCGCAACGTCGAAGTCTTCCCCCCCTTCTCGTCCCCTTGTAACGCATGTTTCGATTTGCCCCAGTGACGCTGTTACAATTGCCGTGTCTGGCATGAATTTCATTTGTCTTTATCGCTATACTGATGGATTTCTTCAGCCTCAGCCCGGGTGTGGGGTTCCTTCCGAGTCCGAAAAAATCTTTGTGACTCACTGTTGGGTAGACAAGGAACGCCTCGTCGCATCAACGCATCAGGGTGAGTTGCTGCTGATCGAGCGCGGGCACTATGTCGAGGAAATCCATGTTCCAAATGTTTCTGTTGCACCTGGTGCCGCTTCTGCGTACGGCCGCAGTAGTGCCCATTTACCAGCAATCACTGCGATATGTCCCACACAGGCTGGTTTCGTTACGGGAAATAACCAAGGCATGCTATGCACGTATCATCGTAACCGCCAAGAGGATGCGGAGGGTGAGGGATTAATCACCTTTGGATACTCATCCTCTCCATCCTATTCATTTTATAGCATGGTGTGTATCCCATCACGAGACCCTTGTGAGCTTGCTATAGCTGCTAACACTGACAAGGGTGTTGATCTTGGGTTCCCAAAGGATGGTACCATGAGGCAGACTTTGTCTAAGACACACTACGAGAACGGTGATGGCACCGGCAACCGCATCGGTGGAAAAATTTCACATTCAAACTCGTGTAACAATTCCAATCACATCAGTGTTGACGAAAAATCCTTACACGAAGTTGATACTCCTTTGCCTGTTCCTCATTTTAGCTTAGTCACTGAGAATTCTACAGGGGCGCTGCCACCCATTGCCAAGGCCAATTCGCGGTCCAAAGCGCAGCACTCCAGTCCTTATCTTTCATCTGGGGGGGGAAGCAATATGAGTATGGCCGACACAGTATATCATTCCGGAACCAAGGAGGCAGGGGGTGTTGAAACGGACGCGGCAGGACTCGTTAACACAAACAGCACGCTTGTTGTGACGACACGGCCCTTCATGCCAACTTTTCCAGTACTTAGTAGGCCTGGTACGGGAGGTGTGGTGACCGCTTCAGCAGTAGATTGCTGTGAAATTGCTGCCTTGGCGTTGAACCAGTCTGGGACCCGCCTGGCCGTCCTGACCCGTGTCGGACGAGTGTACGGAACCGACTTCCGCGTGGATTGGAGTAAACTACCCCCACAAGAGGCCCTAAACTATTCACAATCAGCAACTGTTACGCTAGGTACTAACCCTGGAGCATATTCTGAGTCTGGTGGTATCAATAAAACGAGTGCAAGTACTCCTTCGCCACTCTTCGAAGCGGTTTGTCAGCCTTTCCACACCGGCGCTATCAATGGTATGGATTGCTGTGCTCGGAAACCGTTCCTCATTACTAGTAGCAGTGATCACAGCGTTCGCTTATGGAACATCAACACTAACAAGCTCGAAATGATCCAATACTACTCGCAGGAGCCTGGTGCAGTGGCGATTCATCCAAGTGGGCTTATGGCGGTGGTCTGTTTTCCAGACAAGGTTTGTGTAATGAGCGTGCTTTGGAATACGCTCCTCGAGCGAAAGGTGATCAACTTCCGGTATGCCACAAATGTGGTATTTTCACATGGTGGTCAATACTTCGCAGTTGCACACAACAACCTTGTGGATGTTTTCATCTCAACTACCTGCGAGCCGTGTGGGCAGTTGCGCGGGCATTTGCAACGTATAAAAGATATGAAGTGGAGCGCGACATCATCTTATCCCACCGATAATCGGCTTATTACCTGCTCAATGGATGGAATGATGATCGACTGGAACACATTCGAGATGCGGAAGGAGGTTGAACATTCAGATAAGCGCTTTCAGTATTCTGCTGTGGATGCGGATGATAAAAGTGTATGGGCCGTTGCTTCCCCGATGTCGTCTGCCGCATTGGGGGCCCAATGGAAGGTGACGCTGCGCGAGATCGAGCGCTCCTCGATGGCGAGCCTCCCGTCTGCATCCCCGAGTGGCACTGGTACCCACACTAGTGCTGCTACGGAAGACTATGAGTTCATAGACACGGCTCTCACAGCCCTCCGAGTGGCGCCACATCGGCGCATGCTCTTTGGTGGTGGGGAGGACGGATCCTTGAAGGTCATGTCCTTTCCGCTGCAGGCCAGTATCCAGGAATCCCCCTTAACAGCCCACAGCGCCCGCATCACGCGAATGGCGCTAACACTTGACGAAAGCACTCTCTTCACAGCCAGCGAGGACGGTAGTGTATTTGTATGGGATATTCGTGAGGAGGGCACTGTGGCTGGAAGGGCGGTAACTTTTGAGTCTACCTCTACCATGGGGGGTATTGCAGACGAGGTGCTCGTTACTCAGCAGTATATGGAAGATACAAAGTTAGAGATCGAAAGCCTACAGCAACAGATTGAAAAGCTGAAAACAGAGCTCAGTAGTGAAGAAAGGCGACATACCCACGAACAAGGAACCCGCATCCGCGAGCGTACCGAAGAGTACAAAAATGAGGCGTCAACCCTGGCCATGGAGCTTGCGTCACTGTTGAATAGCAAGCGTGAGCAAGAACGCACGTTTGTATCCATCAAGGCAGAAAAGACGGCGGAAGCTGCGCAAAAACTCGAGTCTGTGGTGTATTCTTGTCAAGAAAAGGTTCAAGAGTTGGAAAAGATGTGCAGCAATCTTCAGCACACGTTGGAAGCAGAGCAGGAGGCCCATGCTAATGGGATCAAAGAGCTTGAGGAGTCTGTTGCCCGTGAGCAGCGTGAGGAACAAGAGCGGTATGAAGAGATTCTCTCTCAAAAGCGTGAGGCTCTGGAGGCACTGAGAGTTGATGTCGAGCACAGCTGTCAGATTAATGAGGAGGCTTTACGCCAGCTTGAGCTTGATATCGACACAGAAACACAGACAGTAAGCGAACGGCATAACCAGGAGCTCAACACACTGCGCGAGCGCTTTCTTCATATGAAAGGTGAAGGGGCTATTATGCGCAAGAATGCAGTGTTCATTGCAAAGGAAGTGGAAGTTCGCACAGGTGAGGTTGCCCTGCTTGATGCTGCGAAGGTGAATTTCACAGCACAGCTTGAAGACTTGCGACATAGTGTAAATCAGCTTCATCAAGACATTGACGAGCGTGATGTAGTTATCGGGGAGAAGGAGAAGCATATTTACGCGCTCAAGAGAGAGAATCAAGAGTTAGAGAAGTACCGATTTGTTTTAGATTATCGTATTCGACAGCTTAAAGCTCTTATGGAGCCGAAGCAGCGTGAGATGCTTCAGTGTAACCAGCGTATCAAGCTTCGTAATCGTGAGCTGGAGGAGCTGCATGAGTGCAATCGAACACTGCAGGGGAACATTGATGAGCTAAGGAGTGACATCGCGGAGCAGCAGCGGCACATCAAACACATGCACAACACTATTAAGGACTTTGAAACGTATAAAACGCGTTTCCAGCGTGATGTCGGCGATGTCGTGCCGGCCTTGCAGGATGTATGCCTTCTACAGCAGACGATTGAGAATATTTACCAGACACACGTGGTGGCCCGTGGTGGCAAGCGAATCGCTTCCGTGGATCCAAACATTCGCAGTGAGTTTCAGAACCATCTTGAGTACCTCTCGACATCTGTAAATGCTTTGCAGCGCAAGTTGAAGCTCGAGGAGGATCGACACAAAAAGGAAGTGTCTGCTATGATGGTAGAGAACATGTCCCTAATACGAGAGATTCACTCACTTCGCGGTGAAATACATCATTTAAGGACTCTAGTGACTGCTGAGACAGCAGCTAAGCGAGCACGCGGTAGCTTCAAGGCAGGTGGGCGTTCTACCAAGAGACGGGACAATTTAAAGTCCTCGAAATTTCCCTCTATTGAGACAAAAACGAGGAAGGATAGTCCACTTGGTAGGGGTGATGTGTCACAAACCCCTTCGGTGAATCCGTTGCGCACTGTCAGCCCGTCTCAGCAGAGTTCCTCGAGTGTAGCGGAGCGGATGGCTGGCGCTACATCGATTTCAATGGGGGAAGTTTCAGGAGTCTCAGGTGCGGCTGACGCACTGGGGGAAAGCAGTAGTGAGAGGGGTCCTTTGCACTTACGAACACCAGCACCGCCACTGGAGTTAGAACGCACTTGCATGGAGTTGCGAATGCTACGGTCATATATTGAAGTCATGGAGCAAGCTCTAGGCAGTGAAGTTGCATCTTCAGTTGTGAAAGGCGTGTTAACTTCCACACAGGAATAGAAGTATTTTATTACCTTTCTTCCTTCCAACAAAGGTCGAGAAGTGTATTTCATACTTATCACGTCATCGTTTTGCTCCCTTAAAAAGTGTGCTCACCCGAACAAGATGGCGCAAGTTTTTTTGTTTTTCATTACACTTCATGTTATATACATTCATATAGTGTTGGATATATCTAATTCTACTCATCACTTTATTAGATAATGTATTTATAAGTTTTTTTAAAAATGTAATATATGTCCTCCGTTTCATTTTTATAGGACCATTTCTAAAGCCAACAAATTGAAATCATGTTGAGACCGACTTGAGAGTACTAAATCCCTATTACTATATTCTGAAGCAACTGTTATGTATGTTTATGTGTTCTTCATTGTAGTCTGGTGAGCTTTCCCATAACTTCTTTCTTCGGTATATGTTTTCACATGCACAAGTCCCTTTGTGTTTTATTTTCAGGGATTCAAGTCGTTAAAGCACACCGACAAGAAAGGGATTCTTTTGAGGTAAAGGTAATTCGAGAATTTTCTCGATACTGGAGATAAATTTCACTCGTTCCAACTCCCCTTTACAATACGGAAGCAACGCCAGTAGCGAGAAGTACTGCACCTAGATGATGCGGGTTAGTAGGGTTATTTGCATGAACGGTGCTACTCCCTTCCCAGTTCACCGTGATACTCTTAAATATCCTAAAATAGTGACGGAAGTAGGGACTTGGCACTACAAAAAAGAAAGCATGTCTGAATTCCAGAATTGGTGTCGCAATCATCAGGTCCGCGCATATGGTAACATCAAAATTGCAAGCGATCTTCACTTTGCACGATGCCTGCGGGCCTCCAAGACTATTTATCCCGGACAAGCGATCATCACGTGCCCGTACTCAGCATGTTTTAATTTTTTGACTGTGGCCAAGGAGATACACAGTGCCTCCTCCTGCACTTTTCCAATACAATTCGACTGGATAAATTACAATGACCGACTTCCCTACCTGAAAAGCACTGCTACGTACGAGCTTGCCATGGTCGGCTGGATGGTCCGCATCGCTTCTTTAGAGGACTCTCCTTTTACACCGTATATCAAATACTTGCTAGAGGACACACGTGGTCGGGATGGTGTGGCTAGCGGAATTTCGCGTGAGCGGGAAGACGCCAGCGGCATGATCGACCACTACTTTTCCGAGATGGCCACAGAAGCGTGCGAGGATCCTGAGGTTTTTCTAGAGAACCTATTTATTTCGTTTGCCTGCATTCGCATGCGCACGCAGCCCATTGAGACAGAGGCTGTCAAAGCCTATATACCCGGAACGAATTTTTTTAAAGCGAAAGCGGAGAAAATGTTCGTCCCAACACTCATGCCACTTATTGACACAGTGGTGCAGCGTGAAGATGGTTTTCATAATACCTTGGTTCAGTACTTTCCTTTTAAGGACAGCAAAACACTTGAGTTGCAGTGCGAGGAGCTGCAGATACCGTGCCCCAAGCGAGACGAGGAGCTGACAGTCGTATCAGAGCAATGCACACCGTTAGGTATTGAAAAGGTCGTCAACCTTGATCATAATCCTATGGATAAGACCCTACTTGTCGGCGGAGGGTTCTTTGCTCTACGAGCACTGCAGGTCATTGAAAAAGGAGAGCTATTATATGTCCGACAATACCCGTTTGAGGGAGATGCCGAGGACAGGCAGATGCACTCGAATATTATGGAGGCTACCCGGCTGCTGAGTCATCACAATTGAGTGGACATGTGAGACGTCGAGAAATATAGTATAACTCAGTGATATTTTGCGTGTATACATCGCTGTCTATTCGTATCTTCTGTTACTTGTCCCTCTTTGTGTTCTTGTATTTATTGCTTCTTTGAGGGAAGTGAGTATAGAGAAAGCTTATTGTGTACCAGTCTGCATCACAGCGAGTCGTAGGGTTTCCTTATTTACTTGCGTTTGTGTGTGGAACAGGCCTGACCTTTGAATCTTATTATATTAAATCTTAAGGATTTTTAAACTTCTCTATAGCGACGCTGCAAGATATTACTATTATACTTCTAGATACTAAGCCATTGAACATGCTCAATTTTTTTTCAAGGGAATTCATGTATCGCTATGGTCTGATATTTATGTGTGCCTCTGCTGCTCTTGGGCTGATGGTGGATAACTCTTACTCGAAATCATGGGATTGGATGAGGCAAGAGTACGACATTTCTCAGACCTTAAAGAAAGATAAAGGAAATCGAATCGAATGATATTTTTATGATGCTTTTTTTATATTTGTTCAGCGGAAATCCCCTAAAAACTATCCCTGAAATATGACGTTGGCGCTTTGGATTACAACTTTGAATCGTAGTGCTGAAAAAAGTCGAGAGAATGCTGGTAAAGGTGACTTCTTTCCTTTCGTGGCCCTAAGCTTGATTTTCTCTGCATTAGATTCGATATTTATATTTCATCTGTTTATTATTATTATTAATTTGCATTATTTGTTCACTAAAAGGCGCGCTCTGCGAGGACTACTCAACTTCTTGTTCTTTCTCACGCAGGGTTAGTGTGTGTGTGGGAATGACAACATTGACTGACCAATCAAAAGCGACCGCGAGGCTTGTCTTGCGTTTTTGATTCCTTCCTTTGTGATTTGAATGTAGGATGACATCTCTATTTTTTTTAATGAATCCGTTGTCTTTTTTCTTTGTTTTTAATTGTTCTTCAATATTTTTCTCAACACTTCCGATAAAGCCTTTTAAGCAAGAAGGTATTCTTCCTCACTACACGTTTTTCCCTCTCCTTGCTGCACACACAATAAAATACAATAGTAGCAAGTGAACCAAGAAATACGGTGGCAACCTTTGTAGCACAATACTAGAAGTGATTAGGAATTTCTGTATTCTTTTAATATTTGAGTCCTAGCTTTATTACCAAAGACATTTGCTTCCTAAATTCTCAATAGTTATGCAAAGACGAACGATACAAGGTATATTGCATATTTAACTGTGTAAGTAAGCGAATTATTACCATATCAAAGGCAAGCGATCAACTGAAGTTCTCATCCAACCGATAATCTAGTGCATTAAAAAGAATACAAAAAATCAGTCAGGATACTGACAACATAAGAAGAAAGACCAAGAATAAGTTATATTTTATTGACCCACACCATAAACCTTTAAAGCATCTATTCAGTGAATTTCTGATCCTAAATATAGCGTAGCACAGACTTCCCACGTTATACACACGTTACGGATACCCAATTTTAGCTATTGTAGGATTTTTCAATTTATGAGATTTTGTTTTTATTTTTCAAAATTTGTTGGGTTCTTTACTATATTTCTACAAATCACCTGTAACACTTGCCTACAGGGCCAATAGTACATTTTTTGTAAGTGCTTTCCAGCTCCCAAGAGGAAGAAGTGGATTTCTCAACAAAGCTCTCCAAATTTTATTTTTGCTGTTAGTAATCACGTACAAACACACGCTCACATTTTCTTGCTTTCGTTCTTTTTTTTTAAACAGAATTGGTGCTTATTTTTTCAGTACTTGCTACTTGTCTGAAGATTTTTATATACTCGGACACTCACAAACATATATATATATATATGTATATGAATTTTCATCAATACTGCACCCATTCTGCCACTTTTGTATTGAAACAAAAAATTAAAGAATAAGAAAGACATATCACATTTGCTTTAAGTAAACCGGACAGCACATCGCATTTTTACGTTGTAGCCAGGATTTTGCGCGTGCACGTACACAGGTCTGTATTTCGTTATTACTTTTAGGTGGTAAAATTCACTAGTTTAGCAAGAATGAATAATAGGAAATTTGAAGGAGCTTGATAAGTTTCTTTTCCTTTTTTTTTATATTGAGCTGAGAAAAGCGTTGTCAGCGAATTTTTTTTTTTTTTTACACCACAAAGGGTGCTCTGGACTCAAATAATTTTGTCTGTATCATCTGATCGTGTGATTTTAGAATGAGAATAGGAAAAGAAATCATATAATTTTTGGACATACTTTTTTTTGTGCCTGTGTAGCCTAAAGCAAATGAACCCAGAAATGAGGTTTTGCAACAGGGCTGGCAACAAGAAGAGTAGTGAACTTTCGCACGATTTGTGTTGTAAGAAATCGGATGGGTTGTTTAACCAAACACAATTTGGTGGTAAACGTACCGGCGGAAGTGGAAATGATGTACGAAATAGTAGTAATGATATGAGCTATGCTTACAGTTTCGGTGAATGCGCTCAGAAGTGTAGCTCATCTCAGACTCTAGCCCACTTACAAGGCTCCATCTCGAGCGTATCAGATTCTCAAATTCTCTCTGATATGAGCTACAATGATTGTAAGGTTCAAAGGGGTCACCAACCAGAGTCGGATCATATGTTAAATAATGTGAAGAACAACGTAATGAGTGAGAAATGCGACAACGAATCTTGCGCTAAATACAAAGGAAAAGTTATGAGTGGGCGTGGGGTTATGAAACGTCAAGTCCATTGTAGTACTTTCAGGAAGGACGGGGAAGCGAGGAAAGGGTGTGATAAGAGTGATATGATAAGGGAACAAGTTGGCAAACATGATGCATCATCGTTTGGATGCCGCGAATGCTACGACGAAGACGGCACCAGTCATATGGACGAAGAGGATACATTAGATTCAAGTGAGCTCTCGGCGAACCGCCATACTCCTTTGGTCTTTATGCATAATAATGAGAAATTGAGCGAGTGGATACAGCCGGATCTGGAAAACGGGAGCTCATTTTCTACAGATGGATGTGATATCAGAGCACAATATGTCAAGGAATCTAAATTATTATCAGGCAGACAGAAGACACAAATTACATCAGGTTCTTACTGTGTGATTCTACCACGCGCGCACGGCGTTAATACCAAACTTTTGAGGACAGCCGACATTCGCCAATCTTCACCAACACATTTCAACTTACTATCGCTATCTATCAAGGATGTACTAAAACCTTCAGGTTTCTTTCCACTGCAGCAGCATCGGTCATTGCTGTTCGATGAGGCAATAAAGGCCCTTGAGGAGTCGCTCTTCCAGACTGTAAAGCTTGAGCTTCATGGTATGAGTGCAGGGGGGACCTACATGGTACATCGTCTTCCTTCTTTGGATGTGATTGATTGTCAAATGGGTAGAAAGGGTGTAGGCCAGCGTGCGCTGGCCGTTTTCAAACCTCGTGACGAGGAAATTGGCCAGGAACGTAACCCACATGGAAACTCTCGGAGCGATCGAGAGGGTTTTATGCCGGGCAGTGGTAGCCGCCGCGAGGTGCTTGCTTATTGCCTTGATCACGACCATTTCGCTGGAATACCTCCAACCCTTGAGGTATCGGCGGTGTATTGCTTTGATGTTTCTCAAAAGGATACGATGTGCCCTAATTTGTCGGAGATGGTAGCTCCTAGCGTGAGTGTTGGGAGCCTACAGCTCTTCGTCCCGGACTGCATCGATGCAGCAGATGTATTACCAGGAAAGTTCCTCGTGAAAGAGGTCCATGCGCTTGCAATTTTTGATATTCGAACACTAAACAGTGATCGACACGGCGGCAATGTCCTTGTCAGCTATGAGGAGGACGGTGACTGTAAGGTGAAGGTACCGCATTTAGTTCCTATTGACCACAGCTATGTATGCCCTGCCGGCTACGAGGATCCAGATTATGAGTGGCTGTCCTGGCCGCAGTCAAAAGTGCCGTTTTCTACAGAAAGCTTGGACTATATACGAAAATTGGACGCCTCCGCTGATGCGGACCTAGTGGCTGCGTCCTTATCGGCCAACGGTGTTGACCAGATGGCCACTACTTTCCCTAGTCAGCAACCCTTGCCGGACAGCTTTGAAAGTAACCCCTCTTCCACCACCGCACAAAACGTTTTACATTTAAGAAATAAGCAGTGGATGATAGAAGAACTTTGGGTGATGAGCTCACCATTGCAACAGCGTCATACTACTCCTTATGCTTACGAAGGCTCTTCTCATCCGAACTTTCCTAAGTATCCCAAGCATAACGAGCTTCCTTGTGACCAACGTGGCGCTGAGGATGTGAGGGCGGCGGCAAACACGTTGTACTGTGCCACTCGGCTGCTGCAGGTTGCGGCACTGGAGTTCGGGTTAACGGCTTATGATATTGGAAACATGTGCCGCCGACCGCGACTAACGTGTCCCTCTCTCCTGGAAGAACTGATTGAGGGTAGTCTCGATGAAAAGACTTGGGAGACGGACCGTGACATGTTTGAGTTTCTCTTGGTGAAAAGACTAGAAGTTGCTGCAGCATCTCTTGTGGAGAAGTAGTATCATTACAACGTAGAATTCCACAAGGAAAGGCTCTCATATTTTATGGTATTTATTATGAATAGTCTACTGACACAAGTACTCGCTGTTTGATATGCAGACTGTTCGCCGTGTGAGTGCTGTACTCACACTTTTACTATTTTTGATCTTTTACAACTTGGTTTTTCGTTTTTGTTTACGGTAAAGGCAGACAAGAGCAAACTGCCTGCACTTTTCGTCGAAAAAGTTCTACAGTGCCTTCCTTTAGGCTTTTTTTCCCCCATTCAGCTAGGAAGTAGCCTACTAGGGGGTAACTGTAGAGGAGGGGCGCGGTTGAGTGAATTACCTCAAGGTGATGGTTATGCTTGTTTATTTTTATGCTTTCGTTTTCTAATATGAATATATATATGCATATATATAGGTTCACTTGCAGGTCTTTGCATTATGTTTTTTTTTTATATTTCATTTTTTTCCTCATGAAAGTTTCAAACTAGTTTGATTGGAATTATAAGTAGCCATTTTTAGCAATGAAGCAAGCTAGGTTCCAGCGAACTCTTGATTGACACATCGTGATTATTCAAAACAAATAAGATAATTACATAAATGTTCCAAGGGAAACCCATTATAGCTTATTAATGCATTATGCACATTTCAATTGATTATTTATTTATTTATACAGCATTTGTTAGTTTTTACAACTTTGTAATTGCTTGATGCAGTTCACGCGAAAGGAAAAGGGGAACCGTGAAACCATGAGACTAAAGTAAGTAACGTTATATATATGCTATTAATTGCAATAGATGTATCCATTTGTTGTTATCATCAGTATTAATTTCGAATCCAAGTGCAGTCTATTGTTTAAACCGTTTTTTGAAAGGCTCTAACGTCTAGCAGCAAACACAATTTGTGCTTTAACAAGCTCATTGTATCCAAAAACATTCGATAAATATTTCCACAAAGCAACGAGTTACATCATTGTGTTCGAATTCTGCTAAATTAGCATATCATTACCCCCCTTCTTTTATTATTCTACCTTTTTTCCCCAACATTACGTTCTTTTTCTGTCTATTATCATCATGTCAGTCACAGAGAAACAGATAGAAATAATTAAATTAAATTTTAAAACGCGGACATATACAAACGGCACATTCAACAACATCATCAAGAGCGTCAACCTCCCAATATAAATTTCTTTTGGCGTGGAGTATTTAGTTTTCCACCTGTTTTGTGGTGAATTTTCTATATAAAGCCACAGCTGTCTTGGTATATACTTGTATTCATATCGGAGTTTTCCAGATTCACCACAGCAATGTTCACATCAAGTCAAGCTACTGCTCTTAGATGCACTAAGAATAGATGTGCTGAACAGCCAGACCCTATGAGGAATAAAGATGTGGATTCACCTAACCCTGTTTCGTTTATATCAAAGGGTTGCAATGAGACTAATCGAGAAGCAGCGTCGTCTTTGATTGAATCTCAGCCACCCTGCCCCCCACACGAGCAAACAGAGATCAATCAGCATGCAGCTTCGAATTACAATCAACTAGGCCACTTGAATAGTGTAGTGTTGCATCCGAATCCTCCCCTAGAGGATTTCCAGGGGTGCGAAGTCGATGGTGACAACTCCCTACACCACCCTACTAACACGTTGAGCCATCTGGCTCAAAAGCGGATTCAGAGAGGGGGGGGGTCGGAAAGTTACCAAAATGCAGCAACGCTGCTCGCTGCGGTGAGTACCCCCTCGGATGCGTACACTGCGTTTGAACAGGAGCTTCTGGATGAGATCAATCAGCTGCGCTGTGATCCTGCTTTTTATGCAGTACTGTTTGAGAATGAGGCCACATTGGGCTACCCTTTTATCTGTATGGAGGACGAGTATTACGCTACCGATGCAGCTGCGAGCAACGCCCATGAATATCATCCTGAATCTTTATTGGAAGCCGTGTCACGCGTCACCAGGACTGCGTGTCCTCACGGGCGTGAGGAAATCTCCTTGTTCTTGTCGTCTCGCATTGCTTCAGAACCCCAAGCAAATCACCAATCCAATGAACACATCATCACCCAGTCTAAAAATCAGAAAACGAGGCCGAACTCCCTGATGCAACAGGTCCCACCTATTGTGAGTACTTCATCCTGCCCCGGGTCAGAACCTCTCTCTACCCGTTCATCAAGTAAAGGTCGGGGTCGTTCGGCGCGGGCATCCGCCATGACACAACACCGCTTGAATAAGTCCAATGCGTCCGCGAGCGGCCAAGGTGCTCATTTAAATGTTCATTCCAGTGCTACTAGTTCCGCTGGAAGCCCTCAACCATCACTTTTTCAGGCAGCGAATGATGCAACTGTAACTCCTTCCACCCTGAAAAAACAAGGACTTACTGAGATGACGTTGGAGCAGCTGGGAACACACCTTCGCCGGCATGAACTGCATCGCTTTGCGTTGGAGAGGGCGGCAGAGGACATCCTAATACGGTGGCAGCTGGCTCAACTCGCATTGCAGGACGCATCAAGTGTGGAAGACGATCGGATTAGTAAGAGGGGTGGTAAGGGGCAGCATGTCACTTCCAAGGAAGGCATGACAGGCTGTACTCTATCATCGCGCGCCGGGGCTTTTCCGCAAACGGGCTCCCATCGGAAAAGCCATGAACGTGCCACAAGCTCGGAAGGGGTTCATCAACAGCGCTTCGAGGTTGCTGAGAAGTTGAGGTCCATTTTTGCGGCACACCTACGCGCAATACTGGAGAAGATTTGCTTAGAGCATTTGATTTGTAAACGATCGATGGATGGCGCCAACCTTATTCTGGATTGTGTACAGGCCCTTAGGCAAGTTTCACCAGTCCCACCGTTGCTTCCTAGAAGGGGTCTTTATCTAGCAGCACGTAGTGTCAGCCTTTTTCATCATGCTCTCGGTGACTGTGTATCCAAAGCACCAGCGTCGAGTTCGTCAAACATGCTGCTTAGCCCATGCTCAGCAAATCTGCGTGACGGGAGGGAGGTGAAGTTGCTACCCCTTCTATCAAGTCTACAGGACAACCTTCCGATGTCAATTCAGGAGGGCGGTGATGTGAAGCCTGTTCATGTCCTTAAGGAGTGGGTGAAGAGTCAGAAAAACCAGGCCACTAACTTCTTCAATGCCAACACGCAGCTTCTCGCCCACCGGATTTCTGTAGAGGCTATTGCTAAAGACATCACTTGCATTGCTCATATGGCTCACGAAGCATGTGGCAAGTATGGTCAGATTGCCAATCAGTTGCGAGGGATCCAAGTCTATGGATCAGGCAAGGCCAGAGAGGTGATCATACGTGCAATTCTAGGTGTATTAATCCCACAGTTTGTTATTCATGGGGTGCATTTTCCTGAAGCTATAAAGCGCGATTCAACGGAGACCGTCGACCGGCTTCTTACAGATCGAGAGATCTCACGTCTTTTCAAATTTAGTATCTTTAGCGGTACGTCTCGACAGGGTGGGACCGACCGCGCGACAGCTCCGGAGGCCAATAACATCTCAGATGAAGCCCATGATGAGGTAGAGTATACAGGAATCATGCTGTGCGGTACGTATCATCCTACGACAATGGGTGCCCTTGTTCAGCGTCTGCTTGAACAAGACTCGGATCCGACATCGCGGGGCAAAAGAGTGGTTGCTGCGGCGCATCGCCTTGGTCCGCTGCTGTGGCGCGACGCGCGTGTGGTGGGGATCGGTTGGCAACGTGCTTGCCGCCCACTGACGTACGATGAACCTGACCAATGCATTGCAAATACAGGGGGTCCCGATGAAAAGGATCGATCCCAGAGCAGTGACTATATCTGCACGACCATAGTTCTTGCCACCGAGTATGAGGAGCTGGAGTTGATTGCAATGAACAAACATGCATCCCTGGAAGAGGTGAATCGTATTGTGCAGCAGTGCCAGGAGTTGAATAATTTGCTGCCTGAAAATTTTTCACTTCCCATTCTGGATGGTTGTTCCGTTTCAACTGAAGGGATTAGCGCCATGAAAGACATCAGCCAGATGATCACAAGCACTACGGTCGCCGACTTACCGGTGATGGTGGATCTGCATTCGAACCTCGGCGTCCAGATTTTGCACCCGAGGTGCCACCCCCTCATGTTGGAAGTTGACTTTACTTCTCACCACTCAGGGGTGGCTGTAGTGGTACTGCGCGCGGATAGAAGGCGTGTTCAAGTAAGAGCCTCCCTGTCCGCTTATTCAGCTATCAATCCCTCCTCCTGGGCTTCTTTCCCCCCACCAGAGATGCAGGCCTCACCGGAAGTTTTAATACAGCGCAGTGTGGTGGACCGTGATGTGGTGTTAATCATGATTGACACCATGTCAGTTACCAATGAGTTCCTGCAGGTAATGCAGACACCAGACTCTGACTCCAGCACTGCCATTTCATACCCGCTGCAGGACACTGTTCGTTTTCTACACATCTTTGAGAAGCCAATCAAGGGGAGAGACATAGGTCCCACTAAGACCATAGACGTTGTGACGGGGTATTCATTTATTGGCTTTATTAGATTAGTGTTTCAGGCGAAGACTAAGCTGTCTTGTCGCAACGGAATGGTAAATCATAGTCCAAGGAAGTTGTTGGTTTCCTCAGATGGAAAATTACGGAGCACTGCGTGCGCCACGCCTCGAGGAAGTGCTATTCAGGCGGCACTTGGCCTGCGCTCGACAGAGGTTAGCACACTCGGCGCTAGGAAAGGCCGATCTCACCGCAACGAGAGGATATTCCAGGCAGGCGGTGCTTCTGTGGCTCGTGGTGGAATTTTTTTGCCCCCGCTCTATGAGGCCTTCTTGGCACATTTTGATTTTAGTGCTAGGGCGGCTCCCTTAGAATATTTACATGATGGTCTTCCTGCATTAGATGGTACAAGAGATGCTTTATTCGCTGCAGTCGCCGGCACGTGTAGTGGGTGGCCTGACATTTCGGCCGAGTTTACCGACCGCGGCGGGTGCATCCTTTCACCCCTTGTTTCCACTCTTCTTTCTGATTCTGGAAACACTCCGGTGCGGTTTGCCGTTTATTTACCAAATGATTATCAAAATCGCGGAATCGCGTTGCAACAGAAAGAGGCACTCTTGGAGCTCCTGCGATCTCTCGAGGAAATTGAGGCCGCTGAGGCGTTAAAGGAGAGTACTGATATTGCGTTGATGCAGGAGGAGACACAAAACCAAATCGATACGCCATGTGAGTCTGACGCCGAGTCTAGAGAGAAGGCTGGGACCCTTTCCAGACAAGTCAGCTCACATGGGGATGGGAATGCATATGTGACAGCTGGGACTGAGATCCAATTGGAGGAGGCTGTTTCAGCGAGTGCTTGTGCGAGTGCGGATGGTGAGGGAACCCATGCTGACAGTACTTTCCCTACTCTTGAAACAATCCATCAAAAGGCAGAGCTTGGCCGTTCCAAGAAGGGCCCGGGTAAAAATATTGTCGACGATAGAAGCAGCAGTCCGGGCGGTAACAAGCGATCCAAAAAAGAAAAGTCACCAGATGAAAGGCGAACTGGTTCTCCGAATTTGAGGGCGGAACAGAAGGGTTCGAAGTTGCATCTTCGCAGAAATGGCAGCTTGAGTACTCTCAAACAGAGCGTACCTCGGGAACTTGTAAATCCTGCGGTCGCGAGATTGCAAGGCTCATCACTTGTACTCTTCGAAGATGGGAATATTGACCTCTTTCGCTTGTTTGATGCTCCCCCGTCCAATCTTGGGAATGCGGCAGTTAAACAGACTGGGAGCATACCCCAGGCCCTAACCCATAATATTCTTATGTCAATGAGCCTTGCCCGTTTGCGTAATCTTGTGGATGAGCAGGCCCGTTTATTAGGTGAGCGGCGTGCACTACTGATCAGAATCGAGGGCATCCTTTGCGATGAGCTTCAGCGTTTAGAGGCGGAAGTGCCCAAGCGAAAGGGCCGTGAGCTCATTAAATTAAAACGCGATGAGGAGGATATCAATCTCCAGCTGGAGCAGATGCGTGCAATTGTTCAGAACTATGAAAAGGAGGCACAACACTCCAAGGAGGTACTTACAAGGCGGACTCGAGATCAAATGCTACGGCGCGCACGCCTGAAACATGTGAAGGCACACCTGGCAGCGCTTTGCGGATCAGGGAATAACTTTGAGGACGGTACGGGAAGTAACGATGACCCACCTCTGTTATCCGAGGTGGGTGAGCCCTTGTCATTGTCCTCATCGCCGTACGACGTTAACATTTGGTTTGTCCCAAAGAACAGTTTACCCCACGCCCTGCGAGTTTCTTCGCAGGTTTTCCCAATCAACAAGACCCACAAAAATGCTGCATGTGCTCCTGGCTTAATGACAACACAGGCTCCAATCACTACCAGTGCTAATAACATAGTTCACCTGATGCGGGTAGAGCTACCGGGCCAACCTCAGTCCTATTGTTACGAGGCTACGGTACAGGTTCCCAGTTCATTGCATGGGTGCGCAGTGTTGCTTGTGAATGGGTATAAATGCGCCCTTTGGGAGCTGTAATATATAGGTGAACATATCACACAGAGTGAAAAAGGAGAAGGAGGGGTGTGGGGGTGAGGGGAAGTGATACCGTTGAAGCGACCAAAAGGTAAAGACACAACGGTATTCTCAATTATTTCCATGTGTATGAATATACTTTTCTATTTTTATTCCCTTGATGTACATCGCATGCTAATGCATAAAAAATTCATGTATCGTCTGCAACATTTTGCTATTCATACTAGTCTTCATTTTTTGTTTGTGTAGCAGTGAAGGAGCAGACAACTGCTCAAATTGCACCTATTCGATGCATTTGAACATCCAAATTTAGAGCTGGCGTTGCTCAAAGTTATTGATTTTGTACCAAAATTGGTTGTAAATTTAGTGCGTTTTTCTTTCCTTTTCTTTAGACCTTTTTTTTATTATTTGGAGAAGGAAAGATAGTATACCCTCCAATTTTGGATCCTGCTTTGTGGGGGGGATACATCTATCATATACAGCTGACAGTGAAATTGTAACACTATATAGTAAAACCACTGAAACTATGAGTCATAAATACATCTTCAAATACGTTATCATTGGCGACATTAGTGTCGGCAAGAGCTGCATCATGCAGAGCTTTACGGAGAAACACTTCCGAAAGGATCTTCCACACACCATTGGGGTAGAGTTCGGCACCACAATCGTGGATGTCAATGGTGAACTTGTTAAGATACAAATATGGGACACCGCCGGTCAGGAGCGGTTCCGCTCTGTTACACGTGGGTATTATCGAGGTGCGGCGGCCGTATTGCTGGTGTATGACGTGTCGCGCAGGGACACCTTTGCTCATGTGGGCTCTTGGCTCCAGGAGGTGCGTGCCAATACCAACCCCCACACCGAGATTCTCCTTGTCGGTAACAAGAGTGACCTAGAGTATGAGCGCGAGGTGTCGTTTGAGGAGGCTGCTAAGTTTGCATCGGACAACGGCCTACTTTTTCTCGAGTGCAGTGCTCTGAGCGGTCACAACGTGGTGCAGGTATTTTTATCGACCGCGCAGAAGATTCATGAAAATGTGCTCAACGGGAAACTAAGTCCAACAGATGCGGAAAGCGGTGTACAAATGTGTTCTGCAGCATTATCGATGACAAGCGGTGCCACCAGTGGCACTGACGGTGGAAGAAGCGTGAGTAACATGTTGGGGGCTTCATCCAGTGCTAATATAAACAACAATAGTAACGTTACTTCGAGTAACTGTGCCTGCTGAGGGTGAATAGAATATGGTGAGATCTGTCACGATAACCAAGATCAATAGAGGAGGGAAATACATGAGAGAGCAAATCTAAACGCTGAAACATATTCTAAGTCTGATTTTATTCTTACAAATGATTCGTTCGATTCTAATTTTCCCTTTACACTATGCCACGTACCTTTTATTATCTTTTTTACTATTGCTTATTTTCTCTGAATGTAAACTGGAGGGCATATACGCATTGGGAGAGTCTAACGCAAGCCACAAATTTTCCTTATTTCATATATGTCTCAATAAAAATGTTTACCTTTATGCTTTAATGCATTAAGCTTACTCAACAATTTATCATCTATGTCACAACAAACCATTCGGCACACGAACACACATTCGTACATATCGAATAGGAGAAAGTATACAATAGTGCCCCAAAGCTAAAAAAAGGTGATTTTTATATCATAGCTTGGTTTTAGACATTTATGAAAACAGAAAAACTGAATAGTTTCAGTGGTTAAAAGCTTACTACACGCATTTATATAGATTTACATCATTGTGCGTGTAAATCAAATATGCCAAACAAAATTGACATTCAACTTTCCACAAGGAAGCTTTTTTTTCCATTAGCTCTTTCCAACAACACCATTGAAGATGTTGTACAAGTGACAAATGCACTCCCTAAAATCCCCGGCAATGTTAAAGAGAATATTGTTTCTTTCAAGGCGTTTAGTGTCGTGCGGGGAAGATATTCAATGAATCCTTCGGTCGGCTTCATCGCGGCAGGCGAATCTATTGTGCTCACGTTTTCGCTAGAGGCGGAATACATTCGCAAACATCGAGACTCAACTATAAAACTCCCTGTAACAGAGGAGAAAGAGGATTCAATCTACTTGTTTTTTACCATTGTGCCGGTTTCTATGGTAAGTTCATGCCTGAGTCTATGGGACCCGATGGGACCCATTGAAAATACTCCCGAGATACAAAAGGCTGCCAGTACTTTTTGGAAAATCCGTGGGGGTAGCGGAGGCTTTGTATCTTCCATGTTGGCTGATGACACCATCACACGGAAGCGGCTAAAATGCATATTCAAACCACGAGAGCCTTCTTCAGAAAACTTAGCAGCACATATGAATTTAAAGGGTAATGGTGGCGTGCCCGTGAATGTAGATCAACCTAATGGACAGAAGCCAACCACACAGAATAACCGGCTAGATTATTTGCCTGTTACTCAGAAATCCGAGGCACAGCGGACAGATAATCAGATACCCACCCTGTCAGAAGGGGTCCAAGTTTCTAGTGGGTTAAATGCGTCGAATCGTAGTGCTGGTAACACAACCGCGCTCGTAACGCAGAACCTGCATGGTGCGCTTAAGAGTAGTTCTAGTAATCGCATCGCTTACGATAGTGGTAGCGGGGCTGATAAGCATTGGGAGTTGTCCTCAGTGATGGACATTATCAACAATTTTTATGACCCAACAAGAGTTTCCAATATGCTACTCCCGCCAGTGAAAAATTTTTTGAGGTCTGTTCTTCATTACCACATTCCATATACATTCGTTGTTGCACTTCTGGTGTTATCCTTCCTGTGCGGGATATTTGAAAGGCGCACATTTTTCTCATGGCTCATCGTCGGAAAGTAAGGAGGCAAACGCTCCATGCTTCGAAATCAGGAATTTTGGAATATTAATAATAAGGGAACACTTACCAATACGAAAATTGTGTTTAATTTTTTTTTATGATTACCAAAGTCCTTTAGCTTTTTTTATCAGATTATCTATATATATTTATGGATTTGAGCCTTTATTACGAATATATTGATTGGTAATTTTGAATGATTTTGTTGCTCCTGGACCCACATCCAAGTATATGCCTCTTAAACTATATATATTATCCTTCGTTAACTCTTTACTGAATATCTTTTGCTTTCCTTTTTCCATAAGGGATGCTCATAATGGTAAGAAGATATCAGAAGCAAGGTCGAATTCAACCTAGATATACCAGCAGTGTGTGAAATGTAAATATACTCGATGAAATTACTTGAAGTAACACGAACACACAATAGCTATAAATATATGCTTATTTACGAAGGAGAATGTTATACAGTTTATTATGTGAATTAATTTAGCAACATACACCAACAAATACCAACCGCAATATCTATGGGATCTAACATAAAGCATATTTTCAATGAAAACAAATTACACATCCAAAATCGTCCTTGTTTATTTTTAATCTGTATTCTTTTAAATTGCGAAGGTTAAGCAGATGTGCATACTTCCTCCTATTATTAATAGTGAGAGAAACTGCTTGTGCTATTTCATTGCTATTTAACTTTTTGAACGTAAATTATTTACTATATATACACATATTAGCACATGACAGTACCTTTTTGCTGTCACACTTTTAGAAAGGACACTATACTTGTTTCGTGGAAGACATATTGCCATGTATGTCACCAGACAGTCCCATTTTTTTCGAAGGTACTTAAGTGTACCAGTTGCTTCTGCATCCTACATGAGTCTTGCTATGCCAGTATGCTAAATACTCTGCATGGCATAGACGCACTGGCAGAGAAGACAGCACAAAACATTGCACAAAAAAAGGATGCTCGCATATATGGGACGAATCAAACGATCTTTAAACGGGACGGGGTGCGTGGGAAGTCGCCAGATTCAACAGAGTATCACCCCTCTGAGAAAACACCCTCTACTCTAGTGGGTGTGCCGTGTTGTCCCAGGGGTGTGGAGGAAGGCAGTTTGTACGGGCCTCTGAGTCATCAACCGTCTCGAGTTGGGGACTCATGTCACAATTCATGCAATCAAATTTACAGGTGTAAGGGCTGCATCTACTGCTGTGCCCTAGAAGGTGTCAATAAGAGCGCTGGCGAGGACGGTGATGACGAAAGTCTACCTTTGCCAAAGAGTTGCAACCAGGGTAGATTCGTACCTCTTACCTGTGGGGCCCCTGTAATGGGCTTACCTTCTCAGGGGAGGTCGGGTAGGGCAAGAACTGCATCGCCTCGGCGGTCTTGCGTTAACATTTGCACAAGTTACTATCGGAGGGGAAGCTCGAAGCGACAGCGGTATCGACAAGGATGTTCACTAACGAGTTCACGGTTTGCAAAGATCCTAAAGAGCCGAGAAGAGGCTACATTATCGTTTTCTTCATCTTGCCCTGACCAGCACCTACGCCGAGCTGAGACCTTTTGGATCTCAACCAAGAAACCAAACTATGTCGAAGGCTGTAAAGTAGGTGAAAATTTCTTTTTAAAGCCCTCTGTTATAAAGACTGATGAAGTTGAGGAGCGATATGAGGAGAAACACTCGAGCAGTCAAACAATCGACTTCGACAGTAAGGGTTGCCTTCATACCTTGTCTCGCATGCCATCACCTGAAAAATTAACTAGCGGCAATTCTATGGAAGGTACCCGCGGTATGAATACAGAAAGGAGCTCATACGTAGATGCAATCAAATCAGAGGATCTGAATGACAAGGAAAGGGACGATTTTTGTTCACCCGATCCTCTTCCCACGGCGAATACACCTATTGAGGGAGTCAAAGACCCAGCTGATGCTTGGGGCTTCAACTTTTCAGTGCCCCAGGATGGTTTAGCAAGCTCGGTAAGGGGCTTCATAAGTGGATTTTGGCCGTCTGCTGTACCCTTTCGCTTGGTATCAAATTCTTTATCTGCTGCGTCCTCTCGCTTAGTGTTAGCATCTATGTCCGCTGCATCCTTTGTTAGTTCACCGACTTCGTTCTTAGATATCCAGACTATTATTCGCTTCTATCTTGATACGTCAGGAAGGAATTCACGAAACGATCCCAACGTGGTGAAAATCCTCGAGAGCGTTTTTCAACTGCTCGTTTTTTTCCAAGCGAATCACCCGATCTTGAAGGGCCGCATTTTCAACTTGCTGTACTTGGGTGAGGTAGGTCGTCGGCATCAGCAACAGTATGAACTTTATACACAAGATTTACATGAGGCTTCAATTCTCAGCTCATGTCAGCTGTTTGCATATGGATGTGATGAATTGGTGTCAGATAAGGATAACGAAGAAAAACACGATGTCGGGAAGGAGGCTTTCAATAATGATCGAGGTTTGACAACGCTTGGCTTGCCAGCAGCTGAAGATGCATCGGTGTCACCTACGATGAACGATAATAACCAGAGAGTGCCGCTGTTTGAGGCCTTACCCTGGAAGAAAGGTGCTCCCCCCAAGGTTTATCATTCCGCTATTCAGCAGATACACGATATCCTTCGCTTTGCAATTGCTGTGTATGGTGCACCGTATCACACTGGTTCTCTTTCCTCATTGTTTGGGGTGGCGATGATATTCACGATTCATAAGGAGAAGGTAGAAAGCTTACCTAAGGCGGTCAACGACTGTGCAGTAACAGATATACTCTCTCTTCCATCCTCCGCGCTCAAGTTGTCGCGCTGGAGCTCCCGCGCTACAGAAATAAGCTACGTAGTGCTTGTAGAGCACCTCAGACGCCGCATCGTGGTGAGCTTTCGCGGAACGATGACTGATGGTGATATTTTGACTGATATTTGTGCCCTTGGGGAATCGTTCTGTGGAGGTTTGGCGCATCAAGGTGTGGCGCGTGCAGTAAATGCAATATTCAATCAGCGCACAAGCACTCGATGTACGAGGAAGACTATGTTGCCGTTAGAGCATGAGGTCAAAGCCCATCGACCATCTTATGGAAAAATTAAAGGGGAAACGTGCATTAGGGATTCACCTGATGGAGATATTGATTCGACGTTTTTACATATCAACGATAATTCCGATAGTTCAATGGCCAACAACAATGGCACAAAGCATGGGCCCAGTCTGCCACAACTTGAGGAATCCGACACTACCGATGATCTTCTTGACACCCTCGAGAGGCTGGTGTGTACATTTCCGTCGTACAAAATCATCATTACGGGACACTCCCTTGGTGGAGGGGTCGCCGTCCTCTTTGCTATTCGGCTGTCTTACGAGAAATTCTTTCCACCCGACGTTCTGCGTCGTATACACGTAATTAGTTTTGCGCCCATGCCGACGCTAACACTACCCGCAGCGGCGTTATTTGATGAGGGCCAGGAATACTACGCATTTCCTATATGGAACATTGTGAATGGCTGTGACATTGTGCCACGCCTGCAGGTTAACAGCCTTCACCGCCTCCTAGGCGATATCTGTAAGGTAGGCGAAGACTCGGCAGGGGGTCTTGGTCCTCCTACTGACTCAATAATGCCAGGAATAAGGGAAGGAGCATCTAGTGATGTGCCCGACACCGAGCGTGCTGAGGGCTACCCAACGCACGAGCTTTACCATCCTGGAAAGGTGTTTTTAATGACCTCGCCCTGGGATCCCAGTAAGAGTCGCTTTGTTGAGGTTCCTCGTGGGCACAAAAGCATGCATGAGATTTTTTTAATGAAGTCTATGTTGAACACGCATATGCTTGACAATTATATGGAAGGGTTGGTAAATCTAAGGCCCTCGAGTCGATCTAGTACGAAGTAGCCGCCTGAGGATGTATTCATCTTTTTCTTTATTTTTCATAGTATTTGCGAGTTTGCTATGTATATTTTATTATTTAAATTTATTTTCTGTGAATCTCTATGAAGTGACTTCACCAAATGCCAAACTTTTGCTTATTACTTGTTTTTGTTCTTTACTCTTTGTTGAGGGTAGTTTTTGTGGGTAGCAATTTCGAATCTACTGAGGATAGCACCAGCTATCGATGCACTAACGTTGCTCCCATCCAAAGAATAGAAATGCTCGAGTTAAACGTTTTCTCACTATCTTGAGTATGCCCTTTGAGTTGAGCTACCATTTTTTTTCGCTCCTATGGCGTATGTTCATAAATATAGTAGCGTAGACGCCTTTTCATAATGATTCCAAAGCAAAGTAACTTTCTATAGTTATATTTACATCCGATAGGAATCTTGTTTTTCTTAGACTTTACCATTCATCGTACTACTTTTACCGCTTCTAAGGTATTCTGTGGGACCAATGCACCAGTGTAGTGACAACATTGCGGTGCAGGGAGCGAAGAAGGGATGGAATGAGAACCAGACATGAACGCTGGTTTGACAAATTTTACTGCGCAAAGATTTTTTTTTTTGTTGTTGGCTGCCTTTCAAAGTGGTGATATGAAATTGTAAAAAGTGTGCACTGCTTCATGCAGGGAGGCCGGTAGGGTGAAAGCCAAGTAATGGAGGCTGTTTCTTTTCCTGTGCGCAGCCTCCGATTGCCTTAGTGCAAAAGTGTATGATCAGATTGATGGGTTAGTTTAATGCATAAAGGGAAGCAATCTCTTTCCGGAGTCATTTCTATTTCATTGTCTCTCTTCCACGCACGCTCATTGGATCGATACAGAGAATTAAATAAAAGAATCGAGTTTTTAAAGTATCTTTTCGTTACGATCTTACCGGAATAAAGCTAAATTAAGATAGTTCTATCAAGCATAATTGGACATTGGAGTTTACGGAGCAGAGAGAGATAGAGCACACAAAGTCTGGAAAATCACGAGACACCATGTCCTGCCGCGTATTGGTTACTGGGTTAACGCCTGACACCACGCATGATGCCTTGCGTGACTTCTTTTCTCGCACCGGAAACGTCGAGGCTGTGGAGCAGGCAGTCAATGGCACCGAGGCCTATATCACCTTTTCCGACCGAGACAGTATGGAGATGACCGTGGGAACTTTGAATGGGGTGGAGTTCAAACCCGGAGTCACTGTGACAGTTGCCGCAGCCCCCCTTTCGCCCTTGCCGACTGCGAACGAAATTGGAGCAAAAGCCACCACACCGGCTGGTGATGTTGATGGCGGTGAAAGGTACGCACAGAGGGAGCGTTATAGACCCAGTCGAGGAGAGCAGCACCGCGAGGGCAGGTACAACACCAATGGCCGAAGTACGCCGCCACCGCCACTACCCGCATACAACACGAGTGGTTCCATAAAGGATTTGCGGGATATGTACAAGGTATGCGTGACGAAGCTCTCCTCGCAGACTGTTGAGGATGATCTCCGCGTTTTTTTCTCAAAATGTATCGCCGGTCAGGGCTACATCAACGATCTCTACTTGGATCATCGTCGAAATTATGCCTTTATTGGGTTTTCCACTGCTGAGGCTATGGAGGCGGCTCTGAAGCAATCCGGGGCGTGGCTGAAGGGCCAGTCGATCACTATAGAGCGCAAACGCATTTTGAATCGCGCAAATCGTGTCGTTATACTTGGACTTCCTTCGGATTGCACAGAGGAAGCCGTGCGCATCTTTTTCAGTGGCTGTGGCGAGATGAGTGACCTTCACCTGGACCCTACCAGGGGCATGGCCTTTGCGAACTTCACTGACCCTGCCGCCGTCACGGCGGCGGTGGCTAAGACCGGTGAAGAGATGGGAGGAAGCGTTCTGACTATCCAACATCGTGAGTTCAAGACATGTTTCCACTGTAACCAAGACGGCCATGTAGCGTTGCACTGTCCCACAAGGGAGAGCAACGCCGGTCTTATATGCCACAAGTGCGGCAAACGGGGGCACAAGGCACGGAGCTGCGACTCGAAGCCTCTAACAGGTTCCTACGGGGAGGAAAGGAAAAGGAGGCGACCGGAAGGAGACACGCATGGTCATTATCGGCAAAGGGAGGATCTCGGAAGTCGTGATCCTAGGGATCACCGCCGCCGCTACTTGCATTCGCGTTCCCGTTCCCGTTCCCGTTCGCGTTCTCGCTCTCGTGACCGTGACCGTGACCGTGACTATCGCCGGCGACACCAGCAGCGGCGGAGCAGCCAAAGCCGCAGCCGCAGCCGTAGCCCGCATTCTCATCATCGTCAACGGCGCTCAAACCGAAGTCGAAGTCCCGTGCGCTCCTCGCACCGCCACTAATTCACAAAGGCTGATCAAATAAATAAAACAACACTTAAACTTTGTGTAGCACTCCTGATTTGAGTTATCTTCGACATTGGGTTCATTTTCAACAACATTTGATAGGAGGGAGGGAAAGCAGTGCCACGTGAGGGCGGCGCGGGATCTGTGACGACCACCTTTGCGATATTTGATAATGATGTGGAATGATAAATACTAGTAGTTATAATGATAGAAAGAGCAATATTCGCATAAAACGGATGATTTTATGTGGAAGGCAGGTTAAGTTGGTATGGATGGCAAAAAAATTAATTATTTCCGTATTCATGGGATATATTACTAAAAAATTCGGCAATATTATTAGGGTCCAACCTCGATTTAGTGTATATGTTAGTTTTAATAGAACAAGTGGTGCATATATATATATATATATATCGCGTTTGTATTTCCTATTTTCTCATATTAAACAACTAGTTATGGATATATAAAAAATATTCCTCAAACCCCTGTTTCCCTCTCAGCATATAAAAACAAAGTAAAACTGTAGTGGGTTAGAGAGCATTCAACACGATCATATTTAAATTGAAAACTAGAATAATTTTAGCTTGAATTTTATTTTTTTCCGTACATTTGGAGTGACCAAAGCTTTTATAATTAGTTCTAAAAAAATTACTGAGAACGACCCCTTACTTTTAAAGAAAATGGCGTCACAAAACGATGACAGAAAAATTCTTGTAGCAGATTTACCGATGATGTGGCCTAAAGATTTTGCTCGCTTCGAGGCGGAGGGTGGTGTATGGGGTCAACAAATGCGGCAGCGGCGCCATCAACTAACTGTTGCTCTTTCCACAGGTGTGCTTTCGACAGTGGTTGGGTCGTTGTACACTGTCCTGAGTCGGAAGAACACTTTTTTTGTTCTCTTTTCTACCTTTAGCGGCTTTTCAATTCTAGGCTTCTGTGTTGGTATGGGTTTGTCTCGCATTTTTTATGAGGATGTAGCCAATAATGCGGAAACGGCGATGATGCGACGGGTTTGGTGGGCAAAGGAGTGCGCGAAGCATTGGGACTACTCTCAGCTGGATGAGGGAACCTGGAGGGCGAAGTATCCGAAGGCGCAGTGCCCCCAAAATGCAATACAGTAGCATATCCATCTATCTATTTATCTATATATATGGATATATACCTACTACACTTCTTTTTACACCATTCTGAGAGCATTTCTTTGAAACTTTTCGATTCGAGATAAAGCAAATGCGGAAGGCGGGAGATGCAAATGAAATTAATGATCAAAACCGATCCCTCTCATTTCTTTTCCTTCCTCTTATGTTTTTCTGTAAGATATTGGCTTATCTCATTTGGGTGACATGAGAATACACGCATACTCACGAATTTCCCCCGGCTGTTCCTATGCTTTAGTGATTTTATTGTTATTATTATTAATATCATCATTGCCATTTTATAGTAAAAGTTTTGTCGCCAACGTGACTAACGTGACTATGTAAGAAAAAAAAGTGGGCAGAACGTGTCCCCTTTCGAATAGTCCTATCGCCCAGTAAGATATTATAGGAATAGTCCTGAAGTAACAACAATATAGTATCACCAGGAATACTGAAACTTAGCGAAATGCATTCTTATTCTTAACTGCTTTTAGGTTAATAGTTAACCCTTGTGTCTCTAGTGGTGATAAAAATGTGAACTTTCATGTTTTTTATCGTTCTTTTCGTTTTTTTTATTTATATAGCATTCCGTGGTTCTAAACCCTTCCCTCTTTCAGTATTTCCATTTCCGTGTAGAAACGCTGTGAGATTTTTAACGAGCGATATGTTCCTTCAGAAACGAGATGGAGTTATCGAAATTTCCTCTTTCCTCTTTTGTAACCTTCAGGGAAACTTTTGTTTTTAAGACCATCGGACCAAGTCGTTCTCTTCACCTTCTTTGTAAGTGGCGTGTGGAGGACCAGGGTTTTTTTCGATTGATAACTTTGATTACTTTATTAATACCCGTTTTCGCATGGGCATTTAAGTAATATTATTCAAAAGTACAAACTAATCTGCCATCATGGTTGATAAATGTCAGACATTCTCGTCAGGGCTGCAATCCAAATTACTAGAGCAAGAGCTCCAAGAGCAGCTGGCACGTGCTTATTATCTTCTCGTAGCTCAAGAAACTAGCTATGCAAATCACACCCTTTCGGTTGAACGGTTGGTTTCTAACCTGCAGATTATTGCGGAGCGTGTGAAGGCATTTCATGCGGGTAATGACCCATCTTCGCCAGCGGCTTTAGTTTCTGATGCAAAAGGAACTCATAAGAATTCGGAAAATGTCGAGAAGGATACCCATATTGTTGATGACAAGGATGTGCCCTTTCGGTGCATGGAGCAAGATCCTCACCACTATTGTGCTGTGGAGCGAGAGATGAGTGAATCTTATGACCTGAAACAAGACACTTACCAAAATGAAGGCTACAATTTTGATGGGCGAGAAACACGGGTTCACATTACTGGGAAGGTATCCACACCTACGCTCGACTCTCACGTTGAGTCTCGATTGCCAAACACTTCCTTCTATGCTTGCTCGGCGACGAGTTTCTGCGCTGATGCGCGTAATCCTTCATTAGTAATGGGTGAAATCCATGATAGCTCAATCAAGGCCAGAAATGATATTACTACAGTTTCTACCACTGAAGTTTCACTCACTGCACCATATTTCAACGTGGGCCATGAAGCCCAAGTGCCTGAAAAGTATCGACAGGAGAAACAAGGACCTCATCGGTGTCCTTCCACAACTACTTTCATTGAGACCATCCACTCGTTGATTACAGGGGGGGATGGGTGCAGTGAGATAGGTGTTGATCACGTTGTTAGTGTCGGTGATTGCAGAAGCCGGGGATATTTCCTCATCAGTGAAACCGAACATCGACGTCTGGAGACGGCCCCACCTCAGCTGTCACTTTCATGCCCGGCAAATCAACTCGAAGAAGCTGAGGGGGGGATGACGAATACAACTAAAATGACATCTGCTGCAGACCATATACATTACAACCGGCCTCTAGGGTTGTCCTGTAATGTTACATCATCTGGAAACATAGGGACTTGTTCTACTACAGAAGCTCTCCACTTGCAATTCACTGAGGATGCGCGACCGTTTGCCCGAGGTACTGAGTCGGGTGCTGAGGACAATAAAAATCCTGCATCAGTAGACCAGTCATGCGAGTGTAAACTAGGAAACCCATCTCAGCACCCACGGCAATTCTTTTCTAAGAATAGCAACACGTGCGACTCCACGACGTTGATGCCGTTCGTTCAACCAGAAGCGTGGGATCATACCGATTTAAGGCATTTGCCATCAAAAGGGGCCGTGATGAAGGAACCGCAAGGGCTCTCTGATCTCTTTCCGTTTGCGACTGATACGTGTATGACCCAGAGTAAAGCAGCGATACCCATTCACAGGGAGAGTAGATGTAGCTTCAGTGCTGCATCGAAGGCTGTTCCAGGAGCGAGTCAGGGAAAGTTAAGCGTAAGCGATATTACCCCACAGTTTGTGTTTTGGCCGGGCCTTCAGGTATCCAATCTCTTTCTCCCTATCGAGATAGCTACTCGACTGGATGATGGTGCACCTGATGTCTCTTCAACACTTTCACTCGCACTGCCGCTACGGGAAAAGGACTTGAAAGCGATTATAGAGGCTCGCTTTCCTCCCTATCTCACCCAGCTTACACCGGATCGAGTGCACGCCTTTCACGATGCACTCCGAGAAAGCCTTTTCGCGGCGCGCACCTCGTCTGGTGGGGGTTCTACATCGGTCTTAGCACTGCAGGAAGAAGAGGAGGCCTGGGTAGGCTGTGGTCCGGATCTTTGGCGGCGCGCTGCCGAGGTCGCGGCGGCGCTCCTGACGCTTCTGTCGCCCGTCTTGCAGGGGCTGCAAGGTGCGGCCTCCATTCCCTTGGACGGGCTTTTGGTGCCTAATGAGGCCCTTTTGGACATCATTGACATCACAATCGAGGCTAAGGAGGGTTTACACCGACGATCTAGTGACCGTGGTGTGCTCGACGTGGGTAGCGTTAAGCGTTGGCGCCGCTACTGGTGTCGACGGCTGTATGCGCTGCTCCATGAGGCTCGATGCGGACTGGAGGTTGTGTGTGAGTTCGACACTCGCTGGCCTAGCACCCTTCATCGGTTAACGGAGAAGCAGCACCATATGGTGGAGCTGACGCGGCCGAGTAGTAGCGACTTCTCTTTTCCCACGCCAACACATATCCCATCCTCTGGTTCGACGGTGCCCGTTGCTTTCAAGCCCGAATGCTCATGTATGGAGGCGGCAGTTCAAATTTCCGGCTTCGATTCGGAATCTTGCCGTGTGTTTCTACACGATCTGGGCGCCCCAAATTGCTTCTCATCGCTTCTATTAGCTCTGACAGAGGATGACAACGATGGTGGGGGATGGGCCTCGAGAACAGATGGCAGCAAATCCGAATCGCAAATGATTTGCATAGGAACTGGTGTTACTACGCTTGAGGAACTCCCACCATCATGCCCTGGTTGGCCTCTGCCTATTGAGCATGGTCTGGATCCAAATGAGCATAATGTTGTAGTAAAGGTGCAAATGCCGCCGTGTGTTGTCGTGGAGAGTTTGCAGATTGATCTGGTGTATTTGGATTCGCTTCTATAAGGGAAGATGCGGATATGGGGTTCAGGCCTGGAGTTAGTTTTTTATGTCCTTAAATCTTGATTTTTACTGGTGACTCTACTTGCTCACCGTTCTGCTTTTATTTTCAGTATCTTGTTTAATAGTTTTCTCATTAACATTCTGCTATTACTGCTTCACAAATAGAGTTCAATGCTAAAGTGTTCCTCTTTCACAATCTAATCTTTGGATGGATAGTATGACTATATGTGAAGAGAGCACAGACCCCACCTATCGAGAGCAAGGGGTGAGGTAGGTATGTGTTTAGCAGTATTGGAGACTTATACGCGTTGTTTTTATCTTTCCTCCCTCCCCTTTTTTTTTGACGAGAGCATGCAGGAAAAGTGTCAAGTCAGTATAAACGATTCGTTTGCTTTGTTATGATTTGACTTAATCACATTAGATTTGTTGCAATTACACACATGTGTCTAATAAAATCTAAAAATAACAAAAAAAATATAGTACTGATATCTGAGATTTTATACTCCCTTGAAATTCCATTTAAACACCGACAACCAAGCAGTGAAGCGTCTATTTACTAGTATTCACCCTACCTTCGCAAGCTCAGAGGTGTGAGAAAGTAGAGAAGAAAAAAAAAGAAGCAATGGCAGGCGACATCATGACAACCTCAAAGCACACGCGCACCCTCACCCCCCAATTCATCAGCACTGAAGGCTATGAAGCGGCCCCGTCAGTAGGGGCGACGCACATCGGCAGCCGCGGCAACCCCCCTCAGCCGTGCGAGTCCTCCGCTAGGGCGGCGCCCAGCCACGGCGCTCCCTCTGAATACCCCACGTCGAGCGCGAACCTCACCCCTAGCGAGCGCAGGGAAGTCGTGGAGGTCGTGGTCCACACCCCCTACGCGGTTTCGAACGGATCCGTCAGGGACGATCTGAAAGGTACTGGGCAGCACAAGAGCTCCAGCTTTCATGCGCGGGTCACCTCCGAGAGGGTGACGTGGAAAGACAAGTCGCACAGCGGCGAAGGCGAAGGCGTGCCAAAAGTGCTTCTGTTACACCACCGTATGGGGTATAGCATCATTACACTGACAGAATCGCAACGGAATCTGTATAAGTGGGCAAATCTGGAGAAGTATTTGTTATACAAAGGACAGAAGTACTCTTGTGTGAATATTTTAGGCCGTTTCTGCATCATATTGCTCATTATTTACACTTTCGGCACCTTGTTCTTAGCGTTTAGCATGAGCACATCGAGTTGGTTGGTTTTACGATCTGGCGTAGTCTATGAGAGCTACAGTCTTTTTGTGAGCTGCCATGACCAGCCACTTAGGCTCGCCGTGTGCAGTATGTATGCATTGCTTAAACATCATGAAAGCTTGCTCCCGAACCTTGCGTTGTGCGCCGCAAGAGGAAGCACTCAACTAAAGTATGCATTCACAATGTTGGGGGTTTCTATTTTTCACATTATCTGTCAGATCATTGTCCTTTTTGAGGTCTTTTGGATTGCAGGGCGCCCAACGCGATCACGCACACTCCTTATGACGATTCTTTTCCTCTGGCTCTGTGTGTTCGCAGGCATCGTTAATATCGTATTATTTCCCCATTCCGTTGACTGCGAGAGGAATGCTTGTAAAATGGGCACACAGGGAAGTCCATCATGCGAACCCTTCTATGGATGGGGTTACAGGCTCTATAGCGCAGTAATTGGGATCAACGTATTCTGTGCGTTGATGTCAATCTGTATGTACAGCTATATCCACATGATAGGCCAGAACATTTCAACACAGCTAGAGGAGGAGCGGAGCCGCCGCTGTGAGCAAGAAGCTGCTCAACAGTGTAGTCAGGACCACAACAGTGGTGAAGCTGATTTCGAAGCGGGTGACAATATGAATTATACGGTAAACAACAATAGCTTTGTGAAATGCACTAAAGTCAAGCCTTTTTCAATGCAGGCAAGCACCACAACGAGAGACGGAAGGAGTAGCGGCTACTATCGACTTAATAATTCCTGCATGAACTTCTCCACACAGAATCGCAATGGGCAAGCAGTCCATTCACCTCAGCACTCATCACCGAACTTTCGGCACTCTGATGTGGTGCAGCATTTAGCTAATTCCAGCCCCACACGGTTTTCCAGTACCAAAAGTGAAAGAAGTCAGGCGCGTGTATTCTTTCTCGATGGCGGGGAAGACCACCCCAGAAACGGTAAAGAGGGCTGCGTGGCTTCCGACACCCTTCCTCACCCTAACGCCGCGAGGACCATGCCCGAGCAACACCTTGAGTGCTCTTCCCCGCTGTGGCCTGTTCACGGTAAGGAAACCCCTCCCGAGTCCACGCTGCGGCCACAATCTCGAGGGGTTGAGTTTCCTCATGGATGTGAGATTTACCCCGCTGAAGGGTGGCGCCCGAGGTCGGGGGAATGTCGGACCGCGGGCTCGCAGCATAACGACTTTCCCGAGCATCGACACGTGCGTAAGCGCCGTAGCCGTCTTTCTCGCCTTTTCAGATGGGACTCGAATCCAGACTACATCACCGCGGCGGAGCTTGGGGTACGGATTAACGGTGCCCAAGACTGGGTATACCACGACCGGAGCGATATGTATTATTCCTTTGAGCGCAACATGTTTTGGGATCCGTTAACACATGAGTATTTTAACTGCGCGTTAAAATGCTGGCAAGAAACACCTGACAAAATAGCTCATACATGTATGTTAGCGACCACAGGGACTCGGGGGAAGAGGAGGAAAGTTGAATCGAGGGAAATCGGACGGTGAAAAGGGATTGTTGAACTAAACAATTAACCCTCATGTTGAGCTGAACTCTAGAGCGTAAGACGTGGTGAGTTGCATTGAATATGCAATGAGACACTTCAAAACACATCCAGGGTGAAAAAGTTTGTTTTATTATGATGATTCAATGAGTGTGTAGTAATGCTACATCAGGTGACTGCAAGACGTGAGGATATGATTACATTTAATCGGCGTAGTTTAGTTGGGAGGGGGGAAAAAACAAAGCAACCGTACTTAGGTACGAACGAAAGGAGGTGGAAAGTGTAGTTGTCTTCCTGATTCTCATTGCTTCCATTTTTTTCCTTATTTGTTTATGAGGTAACCAATACGCACAATATTTACCAACATTTTTATTCTGATCGCGTTTTTCTATTTCTTCTTGATTTGACTGCTTATTTTCATACATCCATACTCACCTATTTATGCATCCTGTTAGCACCGAAAAAGCAGTACTATTATTATATAGAAGATTCAGGACACTTTCAAAAGTCCTAGATGCCGCGAGGGACAGGCAAGCCAGGGATTTCTGCTCACCAGAATCCTAGAGATACAAAATCTTTATTCTTCTCCCTTAAAAGAGCCTCTTTTTATGACTGTGCCACCGTATCGGAAACTGTTTTTGTGGAGTTCCCGGCAACGCGAAACATGAAGGATGCATTACACGAGGAGGCGCTTCGAAGATTTCTACATAAACCGTATTCCATACTCTCGAACGGGGCAACCATCCACGAGGATCTATCGACGGATGACCGCGTGGGGGAGGTGATTTCGGGATCAGCCGCCCGTCCCGCGGGATCATTGGCATCTGCCTCGTCATCACCAGGTTTGGCAGCTCCGAGAGGGCGAGAGCGGGCTACGGGGGATGGCCCCTACATTGTAGTTCGCATAAGCGAGATACGAGCTTTAGCAGAAACGGTACAGCAAGCCAACGATCGCGGAGACTTGCTTCTAGACGTCTCCTTAACGCTGGGATTAGCTAGGGTTCAGTATGGAATGTTGTTTGGTGTGGCTGAGATGTCCACGTTCGAAAATTACCTCACCGTGCGTGTCCCTTTGAAGCGCGACCTCGACAATACAGACAAGGTTCCGTCGCAATGCGCGGTGAAGAAGCTTCGACGGCTAGAAAGCAGCGATGACGAGGAAGGTGATGCCCATGGTGAGAGGAAGTGGCGTAAATCTTCACACGGCTCGGGTGATCCGGAGTGCGATGCCACCAACCCCGAGCCTGCCACCCGTGAGGGGGAGGGGGGGTTGGGCGGTAGGCAGGAACCGTTTTGTGAAGGGATGCCTTCGATTGAGGTTCTTGTCCGTCGGCAATCCGAGGAGCCGGTCGTGGCGGGGCAGGTGGTGCTGGTTGTGGTGGAGCCTGGCTGTATTCGCTGCATGGGGATTCGCCCTCCACGGGCTGCGCCGGGGCCCTTCCGTCTAGTGGCTTCAAAGCTCAGCGAGGAGACATCAGAGAGACTCGCTGAAAGTAAACGTCGTGGTAAGAAGATGTCTTCCTCGAAAAAAGGCGAACAACACTTGCACCCGACGGGCATGGATGTTGTGTGTGATATCCCGGTCGAAACGACAAAATAACACATCAATACGAGATATGAACAAAGATTGTGAGCATACGGTTAAAAAGGTCAACAATTCGCACACATACAAATATGTGCGAGCTGCAAGAAAAAATTTGATCCATGCTTCAATTGTGTCTCGATGGAATAATAAATACACTATAAAATAGTGAACCATATAACAAATAAACAAAGAAATCATGGAGTGAAGATACCTCTATTTTTGTATTAAAAGTTAGAAAATTCATATATACTCATCCAATTATAAGTCACTAGATTTGTTAAAATAGGATATTTAATTTTAATATCTAAGCTACTTCAACAAACATTAACTCACGTGA